CGCGCATTATCCTTTTTTTGTTGGCTCGAAAAACTTTTGTCAATGTTATAAACGAGCCTTTCTATGGGTATTACGCACATTTGACCTCGGAAATCTCGAAAACCTTCGCTCTTGTGAAATACAGTTCCAGGGTCACCGCATAGATGGCGCCACAGTGCCAGTGTGTTCCCTCATTCTAAAAACATTTAAGAAGTTTTAAGAGATCTCGTCTCTCTCAGTCGTACTCGGTCGCAAGAGTGTGAACGGGCCTTAACAGTTATGGTTTGAGTCTCTGCTTGTTACATTTGAGGTAAAGTAATGCACTCCTTTTGAAAATTGTTAACAAGGAGCATACTTAGTTACTTCTTAAAGCAAGTAACGGTATTTAGTTACTTTTCGTGGGTAATGTGCACATGTCTGGTCGCAACCCTCCACCATCAGCCGCGGAACATTTATTTAAAAAAGACTGGTATTCTACCGCTTTTAATATTTGCGCCCAGAATATTACCTGTAACTCCTGGAAAACGTGGATAAAGTTTCATCGTCGAAAATATCCAAAGGTAAGAAATTTAAGTTTCCCCGTTTCTCCAATAAAGTCCCATGCATTAGCTGGTCTCAAGTGATGCCTGCTAAGGGTGCCCGATCTGCGATCCAACCTACTACAATAGAGATCAATGTACGAAACTTGAGAACCACCCCCCCCCAGCACCCCAAGTCATGGACACTCCACCCACCTCAGCTCCCCTCGAAAAAATTTCTGGCTGGCTACACCACTGACTTCAGCAAATTTCAATACACATTACAGCGAAAAAAATATGGCTAAACAAACAGAAAAGCGTCGCCAACTTCACATTTCCCCCCCCACGGCACTTGCAAAAGTGACGACTGGGTGATTTACTCGCAGCTCTGCCCACATGCCTAACTAAAAACACAAACAAAAAAAGAATCATAAACCGCGAAGCGTGCACCCCGAAACCTTGAACATGACTGAAAAAAACGGGGTCATTTAAGTCATCCGTCGCAGTGCAGAGTCAACTAAGGGCGTCGCGAACCGGTCGAGGTGCGGGTTCAAACAGGTTCCAGTTTTTCTAGCTTCTTGTGAAAAGTTCGAGAAATGTTCGGCTCGGGTTCGACAGCTATGCGCATGCGCGACAGGCTGGCCAGTTGGCTTCGGATTGGATGGTGGTGGCTAAGGTATGAATTAAGGGCAGCACTGATTGGTTATTTCAGCTAATACAGTAGAAACAATAAGTTATTAACTTCTTCAGTGATTAGAATTAGTTTCTTTTAATTGCAACTGTTCATAAAATTAAAATATCCTTTTGCATAAAAAACAATTCTCCAAACCTAGACATGCTTTTATCAAGGCCTGGCCACACTGTCCACAAAGTCGAACCGGTCGGATCTCGTTAAAAGATTGAACCCCGAAAGTTTGACAAAAGTGTGCGACACCTCTAGTGAAATAACTATGAAAGGTTGCTCACAGGTAATGCCACGAGATAGACAGTAAAATCTATCGGGAAAGGCAATTTTCAGGCAATCACTGGAGTGCAAACTTGATCCTCCTATTTCTCTATTGAAATATATTGAACGAAGATCTTGTTGAAGATATGTTAAGAAAGAAATTGCCTTCCGCAACGTCTTGTCAGAAGATCTATTAGTGCCTTTGTTTTCTTCACAAATGCTCACAAATGGCAAGTTGAAAAAGGGGGCCGTTTAAAAAGAGTGTGACCATGCTGCAAAATGTTTTTTTCCTTCTCTTTTTAACTAAACCATCCCGAAGTCAATCCGTCCGGTGGTTGCTGAGCGGTCGGAGAAAAAAGTTGCCATTGGAAACATATAGGGCCTAGGGAGCTGCGATATCCTCTTCGAGGGTGCTTTTTTTAGAAGCTTGTTTTTGATGGCATATTGTTTGTTGGACTTTAGTCAATAAAAACGACCAGCTATATAGAGATAGCAATACATCCTAGTAAACCCACAGCAATGTAAATACGTGGGCACTCTTTTCTCTAAAAATTCTACCTCCATAAAATTTTACCAATGAAAATAGTTAATAGCGTGGAGATTTGGAACTTTACTATTATTGCCCTTTTTAGGCACGTTGTGCATTACAAATTTGACAAAAATGTCAAATCTTTGAGTGTAGGAGACAATACAGCAATTATTGTTGGAAAATGCCCTCTTTGACGATGCGCCCTGGGGTCCTATGCTACACGGCAGGACCAAATGGAACCAATAGACCGGACAATGTTGTCTGCTGTGATTGGTCAGCACCGAACCGCTGGCCAATCGCAGCAGACGGCATTGTCCCGGTCTCCTGGTCCTGCCGTGTAGCATAGGGCCCCTGGGGTCTGGTCCAAGGTGCAGGAAGAGGGGGGGGGGGGGGGGGGGGGGGGGGGGGGGGGGGGGGGGGGGGGGGGGGGTCACAAACTTTGATTAAATTTTTATAGAGAAATTGGCCGCCCATGGCTGTCATTTCAGGTTTTTTTAGGATGCTTAAAGCCCGTAGATTGAGTTATCACCACAAATAGACAATTTTAGAATCCACTCGAGCACCCCTTTAATATTGCATGGTTTCATGAGGAAGTAACATGATTTTGAAAATGGAGAAATAGTATTGTAAAAAGTTTGGAAACGTTAGAAACAGTATGAAACTGAGCTCTGGGAATCTCGTCCCATTACTGCAGCTGTTCCTAACAACATATGACTTTCAATGAATAGCTCCCTGAGTCTCCGTGAATAAAACAAGTGCCAGGTGTACTAGTGTACTTTCTTTTTCGGTAGAAGATAGAAAAATAAAACATAAAATTGCAGCACGGGCAATGCCCTCAGCTTCCATCTGTGAGTAGTCACCGACGGTTGACAGAAAGAGTTCCTTGCTCCTTCTTAAAAAGCAAGGAACTCTTTCTGAATGTATTTTTAAACATATGCGCAAAAATGTGCATATGCTTAAACATATGCACATTTTCTTGAAGTGTGCATATGTTTGAACAAACTTTAAATTTCATATGGCAAAAAGAAAACACCCGAGGTAAACATATATGCAAATTTTATTTTCGGCTTTAAAAAAAACTGCGAGGTCCAGCACAAACTTCGAGAAACTGAGTTATCTGCTACTTCCAGAGCTATATCCAGAGCTCATAAAATGCAAATTTGCAACGATTCTGAGCTCCAGTAGATGCATTATGTGGATACTCAAAGTCACGACTCGAGCGACCCCTTCCATTCAACAGGCCACGCATACTTTCGGTGCTCGAAAGTTCCACATCCAGCAGAATGACCTACCCTCCGTTGAGCAGTGACGCTGGCCCACGCTTGTTTCGATTGCCATTTTACGAGTGTCAGTTCATTTGGTATACATATTTGCGACCTCAATAGCAATCACTGGACTTCATGATGGCTTTATCCTCACAGAAGTTATGAAATGTGATTCCTATAACCATGCCCTCTTGTGATAATGTGGGAATATATCATTGGTCTTGTTTGACGATCATCTGCTTCACTGGTTATGTTGTTTTTCTGTTGTTGACACTGCTAAGGGCTGGCACATAGCTATAGATTTGGTAAACCTTGCAGTTACTACCTCATGGTGATGCACACATTTGTAATGCTCTTTCAAACTCGTTCGTGTATGGTGCGTTGTGTCGATGGAAAACACAACTTTGCAAACATTAAACATTTTCAGCAGTTGGTGCTTGCACAATAACGCATACTGTATGTGTCAATTCTTCGTTGCTAAGGCTAAGTTAAATGATTCTACTAGCTGCTTAGGTAAACCAAGCAGCACAGCTGCCGTATCAACTGATGCTCATGGCGTCACCTTCACTGACACTAGATATGGTAAATTGAATTCCAGCACGCTTTCAAAGAAAGTTTCGTTTTCATCGCAATATCAAAAAGCAAGCGAAGCGCCAAGCATTTGCTTAAGTGGATTCAGTGTCTTCAACCCAAGTTTCTGTGTCCTTGCACATCTATGTGATATCACACATTTTCTTCTCCATCCTTCTAGAAATAAAAAAAAAAAATATACTTCTGAAAATAATTTTACATCTGAACAAATCAAGAAGCCCTATGAAATCTACATCTATCATTTGCATTGAAAAATGTTAGGTGAATGTGACCCTTAGTAGCACACTTAGTCCAGAGGATGTCTTTAGGACGTCCTAAATGTTATAGGGATGTCCTGAGGTCATTTGTGTTGCTTGGGGCGTTCCTGCAGCCCCCTTCAGTATCGGCTGCAGAAAATTTTGCTTTATTCATTCCTGTAATTCCTAGGGCCTATCGGGGTTTCCCTCAGACCGCATGAAAAGACCACCGCCATTCGTTCAGCTTGGCGGAACTAATGTTAAAAACCAAAAGTAACACAATGAAAGACTGGATCAGCATCAGCTGTGGTTGTGTTAGGATGCAGTCAACAGTCATCCTCATCTGCATTACATAAAAAAAAAGGCAGATATTATTCAGGATAGAGACTGCTGCATCCAATTCGTATTTCAAGAAGTTACAACTGCTGCGGACATGACGTGCTCTCGCTCACGTCGCACGTCGGGGAGGTCTGGCGGAATCTCCTACAAAGATTCTAGCGCTCTTGTTCTTCTCGGCGGGGAAGTAACACGATCAGCGAATAACCCGCCCCTCGAACAATGCAAAAGACGTCAGCCGCGGCAGTTTACGATGAAGTACGAGTCTCCACAGGGAACGCGTGCGATCTTTCTTTTTCTACTTGGGATGCAACGTTCGTGCAATATGTCTATAGCACGCAGCCGCGCACAAACCATTACCGACAACTAGCGAGTTTTTGAGCAATGAGCGGCGTTCCCGCCAGTAGCAGCATTTGACCTGGCAAAGGATGCACCGCTAGAACAGCCAGTGCTGGATGACGAAATGGCGCAACGCGGCACGCGACGACCCCTTCGCGACTCGCCTCCGGCAACAAGCCAGCCACTCGACAGAAACGAAGCGACAAAGAAATAAACAAACAACCGGACAGCGAAAAAAAGGAAAGAAAAAGGAAGCCCCACCTTGGCAGCAGCAACGTCGATCGCGGACTGGTTGTAGAAAGACTGCACGGTCCGCGATTTGTCTCTGGGTTGCGGGCTCGCCTCGGCGGCTCCTTTCGACGAGTACGCGATGCCTCTCGTCGGAAGCAGCGCTCTGCAGCGCTGCTTCAGAGTCCCCCCGAGCACCAGATTTCGCTCCAGAGCGGTTGCCATGCTTCCGACGGTGACAGCGGTCACTGCGACGACGATCTCGGCTCGATGACGCTCATCTGTCGGTGCTGTCGGCGAGTAAGGAAGACTCCGCACGCCGCGGAGTTGTCGCCCCGACAACAGCCGGGGCAGCGGCGGGACGCTGGCGTGGTCGACAGTCTTGGCCGGCTTGCGGGCTCTCGGCGAGACGCATTGGACACACGCACCGGGGAAACGTGTTCTTGGGGTGCGGGGCGCACTGCTATCGGCGACGCGGCGGTGCTAGCGGTGCAAAGAACTCGGCGACCAGCGGAGGCATCCCCCAGCTGACAAGACACCCGCGGAGCGAGTGGGGGGGAATACGGAAGTGGAACTGTTGCACACGCTTCGCTGATAAAGGGCGGCTGCAAAACGCTTCCGGCTCTGTCGCCGGGGTTTCGGTTTCGTTTTTGCTTCATGTGCATTTTATTGTTGTTTATCTGTATTGCTTCTTTGTGTGTTTACGTCTGCAGCTGTGGTTTATAGGCGGTAATTTTTGCTGCGCAGGCTTCGCTGCTCCGGCCACTGTGGTTCAGTTCCTCCAGCGCTTTAGGTCATGGCATGGTAGTTAGTGGACTGGTACCGACTAGTACTGCTAGCACTGACTGGTCATTCACAAAATAAATCATAGAGACAAGTGAATTCAAGAGACCAAAGGGCAGAACACACAACCTTTATTTAATATGTTTGTAAAAGCTAAAAGACATAATATTAAAACAAGTTTACATGCTGTCAAAAATAATCCAAATATATAAAACATTTCTGCTAAGCAAAAAAAAAATCCCTATAGCTGTGGTACTTTTTTTTTATTCTCATTTTTGGACGCTTTGGATTTTTGTAGACTTTAAGGTTTTTGTAAAGATGAATATTCGCCAGCTCGTTTAGTTTGCACTGTGAAATTGTAGCCAATTCTAGACTATCCAATCCACCTTGGCATGCGCGTGCGAGAAGGTTGTGTGCGTGTGTGGTGCTAGGTCCTGTGGCTTTAGCTCCTTGGTTTTATTCATGGGGAAGAAAAAAGGGGCCTCGGGACTGGGCCGATGTTTGATCAAGCAGAAACCAACCAGTCGCCTCTACGATTCCGTAAGTGATCTCCGCTTCGACAAACTATTGCACGTAAAGAGACGTCATTCGGTCTCGCCCGTCAAGTCTCAACACCGTGAAGACCCGTCCTGATCAACACTTTGTTGACGAAAACAGAAGTTATTTTGCGTTTCTCTTCGTCCAGTTGTGGTATTTTGAAGCTTTAACTTGTCGTGACCAGCCTTCCACTAAACCCTGCTCGCTTCGTCGCTGAACCCTTCTGTTTTCGAAGCTCGACGTCCGCTGATGCAGTGTAATTTGTTTTGCACAGTCGCTCCACACAACCGAGCTAAATGATGGCTACGACTGGGGGCGCGCCAACGTCACCAGCATCACGGAGCAAAATGACCTGGACGCGTTCCTGGCTACGGCGGAGCTTGCAGGAATTGACTTCACTGCCGGTAAGAGCACACAATGTCGTTCATAACTTTACGCAGTGCCCGTAACAAATCCCTAGATCACGCCTTGCTGTGACACTCATCTTAGAATTGCGTCGCTATATAAGTATTTTCGAGGGTGTTGGCATGGGGTGACCCTTTCCAAACGTCAGGAGTTTCCTCTGAAGTCACCGCAATGAGACAGGACAGCCAATGCAAACAATAAATGCAGCCCAGTGACCGCATCTCTGGCTGACTGCTCAAAAGTGTTATCTTTTACATGCTGATGTGCGATATTTGTAGGTCTATCTGGAGAGGCTGGTAAATTAGACAGATGGAACATAATGTGCTTTACCACTTTTTGTATATTGTTCTAAATCGTAACTCATCGATATACTTTAAAACAATTAAGCCATTTTCAAGTCACCTTTTAATCAGCTATTTTGCTTCGGATTTTCGTGCAAGAAGCATCGGTCTTTAACCTGTTTGAACCAGTCTCTTGTTTGTGCTTCCCACGGATGTCTGTAAAACAAAAGCAATGAGTGGTTCCCCATCGCATGACACACAGAGAAGCAGAATGTGAAGGTGGTGCACAAGGGCGACGTGGTCTCTTCGGGCATCCTCTCTGATGGCCAGAAGGCCGCGCTCAAGAGTTTACACGAGGAACACAAGGAGCTGCTCCGCATACCACGCCGGTAAGCACAACCCCGGAGTCATCGGTCGTTTCAAAGCGTCTCGCAGCACTATGCCTTCGGAAAACGAGTTATTGCGGCAGATGTGATGGGACAAGCTGTAGCTTGTTGGGTACTGCGTTTCTAACATGCTTATCATAAAGAGAACTTCATGTACAGGGATTACCGCAGCAAAGGGTCTGAGGCTGGGCACAAAATCCACCCGTGAGGCAGGCCTACGGAATGTAAGCAGCAATGTTGTCAGTTGCGTGGCTTGTCCGGGCTCGTGCACTTGTCCCTTCCCGGGGAACGTCTGAGACGAGATACATATCTTGTTTCACATGTGTCAAGAACGCACTGTTGGCAGCCTCGTGTGGGTCAAGCTTGAAAGAGAAGCTTTTGGAGCGCAACATGGGGTTTACTGAGAGGCTTCTTCAGAGTCCCAAAGAAGCTAAGCCAAGCCTCATTTTTAGTTTCGTGCCACCGACTTCAATTGCACATTCTTTATTCTTTTTTACTTCACATTAGACGAGACAAACGACGACCTCTCTAAGGTGCTCCCTCTAGATGCGCTCCGAGAGAGTGCACGCTTTAGCGCCATTGATTTTGTAACAATCCTGCGGAGAAACCTTGGCAGTTACAGATGAAGACTGTTTGTGATCTTTATGCTACGTGTCTTCCGGCACGTGGCTCGCTTGCAGGCCGCCATGGAACTCCGACACGAGCGCCGAGGAGCTGCACGCCCTGGAAAGGGAGAGTTTCGTCTCCTGGAGGAGGCAACTGGCAGAGTGAGTTTATTGATTGATTAAACTTGTTTTTATTCACTTACTGTATCACCCTGCCTAGGACGTGTCATTGTAAGGCAGCGAAGGCTGGGGTACATCCCCTGGAATGGCTCGTCGTCCACAGGCAGAGGGAATTCTTTTATATTCCCTCATCTTTGCATTCACACGGTGCCAGCCACCAAAATGAACTTGGAATGGAATTCCCAGCATTCATACCCGGACTCTGGTTCCTCCTGTTTTTTTACATATTTATTTATTTTCAATTAAGAGTACCACCAGCCGCTTTAATTTTAACCTAAATGGAAGTGGAATTCAGTAGACATTGTCCCCGCAGTACATAGCAAAAGCGCACACTTTGCACTGAAAAAGGCACGTGGGAACAAGCAAGAATTTGGGCGACTTCGCTTTTTTAGAAAGTGTCGACTACAAACAACCAAAGAAAAAGCGAATTCGAAAAATTTCATATTGCATTTTCTTCAGCTCCTTCTCTAACAACCAGTTTGTCTTTCAATTGTTTCTGAAGATGTTCAACGTCAAAGTGGCCTTCGTATGATATGTGCCAGTCAGTCCTTGGAAAAAAAAAGAGCATGTCAAACTGTATTGGAAGGGACTTGGTGTTGAAATGTGTCATTCTTTTTGAAGACTTTTCTTTTGCATAGTCATGATATTAAATAAAGCTGGTGAGGTTCTTAGCTTAGTGATCCAGAGCCATAATGCGGCTCCTCAGAGTTTGAAAGAGGTGGCACATTATTTACCGGCGAGCGCTCTGGGTGACCTGCTTCAGAAGTACCTAATCGATCAGATTTCACATTTATAAATAAAATCGAACAAATAAAAAAAAAAAAAGCTTGCCACAAAAGAAAAGAAATTTTAATTTAGAATTTGTCTGCATAAACTAAAATTGTTGAGGTCGCAACGGTCAAAAGATTGCCTGCACACCCCACACAGACATAATCAGAGCCCAAGGTCAGTGGTCAGATTTCTTTGAAATCTCGGACGATTGCCAAAATAATGCCTGTACACTTCACACAGCTGTAGTCAGGTCAGGATCAACGGTTTCGAGGAGAGGCCACTCCAGATTTTTTTTGGAATCTCGTGCGATGAACAATATGGAAGGTATATGTATCTCATCAACAACGGCGTACATCAGGCTAAGGGAGTTTTCTTTTTTCCCCGCTTGCAGACTCCAGGATGTGGAAGGTATCATCCTGACCCCTTACGAAAAGAACCTGGAATTCTGGAGGCAGCTGTGGAGGGTCGTCGAGAGGAGGTACCGCTTTCCGTTGGCTCCCGCTTGGAAAATGCCTTCCCACCAAGTTTAAAGGGACTGTTTAAACTTAATTATGCCACTGCATACCAAAATAGCAAAATTGTAAAAAAAAAAATTTTTTGTTTTGTGATTTATTTTGGTTGCTCTGAGGCAGAGCACCGGCCTACAGATCTTTGGGTGGTGGGTTTGACTCTCGGCCCCACTTTGACGTGTTACTGAGATTTCGGTTGCATGTTAAAAGATCTCGAGGCTGCCGAAATTAATCCTCGGTTTTTCGCTGGGGCATGCCAGGTGCCCTCTGTTGATTTGGTGCATAAAGCCCCCATATTTGACCTAGAAGCGTGTTTGGGAGTCACCCAAATGTGTCTCGCGACGTAAATGTAATGCTTAAATTATGTTTGTTTGCTCCTTTTTCAAGAAAAGTTTGTTTTGTGAAACAGATGTCCTGTCCAGGCACTTAAAAATGATTTTTTTTTGCTAGTTTGGAGACTTGCATTAGGGGAAACACTTTTTTTTTCTATTAGTTACGGTAACTGAATGAAACTTTAACAGTTGATAGTGCTCGATTTCCTTTTTTTATAAATTTGGGGTTTTAATATAAGCCGGATTTTTATGTTCTGGGAAAAACCATGTCTTTGGATGCAAAAATCCAGCAAATCTAAATACCGTGTAGATATAATGTTTATAGTTTGCGAAAGGCATAACAAATAGCAACACCTCCCGCAGTGCATGCGGTATCGCGTTCAAGTGGGCACCCTCAAATGTGTAATCGTCATCATACACGTATGGCAATGACCGTCAAAGGGTTAAGAAGGGAAAGACAGCACGCCAAACCTTCCCGTCCTCCACCATCTCGGTGCTACGTCTCGGCGGCCAACGGGGCTCTCTGCCGTTGCAGTGACGTGGTGGTGCAGATCGTGGACGCGCGCAACCCATTGCTCTTCCACTGCGGAGACCTGGAGCGTTACGTGACGGAGCTCGACCCCCTCAAGCAGAACCTCCTCATCCTCAACAAGGCAGACTACCTCAACAGGAAACAGAGGTGAGGAGCAACAGATCACCTGCACATTGCGCCAGCGAAGCCTCATTAAGGTGTGGTAAAAGTTCCTAGGAACTAGGGCTTTCCCCAGAGTTCTAGGTTCCCAAAGAACTTATTGGTTCTTCGGAGTTCTAGATACCTAGTAGTTCTAGGTTCTTAAGAACTTGGGGAATCCCCAGAGTTCTAGATTCCTTGGAAGTCGGGAGTTCTAAAGTGTCCTTCGGGTACCCGGGTGTTCCCCTCATTCCTAGATTCATAGGAACTTGGGGTCTTCCTAGCGTTCGAGGTTCCTGGGAACTTGGGGGTTTCCCCAGGCTTCAAAGGTTTCACAAATGCCTAAATTTCTTCAACCTTTCGTAACCTAAATAGCGTATCATAGATAATATGTTATAGAGAATATGCGAAAAAGTGAACAGGGGTCTCTGCCTCTACTCCATTTCAGCGTGACTTGGCAAAGGATGGAGGCTCGGGCCACTGTGAGACAATTACCTAGTGCCACAGAGCGAAGCACGTAATAGCTCTCCGCATAAGGAGTGTATGTGAAAGAGTCCGTCTCCTAAGCGCATTCACATGGAGGAGGAGACAAGGACAGCGAGGATTGACCAAACTAGGTGGCTCTAGACCAAACCACTATGCGACTGCACAGTGGCACTGTTGTCCAAGAGCTAATGTGATGTTTGTCTCTACGCTCACGGCACCAATTTAAGTTCACACCTACGAATGTTTGCATCAAATAAATTGTTTCGTGACACTTGCTATCTGTCTCATCTCTAGCGCCCTCCAAATAATGTTCTCGTTCCTTATGTTTTCCCTGATTGTAAGTTTTAGTTCCCCGGTCGTCTGAAAAACGTATCAACGAGGTTCTGCTATAGTTGTTCATGTTGTAGTTGGCGACATAGGGCATCCGTTGTCGATGTTGCAAATCCTTAAAAAATATTGCTTGCCACCCACGGGAATCGAAGCTGGGTCCGCTGCGTGCAAAGCGGAGGCGTTACCATTGAGCTACACCACAGCGTTAATAACCCGCCCTACACTTTAGGTTTTTGAAGTACCCGTTGCCCACTGCACGCGCTCTCTGGAAAAATACAGAGAAATAGCTGATAACAAACTGCCATCTTAGCACTGCCAATGCCAAGAGCTCGTGCCAGGAGGCACGTGTTCACACGCTACAAAAAAATAAACAAAAGTGTTCGGAACGAAATGGTCATATGTCAATTTTGTTCCGAACGCTTTTGTTCACGCTCCCCTCGGTGCATGAGCGCGACGCCGATGCCCAGCAACTTCGCCGTAATGTGTCGCAACTATCTCTCTGACTGTACTGTGGACTAACACAGGACTGCTCAATTTTTTTTCTTTTCTGTAGCATGTTTTGATGACTTTCATTTGTTTCAGAGAGGAGTGGGCCAAGTACCTCAAGTCTGTTGGTCTGCAGGCTGTGTTCTTTTCGGCACTTGAACAAGGCAAAGCCACACATGTATGAACAACTCCCTCTACCACTGTCTTTCTCTGCTTTCTTTTTTAATCTTTTTTGTGGCCTAGGCTAATGACTACATGTTTAAACTCTGTTCGTGACCGTCTATTTCAGATACTTACTATTTTAATGCAGTTGCTTGTAGCTTAGAAACTGGTGGATGAACATGGATAAAGTTACACTTAAGTTGTGAATGTTACCACTAAGCTAACTTTTGTGTATAGGTTTCAAGGCCGTGCTGTCATGTTTAAGAGGCTACATTTGGCAGCATGCAAGTGAACAGCATTTGCAGAACTCTTTGTTACAACAGCTTTAGTTGCTCCAGTAGGGTAGGGAACAGATGCAGCGGTAGTCCTGGTGTCTTGACAGTCTGTGACTTTTATGCTGTGATACCTTTCGGTCTCCTCTAAGGAAAGCGATGAATCCGAGACAGGGTCATCGCCAAATCCTTCCCCTGAACCCTCGCCTGACTCGTCTCCCGAGCGGAGCGAAGGCCGAGATCACTCAACAGGTGGGTGGCCATCTCTTCGTCTTTTGCATGATCCGAACGACGCTTTCATGCCGAGAGCTTCAGTATCCGCTCCTATGGCTCTTGTCTATGCCACATTTTTGAGCCCCTTGAACTTAAAGTACAGTTGACTCTCGGTAATTTAAAGTCACTTTATTAGAATTTTCGGTCAGTTCGAAGCAGGGGTGCGGTCCTGGCAATAATGCATACGAGTCTATGGGGAAAAACGTGCGGTAATTCCAAGTTTAACCTCTAGGAACGCTTAATTTAAATTATTTTTTTACGTGCTCGAGAAGCCCGGCAGCTTCGGCAGCTTGAAAAAGCCTTGCAGTTATGCTGACCTGGCTTCAGTTGCACCCGTGCACACTTGATTGCTTTTATCTACCATGTGTGCGGTAGGGAAAAAGAGGGAGCGAGCACGGCATGCGCCGTCAAGCCGTCAAGCGGCCAGTCCAATTAAGCAGCCAAGCCATGCCCAGCCAAGCTATGCCAGCGTGCGTACGTATCATGACGTCGTTCCCACGAAAATTACAGAAACGAGCGCAGCCGTACAGCCAACAAAGCTTGGTTTGAGGCATTACCCAGCCCTATGAGGTTTTGTCCGTCGAATATATTGATGTCAACAAACATGCCATTGTCTGTAGTTCTCTTTTGGACAGTGGCATTGTGCAAAGGGTTAGGCCTTGAACCGGTCACGTCGCTTTCCACGCCGAAGGCCACTGACGCGGTAACAGCTTGTTGGCACTACAGAGTACAATTTTGCATTTTCTTTGGTGAAGAAACTGGTGAAGGTGCCCTAAGGAACGTTTGGAATTTGCAGAGCATAGGTAACACAGTATGTCTTTCTTAGTGGAGGCAAGGAAAAATCAACTTCTCCCGGTGAGTATTGCATAAAAAAAACAAATGGTTTTAGTGTTTTTTTTTTTTTTTTTTTTCATTAGAAATATGTTTAATTTTAAACGTTTCACTGGTCCATGTGAGCTTTGAATTATCAGAAGTCAGCTGTAAGTGGTATTCAATGACCTCTAGCTTGGAACCTCTGAAATGTCTGTGGAGTAATTCTGTCTTCTGGGCTCCGGTCTTGTCAACATATTCATTGGAATATATTCCTGTTAGTGTAGAAAATTACTGTTATAATGGAAGTCATTTTTCTTTACATTTTTCAGATTGTTTCGAGGATCCCTCTCGCCTTTATACGAAGGAGGAGCTTCTGGAGCTCTTTAGGACCACACACCCACACTCTAAGGCAACGAAGGGTCAGACGGTGGTTGGACTGGTGAGAGACCCCTCTGTGTCCACCACGAGATTTCTGGACCTGGGCTTGGAGCTGGCACAGAAAAAAACTCTTTTGCACTAGATGACGTAAAGCGCAGTTGGACTGCTCACTTCACGCCAGATAATGAAAGACTGTAACTCTGGGCATGCTTTCTGTCAAGCGCCCAGCCAAGATTCCTTCTCGAAATTCATACTTCGATCGAGTGATTGAGGCAGCGCACAGGAAGACGAGAATAACATATGGGAGACATATGACCCTTTGACCAGTTACTAAGGTCACAATATACTTTCACTGCTAGTAATTAGAAATACATATGTGTTTCTGCCCTTCATCTCCATCTTTTATTGTTCTCTTTACTGCGTCAGTTTGCTCACTCTCACGACCTCTAAATATGGATGGATGGACACATCGTAGGGGTCGTATCCTTTGTATTCGGCTATAGCCTGTGCAGAATCCTGTGATGGCTGTGGTCATATTGTCGTCACTTTTTTTTCCAAATTGTCTGATGTCACCACAGCAGTCATTTGTATGTTTCTGTCTTGTAACCGTTGGTTGATATGTAGGTGCGACCTTTTTAATGCGAAAGCATTGACTGTCTCATGGAGTGAGTTGGCGTCATCAGCTTTGAAACCGCATCAAACGGCACCTTACATCCTTTCTCCAAGTGAAGCCAGCTCCCAGCTATTAAACTATGCGAAAAGCTAGCCAACGGCACCTAAATTCTCCGATCCCAAAGGAGCGGAGTAAAGCTAATGGAATTTCGGCTTCGGTCCCATTTGCTGGCACGCATCGACAAGGCCCCCAATGGCCGCTGCGTGTCAGTTTCAACAACGTGTCCGTCGGCGTGCCACTAACACGAAACGTCCAAGGTCAGAGCGGCGAGGAGAGGCACCCCTCCTCGCCGGCAGAGCACGCCACTCCGCCGTTGACGCATACACGCTACAGACGAAATAAGGGAGCGGAGGAATGACGTACATGCTTTTGCATTCACAACTCGTAAGAAGTGCTTTGGTGCACCTCCAGCCTTTTGGCACAAAGGTTGTCAACAACAGTTTTGGCTCTGAAACTGAACTTTATAGTCATGTGCGAATAGTAGATATTGAATTTGTAGCAAATAGTGGTTTTGGCCGAATATTTTCTAATCGAGTATTGAATATTTTCTCCGAGCTTTTTACTATCGTGCACCATGCTTAACCAAATATTCAGCTGAACTCGTGAAGGTTGTTCCCAACCTTCCACTTGTCCACTTCTAAGCTGAGTTAGTTTTATTTTAGCTATATTTATGCACTGTGGCATGTACATGACAAAAATGTTGCGGCGATTCTAATCGAGGGGGATTTATAAGTCTGCTTGCTATACACAAACATTCTTCCTTCAATTTCAAATTTGACTAAAAAAAATTGCAGGAGGACACTTAAGCTTTGCATTTAAGAGTGGAACGCGATAGCTACATTCTATCCTCTCCACCTAAAATTCTGTGGAATATTTCTGTGGAGTGGAACGCGATAGCTACATTTGATCCCTCTCCGCCTAAAATTCTTCAAATATTTTCTTCAAGGCAAATGAATTACTTATGTACCTATCAGGATTTCCCCGTCCTGCCAACACTGACATCGGCTTTTCTGGACGAGCTCCTTAAAGCTTTCGCTTTAAAAATACAAATGATGAGCACATGTTGTCAAGACATCGCTAACAAATACTCGCATAATTGTGGTGGGTTAACCTCGTTGAGAGTGCTTCTCACTGTGCACCTGTGTACTGCGGGGAAGCAATGCCTGCGAGCTCTAGGGATGCTGCTTCCCCGCAGTGCACAGGTGCTCGGTGAGAAGCGCACTCAGCAGGGCTAACTCGCCGCGATCAACGCTTCGAAAAGTACGAATATCGCAGTTTGTTTCGAAGTAAATATTGTACAGAGTATTCTTCTAAAGTACTATTTGAATATTCGCACGGCCCTAAAACTTTATAATTTCTAGTTATGAAGTTAGAGGAACGGCAATATTGTTTTCCTTTTCTTGCTGACTGCTTTAGCAAGCCGGACAGTCACAAGCACTTCCTGCGTCTTCTGTTAGGCACATCAGCGAAAACTGGCAACGACTGGCAATATGATTCTACTCGACGGTGTGACCTAAGTGGTGCTACTCTGAAGCATTGCTTACTCGCTGGCTCTGGCTTGCACCGCCTAACCTACAACCATGAATCTGCCAATGTGACAGTAATCTTACGGGCATCAGAGCCGCGTGCAGCTTAAGGTAGCATCTTGACGGGAGCGACTGATGGAGATTGCCGTGTGTTGTAGGTGGGGTACCCCAATGTGGGCAAGAGCTCCACCATCAATGCCCTCCTGAGCCACAAGAAGGTGTCCGTGTCCACCACTCCCGGCAAGACAAAGCACTTTCAGGTGAGTACCCTCAATAGCTGAGCTGGGCTCTTTCCTCGGTTATTTTTTTTTTTATTATTTATTTTCTTATTACACGAAATCTATTACGGCACAATGTCGATCATATATGTGTCCTTTTGGCGTGCCAGTATTAATAGCAGATTTGCCAACATTTTTGTCCAGTTCTTGCACAGAACATGCACTTACCGGTATGATTTAACTGAACGGCTTTAGCCGTAAATGTAAAAAAAGCCATAGAAAAATTCAGACCTCGCTACCAACGTTAAAATACGGATTTGTCGTTGCGCTTGTTTTTGGCATAAATATTGGGCACCTTCGTTTTCTTCCTTTAATGCAGGCCATAGGACGGGCTACTGGCTAGAGGCTTGGTCGGTGTACAGTTAAATCTCTCCAGGTGAAATTATTGTAAGGGTTCTTAGATAAATGGAACTTTTCAAAGATGTTTATGTGGTAGCTCGTGTCTTCAAAAAGGCTTCGTCTTCTGATAAGTGGATTTTCTGCTGAGTGAAACAACTTTTGCCTGCTTTCTTGGGAGTTCCACTTGTAGGTTCTAAAGTAACTTTATGATTACACATAACGAGTGTTCTTGTGACCGGTACCTTCGATGGTCAATTCACTTCTTTTTAGATACTCTCCCATACCTCCATGTGTGGTGAGGAAAAAAAGCTTATAAAAGCCTAACTTTTGAAGATGTCTTTTAGCCATGTCGGCCAGTGATATTTAGTAGATCCTCTCTGTAATAAAAGTCTGCTTTAATAAAAGAACATGTTCAGCTCAAATGTCTGTACCAGTATTACAATGATACTTCAGCTTTGCTTGACTATATCCATAGTTTTGCTACACAGTCTATACTGCAGAAGTTCTACCATATTAAGAGCACATTTATATACAGGGAGCTTCAGCTAACTTGTGCCAAGACTTGTGCCAAGACTTGTGCCAAGACTTGTGCTAACTTGTGCCAAGACACACTACACATTACACCAATGCAGTATTCGGAGTTCTGTTGAGCAAGTAAAGATATTTTTGTGATGTGCCAAACTGGCTAATTAGCACAAATTAATTAGCTAAATTTTTCATTATTACAGTCGAATCTCGTTAATTTAAACTTGAGGGGAACCGAAAATTTGTTTGAATTACCGGGAGTTTCCTCCCATAGAGACGTATAGGATGGGACCTGCATGTTAGTTTGAATTATCCGGAAGTTTGAATTAATGAGAGTTGGCTTTAATTTGTGCTCAAACCATCGAATAGAAAAGTTGAAGTGTGTTGAGAAACATTCCATCTGTATTGTGTCCGTGAAGGTAGCCTCTGTGTGTCTAATTTTTTCAAGCTTTGAGAAAAACTCAGAAATTTTGCGCGATAGTTAAGAATGTTTAATGTGGCTACCTGCTAGCGAACTGCGATGTTAGTTCCTTTACTCACGTATATTTTTTTTTAAATCTCGCCCAAGATTTTTTTTTTTTTTTATGTTTGCAGAAATTAGAAACACAGAGGCTACCTTCATGGAAACGACACGATGGAATGTGTCTCAACACGCTCTTCAACTTTTGTGTCAGTGGGTTTGTGCACAAATTAAGGTTTAAAAGGCTAGCTAATTAATCCGCGTTAATTAGCCAGTTTGGCCCCTTACAAAAGATATCTCGACTCGATCAGTAAGACTGCGAACAATACTGCGCTGGTCCAGCATTCTTCAAAGTCTCGGCACAAGTTAGCCGAAACAGCCCATATACACTGGCAAAGGGTAGTCTAAATATACTTCCTATGCAACGTTCCCCTTCTGCGCCCGATTTAAAGTTTCGTCCCTCGTCGCGTGCCGCAGACCTTGCAGCTGGAGGAAGGCCTGTGGCTGTGCGATTGCCCTGGCCTGGTGTTCCCCAACTTCGTGAGCAGCAAGGCGGAGATGATCGTGCACGGCATCTTGCCCATCGACCAGATGACTGATCACGTGCCGCCCGTCAGCCTCATATCCTTTCCTCGACGGTGACAGCTTTAGCTACCTTACAGCGATGGAGATATTTTGTTCTCGAGCATGCTTGCACTGCCGAGAGTGCCAGGTACCTGCACGCATGCTTGCCAGGCGGGTGCCTTTAACTCGTCTTCGACTGGCAAGTTCCACGTCCTACGGGCTATTTATGCGTCGGAGCATCCTTGAAATGGCCACAAAATGTCCCAGTAGTCGCCGGGTAATGCTAGCGGTCGTTGCCGGTCGTAGAAGCATCGACGAAGAAGACGAGCAGACGTATGCATCGGCAGCACAGCAGCATTTAGACTCGCGGCTGCTGGCGTTTCTGTTGCCGACAGAGACTCAGCCAGGCGGCTAGAGACTGAAGCAGAGCGTGGCAGCTTGTAAACGGCGACATCAATAATGCTAAAACAGAAAAAAGTAAAAAAAAAAAGCAGACAATGTGTTAGGCACGTTTGTTTTGCATTAAAACGTCAAGGTGTTCAAGGTAGTTCTAGTGCTTGTCAACTTAAGTTTTTCTTCACGCAATAGCATGCCATTGTTTCCTTTCAAAATAATGCTAAGGACGACTAGAAGAAGTACCGAACTTGCAAGCGACAATTTGTTGCTTTTTTTTGTGCCGAAGAAAGCCTCATCAGCAATCTCGACACACTAGTACCACCAATACCTTCCTTCGTGCTCCGCCGTTCCGAGGCAGCCAAAATGCACGGGAAGATGGTGAATATTTTCTTTTTAGCTTATTAGACAAACTCCACAGCCACAGCAGAACAGGCGTCTGCCAAACCCACCTCCGCTGCCGTGTCACCGTCTGGATCGCGCGCAATTTACCGCGTAAACGTAAATGCGTGGTAAACATGACGGGTCGGAGGCGCGGTCCCGGTTGCATTCACGCCGGTCGTGCATTCCTTGACCGTCGACATCGGCGCACGTGGCCAGCCTGATTCCGAGGCACGTGCTGGAGGCCACCTACGGCATCATGATTCCCCGGCCCCACGAGACGGAGGACCCCGACAGGGCACCCACATCGGAGGAGCTGCTCAACGCCTACGGCTGTGAGTGCATCCCCGACTCTGTGCGTCTATCCAGAAACGAAGCAGCACGCCGCTCCTAACTTTGGAGCGGCAAGTTGCATCCGTCGTTCCTGGACGTCCACGTCAGTCAGGACGCTTTGCGCTGCCTGCTTTCGCGAGAGAAGCCGACCTAGCTATATCTGGATGCTCCTGCACTCCTGCACTTGATCCGTACAAAAGGCAACGTGATTGTGCTCCTGGTGATTTCTAGACGTCCTGGTTCCACCAAATGTGTCGCGGTGTGTAGTTTTACTAGTCGCCGGTTATGCCAGAAAACTCTGCAATTTGTTGTTTGACTGGTTAGGTTGATGATTTGCACACTGATGATGCAAGTGAAGCACGCTTATTTGATTTTTTTCATTCCTCATGTTTCTCACCATCTGCTTTGCAGTACTTAGAAACAAACTTATGCAGAAAAAAAAAATTGGAGATGAATTATGTGGGCAGAGGGGCATTCCAAATTATGAGTTGAACTGTAGCGCACTGCATTGCCTAGTCATTAACTCTTGTAATGGACTCTATACTCCGTGACAACTTTTCTTGGCAATGCAGTGGAAGGTACATGTATGTGTTCCCTCTCCCATTTTGAGCACTGAATAAAGCTGTGCACGGGCTCTCCTCCTCTCCCCGGAAATGCCAAGAAAAGTTGTCGCGGAGTATAGCTAGGTGTTCCTGGACACAATAATATTACAGCATGTTATTATGGGTTTACTATGAATGTCATTCATCAGCTTGCCCACATTCGTTTTTTTCTTTTTGAAGTATTCCAGCTGTATCATCTGCAAATCGAGACGGGAAATCATAGTTGTTACATCTACAGTCGCTAAACAGGGAAACTCAAGAAACACAGTGTGTGGCTAGTCCGAAACACCTTATTATCACTCTGTAGCCAGCAAGAGTGCACCAAAGGACAATTCACAAAGCAAAAAGGGTGACCGTAGCAGACCACGCCCTGCATTACTTGAGCTGTCTATAGTTCTATGTGTGCTTCAGCTAAGAGTTCATGTTTACTTTGGAGAATGCTGTGAACTCATCAAATGAACTAGAACCTGTTGGCACCCGTTGCAGACATGCGCGGCTACATGACCCAGAGTGGGGTCCCGGACAACCCCAGGGCCTCCCGCTACGTGCTCAGGGACTTTGTCACCGGCCGGCTGCTCTACTGCATGGCGCCCCCCGGAGTGAAACAGGATGACTACCACCAGTTCCCGCCCCCCACGAAAGCCTCCCGGCCGGAGCCAGCCCAGGCCAACAGGGCTCAGGTCAGTGGACGAGCCCGGCCCGTCGAGAGGCTTTCTTCTTTCTCTCGTACAGTTCCAAGCTATAGTTTCGACTAGAGCCACTGTATAACGACACCAGGTCATGGCATATCAGGTGTATTGAAAGCAGTAATCGTTCCGGTCTCAAAGATCGGCACAGCTACTGCGGCCCAGAGCAGCTGTTTTCGAGTTGGGTCGCACTTTCTGTTGGAGCGTCTCAATGGAAGTTTGGGATGCAGTCGGGTTACGCAAGTACTACAGTGTAGACCGCATATAACGTATGTCGCAGGAGTCGCGAAAATCCGCACTATAAGCGGTACCGCGCTATAACCAAAACATCAATTTTTCAGGCCAAAATACATGCCATCAGACAACTTACCTTTGTAAAAGAATTTATTTTATGTTAGATGAAAAATAAAGCTTAGTTTGAGGAAAGTCTTTATTTCACCAGACAAGTACACTTCTCTCCCAAGTGTGTCACACATTTTGAAAGAAATGAGCGACTTTTGCCTTGCGCAGCCTTTTAACGGCATCGCGGGTCACGGTCGGACGTTGCGAGCGTTCAGGATTGCTAACTCTAATCACTTTTCTCCAGTGATCAAAATGCGTGAAAATTCGCATCCTTCATACGGTACGCACCAGTAATACCTTCAACTTGAGCACAGGCATGAAATGCTCCAAATAAGAAATCCGGGCGATGTTCGAAAACACAAACGCTTAGAAATCACCACTGTACTCGAAGTAAACAAACACAACAACACGGGCGTTTCTGCCGTCTTGAGAGTGCCGCCACGACATCGCCGCACGAGTAGGTGGATCTTCCCTTCTAGTACGTGCTGGGTTATCATAGCGACACACAACAAAAATTCTCAGTCAAGGATAGCGCTTTTACGCGGAACGATGAGCTTCCACCACGCCGTCTACGTCGACGATCACAACCGACGCCATGTTTGCGGATACAAGCAGCCGGCCGGCCGGCCGGCGACCGGCATGCAACGCGCGCGAGCACTTCTCCTCGACCTGCGATTGGTCTGTCGTTGCAGTTGTTTCCAATGCAGCGGAGGGATGCACGCACGTGAACGACACGTGCGTGCGTCCCTCCGTCGCTATGGCAACTGAAGCCTCTCTTCGCTTCTCCCCGCTTCTTTGAGCAACCTCCTTGCCCCGCGAGTGCCGCTTGCGACTCGCGCCGTTATCTAGTGTCGCACAGGGAAGCGTGCTCGCTGCGCCGGTCAGTCGGCGCGGTCGCCGGGCTGTTGCAGAAACAGCACTATAACCGGTATTTCCCTTTGCGCGCCTGCATTTTAAGCGGTATGTAATTACATGGAGTTCTATGGGAGGCGAACCGGTGGTTTAAAAAAGCCGCGTTATACCCGGTCCTGCACTATAAGTGGTTACGTGGAATGTTGAATTTAAGAGAAGGAAGAAAAGAGCCCGAGGGCCAGGTCCATCGTGTACTTTGTGCAGCCGAAGGGGTCCTCCCCTCGAAGCATCGCCAGGAGAGGCCGGCGGTGCCTAAATTTGTTTGAGCAGGCTTGGCAATCCTTAGAAAAGTTGGTTGTCTTGGAAACTGACCTGGCTTGGACCGTCTCCGTGGCAATGTACATGATCCCTACCGACCAATCATTTCGAGACTGAACAGGAACTCTAGCGATGTCACTCTGGTAGCCATGGCTGCCATATACAGTGGCTCCAATTCAAAGGTGATCTTTTGTCCGAGCAAAAGAAAGGCCAAAGACCACTTCTAATAATTTCTAAAACATTTGAATCTTTCTTAAGAGGGCTCAACATAGTACTGCCCAATTTCTGGCAGGATTTATGGATGGACATGTTTTTTTCATAAAGTGTAACAGCAGAAATTATCAAAACCGTAACCTCTGCTAACAATTTGAGGGGGAAAAGGTCTGTACTACAGTAAAACCTCGTTATAACAAAATGGGATATAACAAACTAATGGATATAACAAAGCAATCATAATTCCCCTTGCTTGCTAATAGTGGGAAGAAATGTACACTGGCTATAACAAACTAATGGTTATAACGAAATGATTATGATTGCTCCTTCAACTTTGTTATAACGAGGTTTTACTGTATTTGGCAGGCGACTGCTAGTTAAGGGGTATCCATACGAAGGAGAACTCCGCGAACGGATGTCGTGACGTCAACAACCAGGGAAACTCCGTCCTCGGCTCCGCTGCCCACCTGCGGAGCTTTCGTGCTGACAGTACGAAGCCTTCACCACGGAGGAGAACGGCGCAGCGAGGTGTCAAAAAGGGATGACGTATGTCTCGCGTGATGCGCGCTCTGCGGAGGAAAGTGGTGGATTTCTCCTTCGTGTGAATACGCCATTACAAGTAACAGACTGTTATGAAACTAACTGCACATTTCTTAATAAATGCAATGACTCATGAGATTGACTTCTGATTTGCCGAAAGTATAATGCTTACACTCCAATGTTACAACAGCCGAAGGTTGGAAACTTCCTAAAACAGTTTGAAACCGAATTTCGGCTGTTTCACCCCATCACTAATAAATATGTTGCACCCCCGCAGGAGAAGAGGGTGACGAGCAAGGACATCGACCGGGACTTTTTCCAAAAGGTGAGGCACGCTAACGGGTCTTGGACAGGATGGTGTAGAAGCAGGGCGCTTCATTACTAACATGGTAACTCAGGAGCGGAGGAAAAGTGGGACGTCCTATTCTTCTGCGAGCAGGTATTGTTGAACCTGCGTGCCTGAATGCTTGCTTTAGGTTCAAGCTACAGCAAGCTCAGAGGTCACGACCAAATCCGACCGCATCGTGTTCCGTCGCATCCGGCCATCTTTCCAATGTTCCGAGCGCTTAGTTAATTGTGAGTTTCACCGTTTTATACTGGCGTACTGCAATCTCCACTACATTAGTAGCGAAGATTTTAGGTGGGACTTCAGGGACCAGGCAAACATACATTCAACTGAGGGGTTCCAATTATCGAGGGATAAAGGGACTGCTCCAAAGACTAGGGGGAACCAAAAAAGCATTATGCAGAGTTACGCTCATGTAGGAAGTGCCACTTTTTGAGGAGATTCCACTCTATATAGGAAATTGTCACGTAAATGCTTGCACAAGTCGACTTGTAGCATCGAGACACCCTCCTGTTCATTGCTGAGTGGGCGTAAGAAGTCGCGGAGGTAGTTGAAGTTGGTGGGAAGAACTTTAAAATGGAACTTTTAGGGAGACACGGAGTGGTGGCCGACGTGAGGCCAAGAAACTTCTCCCTTCGAGAGGTTCTAAAGAAACCAAACCTCTTGGCAAAATGTTGAATGCCACTGTGAGGCTAGAGGCCAGTTTCTACATTTGTGGTCAAGTGCGGCCAAGAGAGTCAAAAGATATCTCGTCTTGTCTGTCCCTTTGTTTATTAGGGGCGAAGCTCCTTAGGGGCTAGCCATGTCCGATGTCCGGCGTCGGGTGCTCTTGCTCACGAGCACATACTCCCGTGCTCTTGTAGGGAAAAAAAAAAACAACCGCATCTTCACGTGGTAAATGATGTTGATTGGGGCGAAGCTCTGGCGGTGCTTGTCTGCGTAGACGGTGAGCCGCAGCATGCCGAGTCTTTCATTCGTTTTCATCCATGTCAGAAAGAAAATGTGTGGTATGGAACGTGGTTATATACGCATTTGACCGCAGCGTGACATGGATGAAAACGAACGAAAGGCTCGGCATGCTGCGGCTCAGCGTCTACGCAGACAAGCACTACCAGAGCTTCGCCCCAATCAACATCATTTACCACGTGAAGATGCAGTTTTTTTTTTTCCCCTACAAGAGCACGGGAGTATGTGCTCGTTAGCAAGAGCACCCGACGCCGGATAAATCACCTATGAATTTTTTTTAGAGCGAAGCTCTTAGGCGCCTGTTTCCGGCTTGAGCGGCGTTACCGTCGGCGTAACCAAGGTCACCCACGTGACCCCTCCCAGGGTCTCGCCCCCAGGTCACCCCAAGGTCACCTCAAGGTCACGTGACCCCCCCCCCCCCCCCCCCCCCCGAGGTCAGGTGACCCCCTCAGAGCATATTAAGAATGAGGGGAGGAGGAGGAGGGGTCTACTCTCCCCACAGTACCCTTCCCCCTCCTCCTCAAGAGCTGCGCTCCAACTCGGCATTATAGGGAGTTGTAAAGGGCTTTCACCTTTTTTTTTTTTTATCACATTGCGATGTTCTGACAAGCCGCGTGGGATGGTTGGTCATGGTTCTTTTTTGGTTATTGTTAATTTTAAATTCGAGATTTAAGGAAATATATTTGAGAATAGCGAGATGATTGACAAGTCCCCTCAAAAACAGCCTTTGACTGTTCGAGAGCACAAACAAAAAATAATAATTAAAAAAAAAACTGTAGCATTGAACACAGCGAGCCATTTGAATAACCTCAACGAGTTTTGTCGTGTTCCCTACTTTGCAGCATATTTTTACAGTCCATATGCCAATTTGAATCTTCATAAAACCGTCCACACGTAAAATATCGTTGATACACATAAATATAATACCTATTAACTAAATTTAAAAACTCAGTTTTCCCGAAACCTCCATAACACGAGGAAAACATTACACGTTTCACTTAAAATTATTATATCCTATAACCACGAGGAAAACATTACATGTTTCACTTAAAATTATTATATCCTATAATGGTATTTCAGTTGAATACTATTTGATACACCACTAATCTCATAGATAAAATTATAATGCACTCATTCTCAACCTAAGCTTTTCGTCAATAGACGACTGCGGCGAGAAGCTGAGGGAGAGGAGACGACGAGAGTGCACGGGGATGTCAGGTCGCCCAGCTTCGATTGGTTCACTGGAGCTGGGCCGATTGCCCAGCTCCGAGTGGGTAAACCTTTGTCGCCACTGCACTCGTTGAGCGCGTTCATATGCGAAAGCCAGACGCCGGATGCCAACGTTCCGCGTTCTAAAGCGGTCGACGAGTGCAGTGGAGGCGAAGGCAGCTAGCTTTAATTGGAGATTTGTGTTTGTCCGTTGTTCCCCTTCTCCAGGGACTATTTTAGTCATTCTTGTCCAGCTCGCTTGCACCTTTGCATTTGTTCTTTCTGGTGTTTTAATCGTTACAAACGTGCTCACCATAACTTCAGCCCTTTAGAAGTTCCTTCTGAATAGACCTTGTGCAAAATTGCTTGGTTTTCTGACAACACTGAGATCGTCAACATTTTAATGTTGGCAAGTGTCGCCGGTACCGAAGCACGGTGGAGGCATCGGAGACAACCGTACGGGCAGTGTGCAATGGCACGGCAGCTGTGTTCCGCCTGCTGACCATTAGAATGTGGACGAATAGTTTAAAAAGCCTACCGCAACTGTCTGACGAATCTCTCGGAGGCCTGTGCATGCTGGAGACAACCTCGTCGAAGCAGCGGAGCAAGTCAACCGCCTTCGCTGTGGAAGCTGACACACTGCGGGTTGTCGCCAGCATTCACAGGCCTTCGAGTTTCGTCAGACAGTTGCGGTAGGTTGTTAAAACTGTTTTGTCCACATTCCACGGTCGGAAGGCGGATAACACAGCTGCCGCGCCATCGCACACTGCCTGTATGGTTGTCTCCGATGCCTCCACCGTGCTTCGGTGCAGACGACGCTTGCGAACATTAAAATGGCTACGCCCTCAGTGTTGTCAGACCACCAAGCTATTTCGCATAAGGTCTATTATTGAATGAAAGCAGACGAGCCACTCTGTGCACGCAGAAAGCCCCCGAGGCTCACATCAAGGGCAGGACGGTGGTGGCAGCGGGGTCATCCGACGCCGGTGCCTCGAGCGACGGCAAGCCCTGGAAGAAGCACCACAATGCCAAGAAGAAAGAGAAGCTAAGACGCGTGTATGCCAACCACGACCTGTAAACGGGGTGAAGCGGACCCAATGTACAGAGTTTTTTTTCTTTGCAACGTCCTCTTTAATGTTAATAAACAAACGATGCCACCTGCAGTATGTATTTGTATAAATGTTTCTGCCTGGCTCAAAGTGATTGTCAGCACCCAACAGCCACCAGTTGCAACTTAGCATAGTACGAGATGGAGTTGTTGGTCTTCCTTTCAATGCAGTGGAACCTCTATGAGCAATGAATGCATCAAAACTCTTAATCCTCTTTGAATGTTTATTATGCCAATACTGCCGTAATAGCTAGCCATTTTCATTATCACTATTACGGTGAAAGCTTTTATAGTGAAGTAATTATATATCTTTTCAGGAAAAATTTTTTTATCACTTCTATATTTTCATTTTATTAATACCTTCAGTGCCGGAGTGCAAGTTCGTCTGCTTCTTTGCAGGGGTTTCAATGATGTCAGAATGCCGAGCTCTTATTGGCCGATTGAAAAAATGGTGGGTAGACCTCTACGCATCTAGCATTGAGGTGTAACCTCTGTCCTTCCAAACCCAATCGGAGCTCGGTGTCGTTCTTGCGTCGCCGCAACTCCTGTGCTAGAAGCTGACGACTTTCTCTCCACATTGGCATGCCAGGTGTTTCACGAAATGGCAGCCAAAATGTTCCATCGGGAACTAAGCAACTTGTAATATCAGTTTCTAGCAGAAACTACGCACTGTGAAAGGTTGCTGTCGGCACATGTTCAGCAGCCACGGGCTTGACCATGGCATGGGGAATACACCCCACAGTGCTTTTTCGCATACAGCACGTTTTGATAATTGCACCCCAAACTCTCAAAATCTTTTATTCCGCTGCATGTTTTTCGACGAACACGCAGCTTGTGACAAGCAGCACACCGTTCTCTTCTTTGCCCAATTGTGGTACAGACACCATCAAGAGTCGGCACAAAGGCCCATTGATAATTCAGAAAACTGTATTTGTGTTGCTGTACGGGCATCACCGTCCCCGGCATCGAAAAGATACAGCGACAACGCCGAAGCCCGTATGGCGCCACAGGCGCAGTTTCTACGAAAAACCGTACGACGTAAAATGGCATCCCGGCTCGCGACGCAGAATAGTTGGCTTAGCGACGCCATGTCTCGCTCTTGCCGTGTGTTCCTTTTCTTCGCCTCTCGGCTCGTTGCTCTTCCTAGAGTTCTCCACCAGACTTGGTCGGGGTCCCGTTAAGAACAGCCTTCGTCTGCCGGCTTGGCCGGCGACCATCCACCCCGGCCGGTCATCCTCATAACCGGGGGCTGTTGCCGAGGCAGGCAGCATACCGCGGCCCCGGTTGGAACACTAGAACCGCGCGGGGTCAGTAGAACTGCACCGTGTGCAAGATGGGGCGTTGCGCTTTCGCCTCAAACTCCTGGATCAGCTCGTCGATGTCGTTGTCCAGGTCCTCTGAGTCGCTCATCTGGAATGATCGGAACAATCGTGATTGGTACAGGCGCTCCACCATCGGTTTCTCGGAGCCGACTCGTGCCATGCTGATGACGTGGCTAAGCAGCCAAAGAGCATTTGATGTGGCGCTTATATGTGCATTGATAGTTGTACAGATGTACACTTGTGCACATCTGTACACAGAATAGGACACCGAGACAAGAAAGCCCATTCTGGTCAACCCTGACAAAATTCTTGTACATAGGGTATGTTATAGGGTCGTTAATGTTGGTGCAATTGTGTTTATGCAGACTTAAATACTCGTGTGTCACGTGACACGATGCACCAAGTCCTGTGGCATCACTGCGTCATTCCACCGCCAAACCGAGCAGATTCAGTAATATGTCGCTTGTCATCAGTCTCAAATACGTCTCTAAAAAGCCGTTTGAGATCCCATTCTCAATATGGGTTCTAGAGACCCAGGGGAAACTCCAATCATGCCCTAGTTTCACCGGGAGAGTTCCTCAGAGCCTCCGAAAGACTCTTCAAAGAAACTCGAGGGTTTCCGCAAGGTGTCCCGAAGAGTTCCTGGAGCACCCAAATTCCATCTCTCCCCGCCTGCGGAGAGATGAGAGATGCGACTTCGGGCGAACGGGAAGCTTCATACTTCGTCCAGATTGGGCAAGACTGGAAACACGCCTTACGCCGCCTCAAGCGAAACACCAGAGTTCGTAAATTTCCTACAGAACCTCCGTAAGCATACCACGTGGAGGTGAAAAATTTCCGACTTGAAAAGGTACGAGAGTTCCCAAAGTCAACCTTTCAAGTCCGTCCCCAACTCGGGAAAAGCTCGTCGAAGCCCCGCTTTTTCCGACGAAAATGCAAGAAACAGAAAGAGCGACCAAAGCGAGCGCTTCCACCCACCATCTGTGCAATCTCGCAGATGAGGAAGGCCCCGATGGTGGCCTCTTCGTGGTTGTCCTGTATGTCCAGGTTGATGATGTGCACCGGCGAGTTGTCGCATGTCAGGCGCCCGGACAGCTCTGCACACAGACGCCAATGCCAACATGTGCACGCTGCGGAGAGACTCTTCGTTTATGCCACAGCCACCGACGGGGCGAGAACGGCAGGGAGGGGCTTCAGTTGTCCCGTCTCCAGCGCAAGCTTTCCACCTTCAACGACGCTTTGGCGTCTTACGCACCTCGAGCGCGTGTGCAAGCAAAAGTGTGGCGGAAGGCACGGAGCACGTGCTAAAGGCCGGGCGTTTGGAGGATGCGACCTGCCATTCCCGTTCGGTCAGCGGCCGCTGGATTGTGGACCTCTTCCCGTCAAGCCGGGGGACCTCACCTTCGACCACCTGGTCGTAGACGCGCTCCTCCACGGTGAAGATGACGTCAAACTTGTCGTAGCAGTTCTGGAAGCGCTCCGGGCTGGATTTGATCCGCCGGTTTCGATCCAGCATGTGCAAGATACCGTTCTGGGTGTAGCTGCGGCAAGGGTCGTTAAGGGAGCAGCTTTCTGGCACAAAAATATTGAGTTACCAAAACGAACGAGCTACATCGCTGCTTCCGCCTTTCCGGTTCGTTCTTGTCAAATGACTATTATTGCCCGTGTCCTCTTGGCCTTATGAGAAAGAATTTCGACGGCGCTAGTATACGGCTGCTGACAAGTTAAAGGCTAATTTGTGCATTCGCCTTACGCTGCGATCAGGTGCGTTGTGCAGCCTTGTGATGAACATACACAATGGCAAGCTGGTGCCATGTTTGAGGTAGCCCTGGAACTGCACCTAAGTAGCGAGAAGGTTCTGCTGTACTTGCGGGACCCAATGCATATACTATCCACGACAAACGGTTGTTTATGGCATTGTCATAAGTTATTTTAAAAGCCCTGTGGTGAAAAAACAATGCACAAACAAATTAGAAAATATGAGCAAATCACGTGTTCAATGGATCGCGTTGGTGCATTCTCTCGTAAGCAATCGCAAGGCTACACAACGTACCCGGATGCAACCAAGTGCAAGTGCATGAAGTGGCCTTCAAAAATGAAACGGGAGTTTCTATGAATAGCACTTGAGCATCACATCGCGCTTAGGCTGTTCTTTGAGGCATCAAAGGGATACAGGGCCTTGTCCTTCTCCATTAGGTCCTGGTACATCTGCTCGTAGGTCACCCCAAAGTCGTAAACATTGGGTTTGTCGGGGGCAGAACCAGGCAGCTTGACCTGCGCCCCCGACCCGAATGAGCGCACCTTGAAGCCTTTCTTGCTGCAACGACAAAAACACATCGCTCGGTTGCAAGCGTCTGCCCCAACAGGGCCCGTTCAGCAAACCCCCTCCCCCCGACTACGCTTTCCACAGCCTGTCAGTACTACCCCACCGACATTACAACACTCATGTTCACCTCAAGAAAGAAAACATTTTTTGTGCATTGTCCGCACGCTACTTGAAGTAGTGCATACAGCATTTGGTTGTCGAAGACAATGCATTCTGCATATGAAACGTGCTTGTTTCTATAAAATAAGTAATAAATCTTCTACGACCCTACGCTGCACTTTCTCCAATTTCTAATGCGCGCAATTTTTTTTTAGAAAAACATACCTCAAACTTGCCTGCACGTTAGAAATTAATATGAAACCAAAATCGGGGGGGAGGGGTGATGTTAGAAAAATAGAATTTAGGTATAAAAACTGGGGTTTGCATTAGAATTGGGAGCACGTTACAATCAGGTAAAGACAGCATCTGGGCACTTCGCACAAAAGTGGAAATTAGTGGTGCCCTAAGAGGAGATGACCTTTTTTCACTACGGCTCTTGACGTGAGAGCGGGCAAAGAGTGGCATGGTTAGCACACCTCCGACGAGATACAGAATCTCTCTTTCCCAGAAGCACACCATGGCGTCTGCAACAGTAGTACAGAAAGCGGACATGGCTAGCAAGGAAGGTAGCGCTTTGATGAGCCGGTGATAAGCGCCGAAGAGGCGTGCGCAGCCCTTAGAAACAAGCGCTTACGAGGGTTTGGCAAACGACAGTCGCTATACAAGTTCTTCTACGCTATACTCCACTTCAGCATAACTTGGCAAAGGACATACGCTACGACCTCCGTAAGCGAATTAGATCGATAGAGTGAGGCTTGCAACGGTGTCCTACAATGCTTCACTGAGGCCATAGTTCTCACTCTTTACCCAAGTTAGAACATAGTAAAATAGTGCTGCAATGGCTTGACCAGTTCCCCAATCATGTCAAGTAACCTGAACAAGTCTGTCAACGGTATCTGCGGGTTGCTGTTCATTCCTTGCTCCCTGCAAAGCCCAAATTCTCAATATATTTGTCCACAAAGTAACGAAAGCATTAGACTAGACATCTAAAGTCATAGCACTACACGATTTATGGAGCATGTATGACGAGTAGCTCTTGTGCCAAATGAATGAATGGGAGTTCAGGCGGCGACGTAGGCAAGAGGGCCAGACACTGTAGCACCAGCAAAACAAATGACTTATAAGCATGGCAGGGAAAGTTAAGGCGGGCCAATTTAGTTACACGCTGGATGTGCGCCAAGGTATGTCTGCAGCCAAACTTACATGGAAGTGAAAGAAAGGTTTCTCCATTCAGTATGTTTTTAGCCAACTTCCAAGCATTAGCTTTTTCTTATTTCTCCCAGAGTATTTTGTCAGCTGTTTGCCCAAGGAGTTGAGTGCAACAGGTCTTCTGCCGCACTTGCTTGGCAACACTTCCACCCCTATGCAAATTCTTTAGGAGATTTTCCAGCACCTGACCTGATATGCATATTGAAATCTTTTGTATGTTGCACTACTTGCCATTTCTGAATGTTGTATAAAATGCAATGAATGTAAAAAAAAAAAATTAAAAAAATAAATAAAAGACGAGTGCAAGCCAGTTGGTGCAGGGTAAACCTATGGGGAGAAAAAAAAATAAATAAATAAAAGGATGCAGCCTCTTAAATGCTCCACTAAGCACAACGCTAACCTTCTAATTAGATGCTGTAATGTTGTTTGAATGGCAATCACCCACGTCGGTTCAGAACCAATTTTGCACACCCATAATGACTCAACTGATTATGCAACACAGCAAATCTCCTTCTTTTTTTCTTTTAACATTGAGCGCAGTTTTGTCGAACCAATCCGTCCAACCCGTTCGCAGACGCTTCTAGCGATAGCCGTTCGACTATCAGCTGAATGGTGCAGACGAACTTTCCGTGTCCAATGTCGAAACCGGCTACCGTACAGGGTCAGCCACAAGCTCTTTAAACAAGTCGCATACTTGCTCGAATGTTTCGCGTCACTGCCTGCCGAGCACAACGCCCAGTCTGCGACGGACGAGCGATTAAACTTTGAATTTGCACTTCTCACAACGCATGCATTTATATTTCCAAATATCGTTATTATTAAAAAAGAGGGGAAAAAAAAAAGTTGCCGCTGTTGGATTACGTCACCGGTGACCGTGAGGGAAACCCCGGGCGAGGTTTCAGTTATCGCGTCACCATTTTAAGCCGGCACCATCCACTTTCGAAGATAAGTTGTGTCTCATTCCCGAGAATGAATTAAACGCCCGCACAATTCAATTATTCGACGGCGAGTTACCGAGTCTACCGGATACCAACCTCAGAAACGCATGGGCCTCCATGCTCCGGTTCTGGTTGCTGGAACATACCACAGCGATACGCAGCGATCCAGGCATGTCAGACCAAAGAATATATTAAAACACCTAGGGGAATACAGTGTGCGCGGAAAAAGCTAGGCTCGACGACTGCTACCCAGTGGTCAAGTTCAAATGAGGCAGTAAGCTCTCCGGCCGCCTCTACTGCTCGACGCATTCCTCCATCGCATGTTAGCTCCGGTGGTTAGGTTAGGCTTTTTTTCGTTACTGCGGTCCCTTGGGAGTGCTCGGGGGCTTGCGGAGAGGCTGGGGGAAATGTCCACGACACAAGGCAAAAGTAATTTCAGCGATCTTGGGCCACGGTGACAGGCGCAGTCGGGCACCGCCGCTTCAGGGAAATCGGAGAATGAACCAAAATGAACCAAATACCAAATGATAAGAACAAAAAAACACACCAAAAAACGAGCCTACGCTACCGCACAAAATTACATTTTACATCATTTTAAACAATTAAACAATTATAAAACATAAGGCTAATTTAAAAATATTTTATAGTTTTAATAATTGTAATTAAGATTTAATTTGAAGAAACAAAAATTTTTTTAGTGCGGTCTCTTACGTCAAAGGAAGGAACGTCATCAAAACCGAAACCGACTTATTACCGCGAATGCTTATTATAAAAGTCAAAATACAAGTTGTAGTGCTAAAAGTACTAGTATTCTAATACATCAAAACATCTTATTGCTTCTAAATAGCGACAATTCAATCAAACAAAACTTTTGTTTTCTGGCCCCTAGCGCTTCTTGCCCTGGTGATAAAAGAGTGAACTCCGCTTCATTGGCATTATGGCATTATTGTGCAAAATGGCGGACTTTCTTGGGTGCGTTCTTGTGCAGTTGTTGTGCCGATGAGCGCTTTACAGGCTCATTAGGCGGTTAACGCAGGTTGTGGCCGACCAGAGTGTCCGTGCGCAACATCTTGTTTTGGCGTGTGAAGTGTTTTCTTGTATCCCCGGCGCTGGAAACGCTAGTTGAAGCGTCGCCGCTGTTGTTACCCGCCATGCCGCTGCGGTACTCGGGACTCGTCTGCCACGCAAGCCTTTGAAAACGGCGCTTAAGCACATGCCCGAACTTCGTGTGCAAGAACTTGTCTAGTCATCTTTGAACTACCGTTGCGCTGTGAGTACGATGTCCAATTTCTAGGTGAAGTGCCGGTTGGATCTCCGTCCGCGTGGCACACCGCCCCGCTATGGTCGTTTATGAATTTAAAGTCGCGATGCATTCTTTTGTTCCATCATTGCGGTTTCTAGCGTAGTTCGCGACTGCGTGGTGGTTAGTAAAAAAAACAAGAAGAGAGTAAGGCCGCTTGGTGTCTTTAGACCTGTCGCATGGGCAGGGTTGGCATCGAAAGCTAGACGAAATGGCACAGGAATACAGACATCTTGGCGCAGTCGAGGGCTGTGAGCGCTGTGCCTGCGGGGCTATGAAAGCGAGAAAACGCACAGAATTACGTCTTGCTGCTCGCGACGTCTGTCATTTGTGCCTCTTTTTGACCATTGAAGTGCGTTTTCGTTTGGTTTGCGACAGTTATTCAGGAGCCAGATTGTGTGTGCTCACCCCTTGGTGTGCAGACTTGCAGCATTAAAAACAGCAGTCTGAATTGTGTCTGAAGTTAAAACGTGAGACAACCTCCAGCTCGACTGCTATTTGTCATTATGTCCACACGTACAGACTTTCGAGGCTCACCTCTGTTGCCCAAAGAAGCAACTGCAGCCTCCACAGAAATGCCTCCAGTTTTGAGTTGCATTTGATTCGAGTTTTTTTATGCTTTAAAAAGAAAAGACGGTGCTAGAGTGGTATAGCCGCTCTGTCGCATGGGCGCACAATGGTGTTAAGAGGGGTCACTTGGCTCGCTGTTTGTTTGCCTGAACCTGACCTCCATGCAGCATTGAGGAAGGCTGTGCACAGAGTTTGGATGCTTTGAAAGGCCTCCCAAGTTGGGGCACCCTCCAAAGCTAGTTGCACCTATGGCGCTGCTTTCAATGCCTCATACAACTTTTGAGAAACTGTTTGACAAACAGTGGCAAGGGACTAGCTAAGCTGATTGAACTTGCACAGTAAGAGATTTGCATAAAGGTAGAAAATGCGAGAACAACGAGACAGATACTAATGAATTTTTGCAGTGCATCCTCTTTTTATTTTGCTGCCCCTCTGATAGGACACTTCTCAAAACTTAAAATCCTAACACACTCAAAAAAGTTTTTTCTCTCTCTCTCTCTCTCTCTCTGTATTATGGAGGTGTGGACAGAGTAAAACGAATTGCAGTGACTGTATGGTACTTTCTAGTTCTTGAGCAAAGGAATGTTGTGTAACCTCTTTCTGATTCGTGGTATATAAAAGTGCAGCCATCTTCCAGGAAGAAAAAACAGAACTTTATTTCTAGACTGTTATTGAACCGACCCATTAGGAGAGTGGTGAAGGCCCCCTTCACCACTCTCCTAACGGACTGGTCACACACTTCGGACTCCTTAGGACAGAGTGCCATAAAACCTCTTAAAATCTCTTACAACGAGGCGACACACTGGCACGGTGATGCCATCTATGCGGTGACCCTGAAACTGCATTTTACTAGAGTGACGGTTTTGTGGTATCTGCGATGTGAGACATCTGTACTGCCTAGGAGAAATGATTGTTTATAACATTGACAGAAGTTTTTCGAGCCAAGAATGAAAATGATACGCAAAAGAAATAGGAAATCTACGGGACCTCCAGATGTTCCCTGGTTACCCGGTAGGAGCTGCCAGTCTCGTCGTTAGAGAGTCTAGATTGAGGAGAGGGTCAATCTCAAACCTCGGGAAGCGTTGGCAATTTATTGGCGGACACCTCTTGCGGCAGTCGGTCGCAAGCGCGATGCGCCGCGTTTTTGCACGGGAAGTAGTAAAGGCGGAGACGTTTGTGGACGATCGACGCTTTCGTCGCCACCTCACAACTCGTCTTGCAAATGCGGCCCCTGAACCACGTGATCCCCATCGAGCAGTTGGCAACTCTCTGTAATACGGGCTCTCCACTTGGCGTGAGAGATTTCAAGAGGTTTCAAGGCACACGGTCCTAGAATGCAGGTGTCCCCGCACCAATAAGAAAAAGGAATGAAATAAGATGTGTGGTTCCAAAGCAAGAAAAAGCCTTGTGGACAGTTCATTGGGGGCTGTGTTCCGGGACAGCACAAAATAAACCTGCAAACAAAAGTTTCCGCCTGCACAGCTTCTTTTTTATTTTATTTTTATTTAAGGGCAGTTCTGATTTGGGGTTTATCGATTTTCCTTTATTATGACAAAACTGGCCCAAGGGTTAACTTTTAAGGTTTATCAGTATTAACTGATAACAGAAAAACTGATAACACGAAACCCTAGTTATAAGCAACCATTCCTTATGGACAGTGCATAGAGATCTTACAAATACTGCAAAATTTTCAGTCTAGTTATGTGGTCTCACTCATTTGAGTGTGGGGGCCAGATAGTCCACACTGGAAAGGCCAAGGCTCAATGGTGGGGGGAAGGGGAAGGGGAAGGGGGTTTAAATATATTTAAAAAAAGAAATTGAGGTGTGTATATGTTTATACAGCCTAGAACTTGGTCTGCCTGAACAGGCGACAAGTCTCCCAGCTGTAGATGAGATATTTAACCAGTACAGTACAACCACTAGCCTCTAGTTTTTAACGTGCACCACGCAGTAGTGATACACGACCGCACGCTGGCACGATGCTCGTCCAGATCGAAACAGACAGGGGTGCAGATTGAACCCAGGGTACTGGGTTCTGCAGCGCAAGCTTTCGCTCCACGTACTCGGAGCTGGTGTGCGCTAACCCACTCGGCCACCGATCCACCTTCGAAAGATTTTAAGGAGAAGAGACCTTGTGCTCTATGCTTTTTGTAAACTCAGTTCTGCCAGGGACATCTTTAGATTTGATTTGTTTGCATGACTACTTTGGGGCCGTGACCTGATGTAGTAAAAAGAATTAAAATGACACCAGCCTGCCAAAGTGCTGACGTTTTTAATAGAACAAGTACACTATTGTTCTTGTTGCTCAATTCCCTCGGGAATTAACCAAGCTTAACTCAGGATGCCTTCGGGACTGGATACACCTAAGGGGCGCACTGCAGCACCGCAAAGCCATATTGGACTCGCTTCTTGACTTTGTCGCGATAGCAAACATCGAGGACTCCATCCGATTAGAGACATTTCTGGTACCCCGCTACCTATCCACACCCCATTCCCCCACCCCCTTCTCTCTCCAATGTTTGTGGACAATTGATTAGAGAGAGTCGTACATGCTTGTTTTTTTTTATTAATAAAACATGTTCAATCAATCAATCAATCAACATGTCTTTGAAAAGCAATCAGTCAATTTGACAGTTCTTGCTTTCCTGACGATTTTTATTACGACACTCTGAAAAAATACTTGTGTTTTAATGGAGATATCTTTTTAAGGTGAGAATCCCGAGCTCGTAGCTTTATCTTTTGCACTTGTTCCTGCTGATCTAGAGTTTGCACTGCCGAGATCCCTCAACAAAGGGTTCGCGCTTGCAGCCTCGTAGTGGAATTTTGGTACATTACAAGAAACTGGGAAGCAAGAAATAAATCGAAACAAATGAACACAGATAAGTATACTTTATGTGAATACGTTAAAGGAGCAGAGCTACTTTTCGAGCCAAGATGAATCGGCTAGATGAGATCGCTGCCATGCATGCCATTTGTAGTGCTCAAGACATGGGATCCGGGATTCATAAATGGTTGCCTGCAGGCCGCGTCCCAGCATGTCGCGGGCCGCGTGTTTGAGACCTTTGGTCTAGTTGGATGAATGAGAAAATGTTGATTTAGCCGTGAGTTTATAGAGGGTGGTTTCACTGCAGCAGGATCCTCTTGGGGGGGATCGGGCAAGGCTGGCACTATCCAAGTAGGACAATAGCTGCTTCGGCTGTTATAATCTGAAATTTTCTAGGTTCCCGGTTTATTTTTTTTTTCGGGGTTCCTGGGTATTTTTCCTGTCATCGCCAGTGCTTTTCCATTCTGGTGCGAAATGCACTCCAAGAGAAAATGTTTGAGATTGGGTGTGGTCGTCTTCTTGCATCGCTTGCACTCCGGAGGCCCAAAACCGAAATTGGGTTCAGTCTAGATACAAGCCGACACTCTTTGCAATCAAGTGTGCGTTTGCTCGCACCTGGTGCGGGCACTGTGCAAGTGCAGGAACCACATTCGCATAGAGAGGAGCACCTGCACATGCACCGTGCCGACAATTGCACCACTGCAGTGGCATTATATCAGGGCCACGTGTTGGTGCACATGCAAATCGGAAGAGTTGTGTGGCTACCCAATAGGTGGTGCCAGTGTGCCAGTTTTTTTCTATTTCATCGTAAGTAGTTACAAGTGCTCTAACACGCGGTCCCACTCAAACACAAATCTGCGAGCACTCCCACGGTGCTGCATGGAGTTTCGGGGCAAGACAGATCTGAGGGCTGCTGGTCTCAACGGCCCTGTCTTGTTCATCTTCCCGCAGGAAGGAGCCATGCAGGTGATCCAGACGCAGCCGATGACTCCCTCCCGCTTCCAGTACGGGGGCGGGGGTGGCCCCAAGTATGGGGGTGGTGGCGGATACGGGGGCCGTGGGGGCGGTGGCAACTTCCGCCAGGGGCTGGCTCAGATGCAGAGCATTGAGTTCGATGGGAAGCGGCTCCGCAAGGCTGTAGCCCGCAAGACGGTCGACTACAACACTGCCGTCATCGAGTACCTCGAGGTACGGAGACACCTCTCACGTCGTTAGTTTTCAACACGTGATGCGTCCCAGGGCCGCGAAGTACAATCACATCTCATTAATGTGGACTGTTGATACAGGCACTCTGCTGTATAGACTGTGTAGGCAAAATTTTCGGGGATGAACTCGGTAAACACTTTTTTGTCCCGTTATTATGAATGGCTAACGTTATTGACGATTTTTGGGGGAGGGGGATGGTGATGTCCATATTAACAAGACATGACTGCACCTGCTGCTGCAACTGGTTAACATTTCACCAACTGCAATTTCGTTTGGCGATCATTACCTTTTGAAAATTGTACCGACAAGTAAATGCATTGGCTTCGATTTGGTCTCAACATTGGCGCTAGGAGCTGTCTTTATCTCAAACTCTTTCATGAGTGGAGTGAACCAACTGTCATTTTATCCGGTTTGAGAACTGAACAATTAGTGAGCAGTTCCAGCCCACCTTGACACTTTGGGGATATTTCTAAATTGATTAGAAAGCAACTTATAGTTTGTAGTGAGTAACTGTAATCACTTTGATCTCTAAGAACATAGCCGTATTTGTAGTTGAAGTATTTTTTGGTTCGAGTAACTATAATGTAACTAACTTTTGGAAGTAACTTTTACGGCTAAGGCGCATTGCAATCGGTAGGGGCGCTGTCAAATGTAGAGCCACTGTTTATGGCAGCTCTAGCTGTCGAAGTGACGGCAGCTAAAAGTGCCATATCCAGTGGCCCTCTAGTCAAATCTCCTGGAAAAATGCAGTTCGACTGTGCCTAACTGTCTCTTCTACTTTCTTGAGGCGTCTCCACCGCTCTCTGGGTTTCAGCATTGTTAGCGCAAGGTTTTTGGAAAGGCACGAGCGCTAAAATGAGTGTCTTGCGTGGCTATGCCTTCTGTGCTTGTCCATTTGACTGCAGACATACGACTTGTGGAATGGGGCTGTAGACGACTGCCTTTATGGCTCAATCAGTGTTCCTCTTTTGGAAAGATTGAGGTGGTAAACAGAACACAATCTACACCAATGGCTTCATACAAAACTCAAAACCAAACTTTCTTAAATGAGTATGTCCAAGAGTCGTTTGGTTTGTTTCCCTTTCCCTCTCTCTTTTTATGCCATTCGAGGGGAGCTGCGATAATCCCTTCTTTATTTGAGGTTTGGGGCACGAGATGATCTACAATGGGGACTCGGGGAACGTCCTGGGGAGCTCAGTCTAGGTCACCGTACCTCGGCAAAGCTTAAAGGATGACCACTTTCCTGCGGCCAGGGACCAAAAGTGTGTTGTGACCGCATGCCGTTGGTCCGCCAGTTGGTAAAATGGAGCGAGCACTCGTTGGGTCAAGTTTGGAGTGTGCATGTGTGCCTGCTTGTGATTTGCTCACCGGTGATTCCCGGTGCCCCAGAACCGTGTGTGGCAGCGTGATTACCGGGATGCCAGGGCACTGCAGCCAGACTCCGGCTATTACACACGGGTGAGTGACTCCTCTTTGTTGCTTTATTCAATCCGTTTAATTTAGTATGGGAAGGATCAGAGTGTCGCATCACAAAACCTTGATGCTTAATGAGCGTAACCTTCTTTGTTGCTTAGTTACCATGGCTACACACATTAATAATTTATAAGTGGAACAGACATGGTTGGTGTAACAGCCTCAAAAAACGAGAACGAAAAAGGAATAGACACGACAGGACAAAAGCTGTCGTACAGCTGTTGTCCTGTCGTGTCTATTCCTTTTTCGTCCTCGTTTTTTGAGGGTGTTACACCCACCATGTCAAACTTTTATCAACTCGCCCAGTTCAACACCTTGTTAAAGTAGAACAGATTTTAAAAGGGGGAGGAGGGGGGGGGGGGGGGGGGGGCCAAGCCAGGAGTTATTTATGTGTCATCTTCATCATGTGTTTATCAGGCTCGACAGACATTAATGACGGAGTACCTGTCGCAATACGTTGACTAATTATTTAAAATTGATTGTTTAAAGGACCCATGAAACGAATTTTGGGCTGGAGTAAATCAATTTATATTGGGATTTTACTAATAGCACATCGTTCAGTGGGCCAAAAGAACAAAGGTAGAAAGTCAGAAGGCTGACTTTCGCTACAAAAATTTGCAAAACATAGCGGACTATTTCGTACCTCCTTCCCTTCGTAAACTCTCCGCTTTTCACTGTGATACATCCGCGGACCCCGCAGCGCGTCACGGGGCTACTAGCCACCATAACCGGGCCCCCGCAGCGCGTCACCAGGGCCCAAGCGCACGTCACACGACACACGACCTCACTTAATCCCTTTACCCCTAAGCTGACATTGCGGTGGAAGCTAAGTGCTTGCCGGACCAATCAGCCGCCTCCCTTTCATCACCTGACCTCATTCTCTGCGGGTCGGTATGCGCGAGAGGGCGTGATCACGTGGAAAATGTGTGGCTGGCCCAACGAGCACGTAGCTTCCACAGCACCGTCAGCTTCGGGGTGAACGGGGTGGGGAAAGCAACTAGTCGGAATTTTGAGCGACGGGCTAATCTTCTAGGGGGACAATGGCTGTGTCCGGGCTACACAAGCGAGATTCCGAGCAAGGGGGGACTCCCTTCTTTCCGACTTCTTGAACTGTTTGGTACAATGCGCGATTTATGAGTTGAGGAGGAAAGCTAAACAGAAAAAAGTTGAAAAAGCGTTTCATGACTCCTTTAAGTTTAATTGTTGGTCATGTTGCAATTGCAGTTTTCAAGACAGCCATTACTATAGGCTATTTAAAAACAGTTGATGGAATTTCAATGGACTTAATTCCAAAATTGTACATGAGACCTTCCATCCAGAATGACATGTTAAAGTGTGACATACCGTAAAATACCGAGCAAGCAATCACTCGAAAGTAAAGATAATCGCAAAAAAATAGGGGATGGGTGCATGTGAGGTCATCAGTTTTACATATATATCTACTGTGCATATTTTTTCACATGTTTCAGATTTTGGGGGTGGGCGCCAGTGATTTCCCCTCACAGCCCCAGGGACGGTTTACACCCCCCCTTGCTTTTCTGAAGGCACCCCCTTAATTCGGAACAACTCCTTTATTTTCAATGCACCCCCATCCCCTAACCCCCCCCCCCCTAAAAATTTAGACCTCCCCCTAATTTCAATTCCTGGGGAAATTCCTGGTGGGCGTAGTGCGGAATGGGAGGATGCACGGTATTCTGCGGTAGTTGTACCACACACCTTATCATGATCTCAACAAAATGTCCTTGGCAGACGGGCCAATATTGCACTGCCAATGTTGGCACAATGTTGTCACCCCTAAGACGAGCGTGGCACTCTTCTATGCACCATGTTCCACAAAAATGCAAAAATATTATTGCATATCTAAAATCCAATAGGAGAATGCTGAGAATGTTGGTATACACCTGCAATCTCTCACCTTACGCGTATCAAAAAGTTTGAAGTAAATGACCGAAATAATGCGACGTGCGTGCTCAGTGCCATCTGTTTTAGATTTTTGCTTTAGAACAGTTGCTTCCGCAGATGTTACGTGTGCAACACGCGTAACTACTCTTGCTGCGTGTTTCGTAGTGCTTAGGTAATTTAACGAAAGGTGTATCGTCTTTGTGCGAATTGTTTAAATTAAAAGTAGATTAGCCTCTTTTAATGACTGCCTTTTAAACTGCAATTGCAACGTGGCCCATTAAACCATTAGCTAAAAAGGTAACGGATGAATTTCTGTTGATTTGCCAATTTATTGTGGCGCCTATTGCTTCATGCGTCACAAACACACACTGAGGACAGCGTTTCTGTGACTTGAGACGCTAACGTGCAGTGCTCATATTTGCTCCTATACGCAATACTAATACTCTGTAAAGGCTGGTCCACACACTTGCGACTGCTTACAACCGCGTGCACTAAAATCTCTCAAAATCTCTTGCAACGAGAGAACAGATTGGTGCCACCCATCGGGCAGCCGCACAACACTTGCAGCCTCCGTATTTTCACACATCACTCTTTTTTTTTTTTTCTTTTTTCGGTTGGAAAATTTTTGACAATGTTATAATTGATTATTTGTCATGGATAGTACATAAATTTGATCTCGCGGATTCCGCAAAACCTTTGCTCTAGTGAAATGCAGTTCCAGGGTCACCTCGGAGACAGCACCAGCATGCCTGAACGGGCCTTAAAGGAGCTGTGCAACAATTTTAGTGCTTCCCGGCTTAAATAATTTGGGAATTGATGTCTCAACCTTTCTGAAGTAAAGAAAAAAAAACGCTTTTGCCTGTATGTCCTAGTTTTTATTTTAAAACTTGACAAAGATTGAGGTTTTTGGCACCTCTCAACTCCTTCACTATCTTCCGTGTCGCTGTGACGTGAATGGGGGACGCGCGGGGTTCTGGTGAAGCCCTCTCTCTAGAGCCATCAGTGAGCAGCGAGAACTCACCCGCTCGCGATCACGTGACCATGTGCTTGCACAGCTGCGCAGCGCGATCAACATCGTGAGGGGAATAAAGTCTCGTCCGAGTCCGGCCATCCCCGTCCGCTCTGCCCCCCAGCCCCTCCAGCTTCTGGCGGCTGTTCGCGGTAGCAGATAGAGCTGACGGTATTGTTGACCTCAGATAGATGGTGCCACTAAAACTCCGTATAATAAAAGTTTTGTCGATGATACCAGGTTTTTGATGCATTTATATTTATGCTGGAACGACAAGATTTTTTTATCGAGCAGGTATTTGCACGACTTTCTTTCTTTTTACAAGTCCCCCATTGATGTCATGCCGCAAGGTTCTCATGGCCGCCAATCACGGCTGCGGTTCGGGAAATGTAGATATTACGCGGCGGAGTCGCAACATTTCGAAGGAAAGAGATGTGTGTCCTCTTCTTTGTGACAGGATAAACAGTGTCAAAAGTAGAAGATGCAAATTCTTTCAACATTAAAATCGTTTTGCAGCTCCTTTAACAATGTCACATAATGTGGGGCACGCTACGCGCGAAGCTCTGCAGCAGAGGTTCCACGACCGAGTCGATCTAATGAAGTCAGAGTCGGCTGCGTTCATTGCAACCGCAGAAAGTGCGTCGCATTTCGTTCAGCGCATGCCTCTTCTTTTGTGGCGTGGCACACGGTGCGCAAACGGGTCCCCGGTTTACGACGAGCCTTGTGCTGTGCTTTCTCTCGCAGCTGGTACCTCCCCTGGCCATGGTGTCGAACCCCATCAATGCGGTCACCACAAAGTTTGTCCGCACGTCGACCAACAAGATGCGCTGCCCCATCTTCTGCGTCGTGGTGAGTGCCTCTTCTCGGGCTCTGCTTTCCGACGCATCTTCCGCGGGAATGTGCCATTCTTAGAAGGGAAGAAATGGCCGTCCTCTCTGCATTTCCCAGGGACGTTATAAATGCGTCCCATTTATAGGGCTTCTTCACGTTCCTTGTGAGGGTTTTGCAAATATGTAAAGCCGTCATAATGTCTCACGGCACTGCAGTGTCACGTGACACTGACGTTATTGGGGCTACATGTCACAAACACAAAACCTTTGAGGCTGGCCCAATAACTGCTGCACATTTAAAACTTCTTTTGGATTTTGTAATATATCATAAAATACTGCAGAAGTACCCACTTCCTTCAAGTGCCCACTATTAACATTTTCCAAGCTTGATAAGTCTGCAAATTATATGTTAAGCCCCCAATTTGACCAGACAAGCGCCCAAGTACAGATTAACCCGGTTTTCAGTGAAAGTGGGGTCAGTGCTTCCCTTGTATTTTACGGTAGTTTAATTTTTTAGTGAATGCTGTATGAAAGTGGGAATATTTTTTGTTGGTTTCGGGACACGGACGTTTTTGCCTCCCATGTTTCAGTGGACCCCCGAGGGGCGGCGTCTCATCACGGGGGCGTCGAGCGGAGAGTTCACCCTGTGGAACGGACTCACCTTCAACTTCGAGACCATCCTCCAGGTGAGACGCACTGCTCTGCAATGGGATCCTTCTCACTACAAATGGTATATGTACTATATTTTCCGGTCTATAAGTCGCATCTTTGTAAAAGTCACTTTTCTTTGTACATAGTTACGGAGCGCTACGAATGAGAGCACTTGGAGTTGCTGCATCCACGGGCCTATGTCGTAATGCTTTAGACCGGTTTTGGTTTGCCAGAAGAGTTTTTCAGCAGCAAGAGCAAAACGTTGAGTTTAATGTGAGATTCAGTTGCAACTTATGGCCCCTACGTATATTTAAGAGGTGCGTATAAATCCCACTGACTTAGATTTCGTGAAAGAACCGCCACTCGTGCGTTTGAAAATATGGTACCCGCCTGTGGACTTTGCGTTGGCATTGTGGACTGGAGGAGACGGTGCGAAGTGTCTCGCCTCCCTCCGCGCAGGCGCACGACTCGTCGGTGCGCTGCATGGTGTGGAGCCACAACGACACCTGGATGGTGACGGGAGATCACTCGGGCTACGTCAAGTACTGGCAGTCCAACATGAACAACGTGAAGATGTTCCAGGGCCACAAGGAGGCCATCCGAGGCATCAGGTGGGAACGCCCAGGGACCTCCTCCCCCTTCTCTCTCTCTCTCCCCTCTCGGCCCAGAGCACGCCCTTCCCCCTCGAAAACACGACGGCCCCTGCTGAGGTGGCAGGCCGGGCCGGTCGGTAAACATAGGTGACGGGGATAAACAGCTCGGTAAATGCGGACAAAGAAAAAGACGCAGCCACGACGGCATTGTGCTGTACCAGCAACTGAGGTTTAAAGATTGGTTCACACGCTTGCCTTTGCTTACGACCGCGTTCTTGTGATCACTTACCTGGAACTGCATTTCACTAGAGCGAAGATTTTGCAGCATTTGCGAGTTCAGGTGTGCATGCTGTCTATGGAAGATGGCCTTTTATAACGGTGTTAAAAGCTTTTCAAGCTCATAAAAAGCTTGCGATCTCTTTTGGTGAGTTCTTTCATCATAAGAGATTTCAAAAAGTTTTAATGCACTTGGTCGTCAGCAGTCGGGAGTGTATGAACTAGTCTTTACAGTTGGGTATGCAGCAATGTACTGTCATGGCAATGGCTTGTCGTTGTCTGCATATAGTAAGCTGTTTATCCTCTTCATGCTCAATGGTCCCCAACCTTTCATCGCCTGCAAAGAGTGCAGAATTCGGGCGTACAGTTCGCCCTTCAAGGCCTCTGTCGTGAGATTGCTGTGCCGCGTGTTTTTGGGGAGGTGGGTTTTCTGTGCCGAATGTTCTGTATTGCGTTGCGTGATTGTTGCTCAATAAAGTGGCGCTGCATCGTTTTGTTTCGAACCGAGCCCAGTCAAATAAACTCTTAGCCGACGGACTTTTTTTTTTTTTTTTTTTGCAAGTGCAATAAATTTTTTTTAGGTGGTGCTCCAAAAGAAAGAGCACAGCTGTTTCAGTAAAAAGATGAGAAGGCACGTGGGATCGAACGAGCATTTCGATTCCGCATACAAAGGCGTGGCAGAGCTTCGTCTTTGTAGGAAGTTTTACGTAACTAGTTGCCGCCTCGTTATCAGTTTCTGTTTTTGATTGCAGAGTAAGAGAACAACTGAGTCTTGACTCTTGGCACGTGTTATTTTCTCTCGCGCAATAAAATTCTTTGAAATTTTGTGAAGCGATAAAAAAATAAAAGTTGCACGTCGTCTGTGCCCTTTGTCCAAATAAAGGCAGTAGCACTAAAGGCAGAAGCCTCCCTCGTTCTAAATAAAGGCAATGCCCTCGGAGTGCTCTTGTTGCAGCGTAACTGCACGGCAGAGAGTGGCAAATAAAAAGATGGTCAAACCAGAAATTCCCCTCTTAGTCTGTCCTTGAAGTTTGACACGAACGCAAGCACACATGCTGATGTTGTTGTGGGGCCTTTGGGGGGACCAGTCAGATGGCTTGTCTGGGGGAGCGCTCGCCGACGGTGGGTTTGTGCTGACCGGACGCAAGCGCGCTACGTCCTGGCCATGCTCCAAATCTCGGCATCCCTACTGGAGGAACTCTGGGGCGTCTGCGGAGTATCGGGGCTTTTGCACTGCCAAAATAAACTACACATTGCCCAGCCCTCGAATTCTGCACCAATTTAGCAGCGGGATCTGAGATCAGATGGCAGAGTTTCAGAACCCAACATTGCCTTTTTTAGTGCACAATGGCTCAGAGCATGTGGAGCGAAAGCTCGCACTGCAGAACCCAGGGATTCTGGGTTCGATCCCCACCCTGCCCGTTTCATTCTGGATAAGCATAGTATCGGCAAGCTGTCGCGTATTACTGCTATGTGATGCACATAAACCCCAGGCTGGTATTCACACTGCACTGGCTAAATTACTCACCTACGATGGGAAAAAATGTTGCCATACCATGTCATATTAGACTCCTGCACTCTAAGCAGGTAATTACTAATTTGTTTGTTAGCAGAGTACTACAAACTTGGGGGGAAGCAATCATTAGTTCTTTGTAAAAATGGTCTATGCTAATTGATGTAGGTTGCCGAATTGAAAATAAGGACACTATTGGAAGTCTACTAAAGGACGAAATACTTCGGTACTCTCATGCTGTCAACTCCCATAGAACTATTATTTCTTTGTGTATTTGCAAGTCTTGCTGATTGCCATTTCAGTGTCGAAAATTTCCGAAGATGCTTTCAGCACACTCGGCCACTGATCCCCCTACCTGCACATGCTTCGAGCATTACATTTAACAAAAGGACTCGGAAACTAAAAGAAGAAAACAAGAAGTGTGTAGGGATCTGCCAAAAGTGGGCTGTAGCAAGCTTGTTTACGCTCCTGTGGATAGCTTCTGCCACTGTGAAATTTTAGCATACCTAGGAATCGCTTCTAACTTTATTTATTTGACGTCAACTTCTGAAACTTGGCATTTTACCCCAGCCACCGATGCTACTTCCTGATTGAGTCTGCGTATCCGGCAATGCATAGTTTCTTTCCATAATGAAGAAAAAATGTGTGTTTGGTTTTTCTGGCAGATGCCCCCGTATTTAAATACAAATAAATGCATTTTATTTGAGAAGCTGGGTAACTTGAAATATTTAATTTTTATTTTAAGTACATGCAATAGTATTTGCCACTTCCGAGGCTATGTATTAAAACAGCCCAGATATATGCTATATTTGAAGAGAGAGCTTTGATCCCTCCGGCCAGATATAAACTGTGTAGCTTGGCGTGTCCCACGATCACAGTGTACGTCGAGTGGGGTGTTTTAATACTTCGAGAAATGAGGCGGAAAAAAATTGGGGTGCAAAATTTTTGTGTCGCTGCGTAGGTACTTTCCAGTCAGATGTCACTTCGAAGAGGCTTGGGGAGGCATATGTTGCGTCGAAAAATAATAACACCTCAAGGTGCACAGGCACTTCATAGAAAGCGCAAGTTCTCGGAGCTGCTGTCTGTAGAGGATTGATGGCTCAGGTTCTGTTGGCAGCAACTGTCTGCACCCTCTAGCCTCTGTTTGGCGGCAAGATTGCAGCCCCACTCTCTTTTGACACGCCCCGAGAGAGTTGCACCGACGGGAGCCGAAACCTTTTATCTGCATCTTTTGTTTGTGGGCAATGCATCTTGTACGCCTATGGCTATCAAACTCGAAGCTGTCGTCTCTGCTGGTAGCTTCCTCCTCTACCTCAGCGCGGCGGCAGTGGGCCACAGCAGCCAGTGGTACAACTTCGTCATACTACTTCAGCAACCGAAGCGGATTATCTTTGAACGCAGGGAACCCTGTTGAAACTGGGTTTCAGGGGACTGCAAGAAAAAGAAATGCATATGATCCGGGGAAACATAACTATTACAGGCAATTCTTTGTTTCAGTAGGTTGGTCAGGAAGCAACTCTCGTGCAGCATTATATTTGCATTGACTCTCACAGCCGTGCACAACTACCATCATGTCGGGCATGAAGCGTGAGATGGCATTACTAAAACCACTCACCTCTGTTGTATCGATATCAGTGCTTAGCACTGTTTCATCAGTACTAAGCCGTAGGTGGAAACGGGCCTTAAGAATGAGTAAAATTTCCGAGCCATTCGAGTTAACCCATGCAAGGAGCAGGTGCTGACCCATGTTATCCGCTGCTCTTAGCTCGTCGCGCACGCCGGTGCAAAGCAGCCATGCTTGACGCACTGCATGCAATTACTGCGTGACGGAGCGTTGTACGATCATTAAAGGAGCCATGCAACAACATCACTGCTTTGCCTAAATAATTTGGGAGTTGGTGTCTCGACCTTTCTGAGGTTATGAACAAAAAACTGCTTTTGCCTGCATGACTTAGTTTTTATTTTAAAAATGGACAAAGATTGAGGTTTTCGGCACCTCTCAACTCCTTCACCATCTTCCGAGTCACGTGCGCTGTGATGTGAATGGGGGATGTGAGGGGTTCCCAGTGGAGCTATCTCTCTAGAGCCATCAGTGACCAGCGAGAACTAGGGTGCCTCAATGTCCTTCTGTTTAGGGTAACGCCACCCTTTGTAGTACCCGATGCCGACAGTACGCACTCACGGGTCAAATACAAAGAAATCGACGAAAACAAAATGTCGCCATAGCACAGTAAGAGTCACAAACTCGTGCAGAGACATGCTCTGAACAAAAAATAAAAATAAAAATGTGGGACAAAATGGACAGATGTTTCCACCCTAAGCAAAGCGCACATGAAGGCCCCCTGGCAAGAACTCGCCCGCTCGCGGCCACATGACCATGTGTTTGCACAGCACGATCAGCATGGCGAAAGGAGGAAGGGCTCATCTGGGTCCGGCCACCCTTGTCCGGCTATGCCCCCGTCCTCCACCGGCTTCTGGCAGCTGTTCGCGGTAGCAGATAGATAGAGCTAACAGTTTTGTTGACCTTGACTTTGGATAGATAGTGCCACTAAAACTCCGTCTAATCAACGTTTTGTCGATAATACCAGGTTTTTGACGTATTTATATTTACGTTGGAACGACAATATTTATAGAAAAGTTGCCTTTGGTCGAGCAGGTGTTTGCACAACTTCCTACCTTTTTACAAGTCCCCATTGACGTCATGCTGCGTGCTTCTCATGGTCGCCGCTAGCAACTGCAGGTCGGGAAATATTATAATTTTTGCCTCGCGATTACGCGGCGGAATTGCTACATTTGGAAGGAAGGAGATTTGTTTTCTGTCCTTCGTGACAAGGTAAACAATGTCAAAAGTAGAAGATGCAAATTTTTTTAACGTTAAACTCCTTGCACAGCTTCTTTAACCCCAAACTTCACACAAAGTGAACTAAAGAATCGATGGCAATTAGCATTAGCAAGAAGAATAAAATGTATAACCTGGCCAGCACACCATCTTCTTTGCCCCACGGAGGAAGTTGGGGTCACACGTCTCTCTTTAGAGCTTTGTTTTAGCAGCTACCCTATCTCACTCCAGAATAAATATTTTATACTTCATCATTCGAAAACCTATGCACATCCAGCCGTGCTTCATGTTGTCGTGATATGACCCGTCAGAGTACCTTGGACCCACCCCCCAGATTTCATGGAAGATGATTGCCAACTTCAACTGTCGTCAGCACCTTTTTGTTTGTCCTTGCTAAGCTTTTTTTTTTTTCGCTTGCCCTTTGCTTTGCTGAAACTTATTTACTACTTCAGTTTAGAGATAGTAAACTTGGTTCTCTGCTGAAGCCATCACCATTCTGCGTAGCTCATTGGAAGAGGGGGGGGGGGGGGGGGGGGGTGAAAGAGAGCAGTAAAAGATTGTCGGCTTGGCGGCAGCAGTGATGTTGGAGATACCGCCGTTGTTATTGTTAATATAGTTCCTGATGTCTTTTTTTTTTCTTAATGGGTTAATTGGAGGATTTTGCTTCACTTGACTGAGAAGCCTCGCAAAATTGGGGAGTTCAGACTCATAGTTGGAGTAGCTCCTGCAAGGTTAGGCTTCAGGAACCAAACTGGCAGTGCTAGGGAATGCTCTTACTCCTTCAAAAAGGTGGCTGCCGACATGCATAGTTTGCATCCAGTCTGATCCGCTGGAAAAGATTCTCCTGTTTCAGATTGTTTACCAGAGGTTCAGTGTTTATGGGGGTGTCTTGTTGTCTTGCAAGCCAATGTTCTCGTTTAAGTTGCTACTAGTTTCGAGGTGTCGGTCAAGAAAAACAATCTTATCTTTCTACCGCAAAAATTAACTAGACATTGCCTAAAGTTCAGGCTCTGTCAGACCTTAACAAGTCGTGTGCAAATAGTGTATATTGAGTTTAAAGCGAATGGTGGTTTTGGCCGAATATTTTTTAATAGAATATTTTATCCAAGCCTTTCGCTACCGTCCACCATGCTTAAACAAAATTCAGCTGAACTAGTGAAGGTTGTTCCCAACCTTCCCCTTGTCCACTTCTAAGCTCAGTTAGTTTTAATATCACTATATTTATGAACTGTGGCCATGTACAAGACTAATTTAGGGGATTTATAAGCCTGCTTGCTAAATGCTAATATTCTTCATTCAATTTCAAATTTAACACAAAAAAAAAAAAGTTATAATGGTGAGCACATGTTGTCAAGACATCGCTGCCAAACGAATACTCCCTCCTGCATAATCGTGGCAGGTTAGCCCTGTTGGGTGCACTTCTCACCGGGCACCTGTGCACTGCAGGGAAGCTCTGCCCGTGAGCTCTGTGGGTATTGCTTCCTAGCAGGGCACAGGTGCCCGGTGAGAAGTACACTCGACTAGGCTCACTCGCCGTGATCAACACATAGAAAGTAGGGGTGTCCCAGGTTCGACCAAGTTCGACTGAAGTGCAACTTTTCTGTGCATACATGAAAATATAAAAACGAGTTTGCATCACCTGGCAGAGGAAAAGTGCAATATTTGTTGGATGTATTGCATCGCTGGTTCGCATTACTAACTAACGAAAGCAATAAAAGTACCTATTTGTGCTTTTATATTGTGTAAACATCGGTAATTATTTTATAAATCATAAAATAAACTACTTTCAAAATTATTTGTTTCTCAAAATTCGAGATCATTGTGTAGAAGCCAGGCAGCACTGTCCATAAGTCAAACTTTGCAAAACGTTTGAAGGTTGGCCGAACCCCGAGATGCGACAAAAGTTTGCAATTTACCTATCGAAAAGTGTGAATATTGCATTCCATCTCTAACGAATATTGAATAGCGTATTATTTAAATATTTGCACAACACTAACCGTAACAACTTGACGAGATACCAAATTTTTCAAACAGTTACTGGAGTGAAAAGCTGATTTTTGCTATGAAGGGAAACTGTTGGGCAGCAGGAGCATGAAAAGTGTGGGGATTTTTTTACTATATCTCTCGGATGGTGCCACTGGCAACGACTAGGAGGAACAAGCAGGCGGTAACACAAAAGCAGGTCTGTGTTCAGATCTGCCTGTAATCTACAGGGACATAATCTGAGGGATGCAGCGGAAATACCGACTTGCTCCGTCCGCTTTCGCGGCTCAACGGCATTCTCTCACCTGCAAACTTGATTCTCAGTTTTTGACCATTTGCTCTGGCAACCGCAAGTTTTCGGAACTTTTGCATCCATCCCAATCGCTAGCGCTGTGGTCTGAGGCAGAGTCTGAGCTTTCGAAAATGGATGGTTTATTTTTTGGTGCATAAAAAGCCTGGTAGAATTTTTGGTTGGGAAGCTGACATATTGAGTGCATATAGATCACAGCATGGTGTGACCGGGCGTTGTGAGAGTACCCTTGCCAACACACTGAAAGACAGTGTGTCCCGTTCTGTAGCGTCGTCACTAGTGGCAATGGCTGGGCCGGCCAGCCCACTGTAGTAGATCTGCACTTACTCTCAATTTCAACGTCCGTCGCTCTCCAGAGCCGAAAACACACTGCAAAATGTGTTGCTTCGTTTCAAGCAATGCAGAGCACAAGTTTGTCTACTCCTTGCACAGGGGTTGCGATGATGCCAGAACGCTGGGCACTTATTAGCTGATTGAAAGAATATAGTGGATAGACCTCGAGGCATCTAGCATTGTGGTCTACCCACCATCCTTCCAATAAATACCAATCAGAACTCGGCATCATTCTGGTGTCACCGCAACCTTTGTGCAAGAAGCAGATGACTTGCTCTCCGAATATGCCTAGGCTCGCCTGTCATCTGCAACGGGTATCATCCCGTCGACTAGAGACGAGACCAGTTTCTCGGCTGCCGTTCGGGAGACACGGGCTTTCCTCAAGATTGAAAACCCCCTACGTAGATGCGTGCATGTTTCGAACTGGCCGTCTTTTGGTGTTAGAGGGGGGTGGGGTGTGCTTGCTCTATTCATCATCGCGATGGGGGGGGGGTTCTTGCCACATCTTCCTCACGGGCTCTGAGTGCTGTTCGTCTGTCTTCCCTCTTGCGCCCGCAGTTTTTGCCCCACGGACACAAAATTTACGACTTGTTCCGACGACGGAACCGTGCGTGTCTGGGACTTCCTCCGCTGCTTCGAGGAGAAGATCCTCCGAGGTGAGCTTCTTTCCCGGCTGCGTCGGAGTTGGCGACACGTTTCCTAAACAGAACCCCGAGAGTCCGTGTTGTCTCCATGCTAACAGGTGCAAAGAGGAGACAAGGGTGGAAAGTTAGGCCAGTTTGGTGATTCGTAATATTTAGAAAAGTGTGACAAGTTCAGTTGTAAGTTGGCACAGTGTCTCTGTCTATCTTTCTTGTCCGTGTCTCGTTGTACACATCGCGACACTGTTAGCGCGAACACGACGTCCACGCATTTTCGCCTTTTTCTTCTAAATAGTATTAGCCAGCACGAAATTTTATCGCTTACATTATAGAGCTAATTGAGCTCTTTCAGTAGCAATTATGACTTGGATGACATCCCTTAGTTTCAAAGAGAAAAACTGGAAAAACCGGCGATCGCTTGTTCGCGCTAACAGTGTCGCGCTCTGTACTTCTTTAAATATTGTGCAAGGAGGAGCCTACACTCTGACGAACCGAATCTGCTGGCGCCCTGATGCCGCGTCACATTGGCACTGCGAGTGATTTTGGGAAACATTTACCGTAAACAACTTTATTTTCACGAGCTCAATGTTTCGCGAATGTTAAAAACTGGGTTTCTAAAATATTTGGTGGGCACAAAATTTTGCAATTTTGAGTAATGGTATCTTTTGTATTCATTATCACGGGGTGATATACTCTGAAGACTAATCTTTCACTATGTATTTTAAATCTTGAAAATGAGGACCTCGCAAAAATTGAGTTGTTTACAGTATTAAAGATAGGTAGCGTATTCCTCAAAAATATGTTGACCTCATCTATAAACATGCCTTTGCAGATGCTTACGTGCAATGCCTATGAAAAGCCAATTTTTGCAACTTACAGAAAGGGCCTAGCAAACAATGAGGCACCGACCAATAACATTTAAGCTCAGATGTGCAATTTATGCCGAGGTTCTGAGCACGTGGACAATGTGCTCGGTGTCCCAGTGTGAATCTAGTTTGTCAATTCAATGTTCTTTGCTTCATCATTTGCTGGGCACCTTTCCTAAGTCCCAACGGCTTAGCTTAGCAGGTTTTGCAGAAGAGTGGGCATGCAAGGTCCTTTGACTTCCTTTAAAAAATGTTGAAGTGCAGGATAATTTACACAATGAATAATGAGTGGGATAATGGAGGCAGCAATTTAGAGAGTGCCTCAGGCTGTAATATTGTAGTTGTGGCATTACCATCTTCAGTTGCCTTTCGCACTAGGTAAGTGGGTTTCCATGGCTCTCATCAAATAGGAACTTGCAAAATTGCCGAGTTTAGGATACATTCTGGGAAGCTGCTTTGAAATCGAGCCTTGTACATTTCTGAGAGTGTGTGACACACAGGAGTTCAGACTTTCAACTAACAGCTTCGTAACATCAGTGGACACTGCCCTACCTATGATTTTCATTTTGTTATGCTGATGTAAATGCTGCAACAACCATAAGCCTGGCTAAATGTTCTTGTGGAAATGAGGCTTTTAGTAGTAAATTTGAAGCCGATGAAGATGATCCAGGTTTGCCAGCAGTTGTCCCATTCAAAAGTAAATTGTCGGGCCTGGCAATTTTCTTACCATAGAACACCGTGCATCCGCCCATTCCACACTAAACACCCTAACCCCGAAATTTTAAACATCGGAAAATCTTTGCACAGTACCGTAAAGTTCCGAAAGGACGCCCACCCAAAATGAAGAGATAAATGGTGAAAAACATGGGGCAGGCTATCTTTGGGGATGCCACAGCGAAACTTTATCAAAAATTAATGAGAAACACCCTGGCACCGGCTACAAACCATGTGACACGGGAACTGACACCGCAGATCGCGGGCACCGCATATTCGCGTTTCACGATGTGATAGACACGCGGGAATTCGCTACAAATTCCTGTGTCACAAGAAAGGATACCGCAGGTTGCGGACGCAGCTGATTTGCATTTCACGGTGAGAAGGACCCGTGGAAACCCGCCGAGAACTCTCATCTCATGGGAATGAATACTGCAAATCGCAGACACAGCAGAGTCAGGTTTTATAGTGCAATAAACATGTGGGAACCCGCGACAAACTTGCCTGTCACGAGAGCCAATATTGCGCACGCAGATTGTGGAAAAAAATGCAGGAATCCGCTACAAACTCGTATGTTATGGGGACAAAACCGGAGATCGCGAATGCAGCAAAATCTTATCTCGCGATGCAATGTACACACGGGACCAACACGCGTGGAATCGAGATCTTGGGCAAAAACGCAGGAATCCACTACAAACGTAATGTCACGGGAACGGATACCACAGATTGCGGACGCAGCAGATTTGCATTTCACGGTGCAACACACACTGGAACAATTCGTGTGTTAGGGAGCTGATATCGCACGCGCAGATTGTGGACAAAACGTGGGAACACTCTATGAACTCGCTTGTCAGACTTGCCGGTACAGCAAATTGCGTGGTTAATGTAATTCCCGTCAGACATTGCAATTCGACGGGAATCGGGGGGTGGGCAATGTTTCGGAATTTTTATGTTGCAGATGTTTAGCCAGAAAAACGGGATGGGCGATCTCTCAGAACTTTATGGTATATATATAGATATATGTCAGATTGACAATTTCACAGGTGCCCATCCTCTATTTTTTCACGATTATCTTCAAATTTTTAGTGGGTGCTTGCTCGGTAACTTACAATAATTAATTTTTTTTCTTTTTCTAAATGCTTGTTTGAGTTTTGAGCATGAGGGTATTTGCAACTTTCGGTGATGGTGGTACTGCAATGTGCGAATCGCGCTTACGAACTCCTGGATGATTGGCTTCACAATAAAAGTGCTTGCTTACACCTTCCTGACGTGAAAAAACAGAGTAAGGCTATAATACTACTCATATTTGCAACTCCAGCGGACTATAGGGGCACGCTCATCAGGCAAAATGGCAAACGAAAGGAGGTCGTTTTCGTCGTTCAGCACACCATAAATTTCTTGCACTGCAGCGTAAAATCGGTGTTCCATATGAAAGCAGAAACCTTCTTCTAGTCGGTGTGTAGGAGTGACATGGCAGAAGCATAAGAATAACTAATGGAAGCGATGTTTGTTTCTATGCTGCCTGCGAGAACTAAGCAGCGATAGCAGACGACAGAGTCGAAACAACCTCCTCTCCTGAACTTCTCGTCATTGCCGCTACGCCGCGTCGATTTCGCTGGAGTCGCCAATATAGCAAAACACGTGTCGCAGACCCAGCCTCATACCATGTTCTACGACGATCATCCAGATGACAGCCATTTTGATAGGCGCCAGTGCGCCCCCTATAGGCCGTGAAAGTTGTGAATTTATTTGCTGCCCAGATTTTTGGTTAACAATCTCCAATGCTAACACTAGGACCTTTTTTTTTTGTGGCAAAAACAAAAAAAAGTGTATGAAATAGAGGCAGGTTAATTGTTCAAGGTCGCAACTTGCCGGGGTTACCATTACAACTGTAAAATACTGGGGGAGTGCCTAGCACACTTTCACTGAAAACTGGGTCAATCTAGATACAAGCGCTTGTCCAGTCGAATCGGGCGCTTAACGTATGATTTGCAGAATTCCCAAGTTTTGGAAATATTAATAGTGGGTGCTTCCACGGTATTCTATGGCACATAATTAACCTGAATTGAAAACCATTTAGAAGCATAGCGTAAAATCCCGAGAGATAACCCAGCTAACATCAAGAGCAAATCAGGTGAAAATATAGAGTGGCCTAACTTTCTGTGTACAATGAAGAAAATTTTAAAACATTACTATTTTTAGGTCATGTTCCTTTCAAGCTTGTTATGGTGGCGAGGGGCAACGAAGCAAAGAGGACTGTACTTCCCAGCTAGCAACATTCGCTTATATTCCGCCATAGCTAACTAGCCGCATTTATGCCGAGGTCATCATTGACCCCAATACTACTATTTCTAGGAGTCGGGTATCTTTCGGTGTTTAAAAAAAATAGCAAATCAAGCCAAAAATAGGGGCAAGCTATCTTTCGGGGGTGGGGCATCTCTCGGAATTTTACGGTAATTATTTTATAGAGCCAGGCTGAGGTTTCAGCAATGCATAAACTTGGGAACCAATACTTATATTTTATGATGAAACCAAGACTGATCTGAAAAACATACTTGACAGTACTTGACAAACCTGTCTAAATCATTGTCCATATAATATGTGTTTGGCTTGGGAAATCTCGGTGCATTTGTTTATGTACTGAGACTCGTACCGCGACTTTTGACAGGAATGCCATTGGTTGTTGCTCTGTTCAGGGCACCTCCCGCAAAGAAGCCCTGCTACAGCAGTAACACTATATACGAAAGTCACATCATTGGGTTACCTTACAAGTGGCAATATTAGCTTGATCTATAACATCATTGGTCATGTGACCTGTTGATGTTATTTCTATAACGATTTCGCAAGCTTGCCCTCGCTAAAAACATTCTACATTAAAAATTATCGGGGGACTGATCTCATGGTTTGCCATCTAACAATATATCCACAAATGGCAAAAGAGAAATGTAGGAGGTCCCCTGCAATGTTGAGTACAGTTTCTAGAGCTGTAAAGTGTGGTCTGTAGAGCTACAGACCATGCGTCAGTGGTACCTACTGTATGTACCCTTGTAGAAAAGAAGAGAGAAAGTGATCTTGATTGTCTGAAAAATAGGAACTCAGCTTTGGTTGGCCGTCGGTTTAAAGGAAAATTCCCATTTTCTTTCAACTAAAAAAATATAAATAGTAGCTTGGTTGTTCTAGAAAGGACACCCTGTATAGTGAGAAGCTTCATTGTCCTCTACAGTTTGATTGTCCAATGAAGAATACATTTTGGGGCTAATTTCCAAGTCAAGAGCATCAAAAAAATAGTTACGAAAACATGGTAGCGTGGCCAAGTCTCCCTCGGTGCCTGCCAGGTGTCCTTGGAAAAATCACTTTGTTCCTAACCGGTTATCAAATCCCAGATCTCTCGCTCCATAGTTGGACAATCTACTTCCGCTCCAGTGGAGCGACTCAGATGAGTGTTGTTATAGCTGCTACATCCTTTTGTTGCAGCAAGAATTTGAACTTTTCTTCATACTTTGCATCAAGCAGACTAGCGCAGAATGCATTCCGTGTTTGTGTTGGCATCTCTAGTAGATTACCCATAAGCCAAAGAACCAAAGCAAATTCAAACATATAGATACAAACACGCACGTCGGTCGGCTTTATGCAAAGTTTCAAGGTAAGTTCAATTTTATAATGATCGAACCAAATATCGGCATTTCTTTCAATGCTCAACAACTGGCAGCAGACCAGCGTTGTGGTTTCTGCTAAGCTGCTTGCATCTCGCTTCTTCTTAGCTGTGAAGAGACGTGTGGAGAGGTGGAAGGACATGGGGTAGGGCTCTGACGCCGTGTTTGCGTGGCAGGTCACGGCGCGGACGTCAAGTGCGTGGACTGGCACCCACAGAAGTCGCTCATCGTGTCCGGCAGCAAGGACAGCCAGCAGCCCATCAAGCTGTGGGATCCAAAGTCGGGACAGAGCCTGGCCACCATGTGAGCACGACCTCTTCCAGGGACTGACACGGCTTCTACTTTCGGTGTCGACCCTTTTGTGCTGCGTCGCCGGTGCTAGCATATTTATCGGAGTGCAGCAACTCTGCATTGCTGTAAGAGCGTGCAGCATTACCTTGCATCATATTTGCAAGCACCCTATTGCAGAGGAGATGCGGAGTCATAAGACACACTTGTGCAAGGAGCTTCGACACCGGTTTAAAGGGAAGATGCGGCGGTTCTGCATTTGAGAAAAAACAATTGAATTGTGTTCACTTGGCTGCTAGCCTGGGGCAGCCATCCGTCGATGACGTCATGAACAGCAGCTGTCTTTCGCATTTTCTCGCGTTTAACAATACTTGTGCAGCAAATGGTTTGTGTATTCGGGTTCACGGGGTAAAAATACACTAGAATTAACTTCTAGCTCATTTTTTTTAAGAAGCTCTTTAGCTTCCCTGTAAGTGCTGCAGAAGCCGTGCTAGGCTTGATGGCATAGAACGTAAAATGTTAGATGCCAAGTATAACGAAGTGGATGGTGAGCAAGAACGAGTGCGGGCACCACAAAGTGGGCCGTATGAGAGGGTTTTTTTTTGTTTTTTGCCCCTTATCCAGAGATGAATAGAGAAGTCGATTTTGAAACCAGCAAAACAGTAGTGGAGATTAGGATCCTTTTTGACGAGGTGAATTACTGTCAATGGCGAGATTTGTTTCCTGAATCAAACTGCTCTGTAGCAACTTCCTAGTTTTCGAGTGCTCGTCCCATGTGCTGTCACAGTGCTCAATATTGGGCCAACCAATATCTTTTTTTTTTTTTTCTCTTCCAATGCAGAGCTATTGCCACAAAGTGAGCCATCTTTTCAGAAAGCTATTTTCAACTATTTGTAAAAACAATGTCGGCACGGCTAACTTTTTACCGAGTAAAGAGGGCGGCAAGGTTTACGTCTTGCATGTAATAGATTGGAGCGGTTTAAATTTCTCCGTCTGGGCCAAAGCTAAGAATTCTTCATTGGAGCAAGCGTGTTACGTCGGTCCCACCCCCTTTTTTTTTGTATCAGGGTCACCATGCTTATCAGACGCGCTTTTGTGCAGCCACGCGCACAAAAGCACAGTAATGGAGGTGAAGTGGAACCGCAACGGCAACTGGCTGCTGACGGCATCGAGGGACCACCTGCTGAAGCTGTTTGACATCCGCAAGATGAACCAAGAGATGCAGACTTTCAGGGGGCACAAGAAGGAGGCCTGCAGTGAGTCTCCCCGTCTCGCAGTACTGCTGCCATTTTTTTTTTTTTGACAATAAGTGTGGCAAGACAGGGACAGAAAGTGAGAGACACATAACAAGGCTAACTTTGTTTTCAGGCCTTGCGTGGCGTGTTGTGTCTCACCTCCCCTCCTTGTTTTGCAGCATTTATTGCCCAAAGGGACTACCATAAAATCCCGAGAGATAGCCCACTTAACATCAAGAGCAAATCGGGTAAAAATATAGAGTGGGTTAACTTTCAATGCACAATCAAGAAACGTAAAAAAAAAAAAAAACTGCCATTTTTAGTTTTTGTTTTTTTCAAGCTTGTTATGGTGGCTATGAGCAACGAAGCAAAGATGACTGTACTTCCCAGTCAGCAGCTTTTGCTTATATCCCGCCATAGCTAACTCTCCGCATTTACGCCGAGGCCATCATTGATCCCAACACTACTATTACCAGGAGAGGGCTATCTTTCGAGGGTAGGGCATCTCTCGGGATTTTACTATATGTATCAACTTGCACATCTGTCACTGTTGATGCTGAGATTTGCAGGGTAGCGATTATGATGTACTGGTCTAATGCCTGGAATCTGTTTCCGACTGGCGTGCTTAACATCCCATACTACTCATCTTGCGCCAGAATGCCTTAAAAAGACAACGGGAACATTTCACAGGAACTGCCGTGTAATGTCACAATCTGTTACCGTCCTGCACAATGAAGACGGGTGAATGGTTAGTTGTAGAGTCTGTGACCGTCCAAGTTATCGCGTACGACTCCTGTTTTTGCTTTAATGTAACCTAACTTAGATGGGCTGATAAAAGAGGAAGTTGTCTTCGTCTTCATATTTTTTGCAGAACCTTTTTTTTTGTTGTTGTTCTTTGGTAAAGTATATGCAAAGTTTGTTTGTCCTCTTCGCCTATTTATTTATTTAGTACTACTTAATCCAATCAGGGTCATGGTAGGAGTGACACAGCGTAACGTCAATGATTTTTTTTTTTATTTAGTACTACTTAGTCCAATCAGGGTCATGGTAGGAGAGACATAGCGTAACGTCAATGAAATGTTGCAATAAAGGTAGCTATTTAGCAATGAGGGTTCAAGCTGTAGAGGGCATATGGGGAGCAAACATATTTGTGTATCGCTGTACGATGCAGGGAAGCATTCCATGAGCAGTCCACTAATGTTGCTCTGTGTCGTGCTCAGCAGTGTCCTCTGGCCCTCACTAGTTTACTTCCCTTGCAGGCCTGGCATGGCATCCGATTCACGAGTGCCTGTTTGCCAGCGGCGGTTCCGACGGCGCTGTCATGTTCTGGATGGCTGGGTGGGTGCTTCTCCCTTTACATCGAGGCCACTCGATAAAACAGTGCAGCCAAGCAAAACTGTGGCGTGTTCCGACGCTGTGCTTGTTGCCGAGTGGTCGCAGCTCAACTTTTAGCGTAAAATATGGTTTTGGACTAGTGCAACTTGGTGAAAAAGTAAAACGCAACAGCTTTACGACTGAGAAAACACTGTATAGTGTCATCGCGCAGCAGGTCTCTCTGGGGGTGATTGCTTGCTCCCATTGGCCATTGTAAGCGATCACAAGACCATGGTGACAACCAGTGGCAGCAACCACAAGCCCATCCTCGCAATCACCGACAATTTTTCTAGTCAACAGTAAATTAAAGAATCTCGACATCCTCACAGTTTTTCACTCACTAACAAAATAGCCATACATATGCAATGTGCATTGGCGTCGGAAGTGCATTATTATCTCTATCATCGCAGCACTCAGCTGGCTATTTTGATTGGATAAATTATTAATATGGCCGCAATCCAGTTTTTTTTCTTTGTCCCGTTGTCTTCACATTTTTACCACATTATTTGTCATTCAGAGTAGATAATCACGTCCCCATTGCAGTCACATTACAATCTAATATAATTTGAGGTATTGGCTATTCATATGGTGTGCAGTAACTCAGTTAACTTCATGCATATATATATTTTTTTTATTGTGAAACTTTCTTTGGCTAGGTGTTCGGCATTTCGTGGAGCCTTGATAAAACCGTGGCTGCGTGGCTCAACACTGGTGGGTTTTTAGTGGGAGGGAAGCGGTCATTGCAGTAAAAAAAAGCATGAATTGAACCCAGACCATCTAGATTATTAGGCAACTGTCTTTCCAGCATGTCACGACACATCGCCGTGAGTTGAGGTGCCATTCGGCGGGAAAGCCCTGCGGCGCACCCGGGTTAGCGCCGGTATCTCCATTCCAGGAAGTACTTTCGAGAGTACATGCCACTCATTAAGCCAGTTGCTAAACTAACCAATGAAGAGTGCCAAAAGCTTAGACGCCCCACGTTTTACGTGCAACACAATCACCCCACAATTTGCTATCAATATTTTATCAGAAACCTTTTTTTCTTTTGTTTTATTGGGCAAACTGTTTTTATGCTCTTATAGCATTACAGTCACTGATTTAAAAGTCTTAATTTTCTCACTCATTATTTTTTTCGTCGCATTTTTACAAAGTTGATTCCCTTCTTGCCATCACCAAACCATCAATGTGGCTGAAGCTGGTAGGAAGACCTTGAAAAGGAAGCTCCCCGAAACCTCAAAATTGCAGCTGACACTGCACTAAAAATTTATTTTGAGGCACCCCAAAGAAGCTACCTAAGTGAAACATTTGCTGCCCTAGGTTCCTTTCCGAGCCACTAGTCTTACGCGTCATCTGACTTTGGAGGTCGCCGTGGAGCCTGTCGGACTAAGACGTTCTCCGGCGTTGTAAAATTTCAGGGCCGACAAGGAAGTGGGGGCCATGGAGAATGCACACGACTCGTGCGTATGGTCCCTGGCCTGGCACCCCCTGGGACACATCCTCTGCTCTGGGTCCAATGACCACACCAGGTGAGTGCACGCTCGCTCCTTTCAAGGACAAGCACGGTGTAGGCCCAATCTCGGTTTTGTGCATTTGCTTCGTTCTGTGGGTATCTTTGGTTGCACAGTGCAATCCACTTATAACGATATTGGGGAGACTCAAAGATTCAATCCTTATAACCAATTATCGTTGTATTGGGGCTAGAAACTGATCGTTTTTAGTCTAGAGACTCTAGAAACTGAAAGTTATAAGCAGTACGTCGTTATAAGCAGGTTGCTCTGTAGAGACATTCATTATGATTGTTATAAGGGCATTTGACTACCATCAACTGGTGTGAGCACGAAAATAATTCCACTAAGCATGGCTTCTCGTTTGTGGCTCCTACCGGCATGACCCGTGGCCTCCGGTGGCCCTGTCTGTGGCGTGCAGTGTGGAGTGTGTGTCTGAGTGTCCGCCCGTCTCGCAGTAAATTCTGGACGAGAAACCGGCCGGGAGACAAGATGCGGGACAAGTACAACCTCAACACGTTGCCCAGGGGACTGGACGACACTGGCGAATACGGTGGGTGTGCACTTTTGCGGCTGAACCAACCACCTTTTGGTGGGTGGGGTGCCCCGAGTGAAATGTGGAAACCTTGTTTTTTTATTGCTCATCTACAGTCCAATTTCACTAGAGTGCGAGTGTGTTTTCTGGTGCCCTGTCCGAATCCATTATGTTTAGTGTCTAGATGGCTGTTTCTTCTGGAACCATAATAAATATAATGATTATAAAGCATTTTCTGCTGGAGCAAATGCTTGCCTTAAAAGTGCCAAAAGCCTGAGAGAGATCTGTATGTCTTTACCCTGTTGAAGAAAAAAAAATGGGGCGGTACATTGGTCTCTGTTGAAAGGGAAAAACACTGCCTTTAGGGAAACCTTAGACTCACCTTTTTGTCCCTCTGCCGAAATTGGATGCAGAGACCAAAAGTCTAGGTTACATTGCCTGTTGAACACAAGAGGAACAGTGATCCTGTAACCTTGGGTGTCCTTTTGCGTCCTCGATTTGTTTATGCGCAGCATCCCAAACTTTGAGATGCACTGCTCGGCTTAGTGGTACACATACCGAGTGTCACGTTTCTTCCACAGACGAACCAGCCACAACCCCAGCGTCTGCTACGCCCAACATACCGGGCATGGGCCTGGAGCAGGCTACCCTGGACATGGTGCGCGCTGTCCACGGTCAGTATTGGACGCTTTCGTTTTCCACAGGCCCACGACTGGCCTTTCTGTCGCTCTCTTTGTACCCCGATCGATTTGTTTATTTGATAATGCGCTATCAAACTGAGCCATGTCTTGGATAACTGTGATGACTTCAGTGGACTGTGAAGCAAGTGTAGCTGCCATCTGTTTTAGGGGCCTCTAGCAGACGAAAAAGAGGTCTACCAGACTGACCCATTAGCAAATGACGGCAGTATTTCGAAAGCTGCTGCTTCAAGGTGATTTAGCTTTTTTCAGACAAGGTAGTAGATACTTGTCCATGGTAAACCAATGGTGTCTTTATTTTGAAAGTTTGTAAAGGTTGACATAGAAAGAATAACCTTTAATACCTCGGCATTGCTGCTCGTTCAGCCTTCAGATGGCGTACTGTCAGAACTGTTTCCAATTGTCTTACGTCTTACGAAGCAGATAGGGCGACACAATACACTGTTTTGCACATCGGTGCACAAGCTGTCGAGGCACGTACGAGGGAGCCTGGGATATTCGAGAGCCACGTGCTGTGCTGATGTATGGTGAGAATAGAGAATGGTGACACACTGAAGGAATAAAACAACTCTTGTGTTTTCACAACTATTTTTACTTGAAGTTAGTGGAAGGATAGCACTTTCAAAAATGTTTGGCAGAGATTGGAAGCTGAAAAGTTATGGAAAAGAAAAGGAAAACCTTGGTGCCTATAGGAGACTTTTAGAAAAGAGTGTATGCTGTATTGGTTGGTGCTGGTCACATGAATGCACGTGCGCTTTCTTAGTGACCTGTGGCATGTCGAGGCACAGAAGTGTTCGCTGCTTGTCATGCCGTTTGCTCAGTCACCTCAAATAGCTGCCTCTACTCGAGGCATATTTTAATTAGAAACAAGATTTCTAACTAATAGGAGTGTTGTATCAAGCATTCATATAAGGTTAAAAGTTGTTCACATGCGGTACATTGTTCAAAAAGCAAGCAAATTACAGTTTCCTTTTAGTCTCCTTGCATTCACGTGTGAAGTTGCCTGGGAACACGCGTGGTTCCCATAATTCTGCGTGAATCGTCCGAAATTGTTCATTACCACGGGCAAGCAATATTTTTCCGAGTTTCTTTTTCGATTGGAAAGCTCTTGTTAAAATGGAAGCTTGGGCGAGTTGGTTATTCATTTTGAGGTTACAGTGTTTGTCTCTTTGTGTGTCTCTCGTTTTGTCTTTGTCTTTTGTGCTGTAACCTCAAGATGACTCTCGTTAAAACGCGCTCATCTTTGGCACCAACTTGAGCGCGTCGAAATTTCGGTGCTCGTCGACACCGTCTTTGAGCGAAATTCGTCGGAGGGTCAGGACCATGCTAGCCGTGTCGGGGGGTGTGCAATGTCGCTAAACTTTTGATTTCGTCAATGTGGGCGGGCGTCTTGCAGATCTGCAAAACCCGGTGCCGCCGCCCCTGGGTCCCCCCAAGAAAAAGGAGCGCCCTGAGCTGCCCATCCCGGGGCTGGACTTTGGGGACGAAGGCCAGGAGGGCCGGCACGGGGGCCACAAGCGCACCCCGTTCTCCAAGCCCATCCCGAAGCACTTCCAGCAGCAGTGGATGGAGAACAAGCAGCCGCTCCTGCTCGCACCGCCACAGGACCAGGGGGAGGGTGAGTGAGGGCCTTCTTCCTTCCTCGCTACCACCCTGCTTGCAGTTGGTTGGCTCTCGGTGTTCGTCTATCCGACGGCAACTTTAGATCCAGATTCAAAACTGCAAAAACCCTCTAACCTTGTGTTTCTCCCACCACCTTCCACATCCTGCCTTTATCGGCGCTGAAGGCAGAATGTGGCACCTTCACCTTGCTTCACCTTCCATTTACTAGCAGTGAAGGCAGGGCGCAAAAGTTACAGCAACGACATGTGTCCCTAATCATGAGTCGGGAATGACTTTTTAAAGATTTCGATAAAAAAAATTTGTGTTGTCTGTTGTTGGGGGATGTAAACTGGCTCCATAAGATGGGCGCTAGCTATCGTTTGTGTGCGCAACTATGTGAGGGGCGGTTTTCACACAGATACACAATCATGTAAGCTGGAAGCCAGTGTCATCTATATGCCACCGTGTCAAGTAGCTGTCCTACGTCTGCTACCGACAAGGAACACATCCCTGCAAATCAAGATGTTGAAAAAATTTAATGCGGCTTTTGGTTAATGTAATATACAGGGTTGAACATTTAACATTCTGCCCTCTCTACTGAGGTTAGTTGTTTTCTTATTACTTAAGGTTCAGCATTCTGCACTGTAAAATTATATATGAAATGCTTTCTTTTTTTTTTTATGAAGTCTGGTATTTCAGTCATGTCCCTAATATTCACCACAAAGCTGACGGGCAGTTGAATATATTTGCTCGCCGGACCAATCATACATTCGTGTTCTGCTGCACGGTCATGCACCCGCCCATACTTGTGCACAGAAAGCGGAGGTCAAGCGCCGTATGCCACACAGTGGGACCAAGCGGAACCGAGAGACCGGGACAAAGCTGTCTGCTGCAATTGGTCAGCGGCACGGCGCTGACCAATCGCTGCAGATGACAGTGTCCCGGTCCCTTGATTCCGCTTGGTCGTGCCATGTGACATAGGGCCCCAGGTGATGAAAGGCAGGTGGTTTATTGGTCCGGTGAGCAAGTAGGTCCCACTACGCTGTCAGCTCAGTATTTAACGAACCTTAGAGCAACAAATGCAGAATAGTGTCTCGTGAACTAAACAAAATCGGCATTTGGACACAACCTTTCACGGCACTGGCCATTCACAAATACATTCCTTATTGGAGTTGGTCAGTACCGCTTGAGTGTGGTGCACTTATTGTGTTGCAAGCCGCTTTTTTTTTTTCTGTATTGGGGTTATGGAGGTGCTTATTTGGTTTTAGGTATACTTTGTTTTACTTTACGATAAACCACAGCGAACGCCACGAGATACCCCACTCAATCCATGCTGTGGATGTCTCACATGACTACACGCACCTGCGTGCCACCGCACCCCTTTCAAGGGTCACGTGCCACTCGCATGGCATTGGGCTGGCTTTGATGGATTGTAGCATCCTCTGCGGTCTGTCGTAAGGTGAAATGAAGTATAGTGTTAGAAGAGCGGGCGGGACTGTCGCAACTTGGCAAGACAGAGATGATGCAACTTGGCAAAAGTGACCATTTTATCGCCTATCACCGAACCACTCAACCGCCCTTTCTTGATTGGCGACGTTGCACCTGAATGCAGTGTATCCCATGCCTCGTTGTCGATAACAATGGCCTCCCTCCCCCAGTGGAGATCCCTCCTGGCGGCCCCAACCTGAGCCAGCCACCTCCCAACCTGAGCCAGCCTCCCCCGCCCATGATGGCCCCGCCCGTGGGCATGCCCATGGGGGTGCCCATGGGGGTGCCCCCTCCCCCTGGGGGCTTTCAGGGTGCCCCGCAGCAGCAGGGAGGGGGGGCCATGGTGGGACCCAACACTGCGGTGCCGCCGCCAGTGATGATGTTCCCCTTCGGAGGTGCACCGGGAGGCCAGGAGGCACCCAACGGACGTGAGTTCCTGTTGATCGCCTGGAGTGGGATGGAAAGTGGTATACTGTGGGTACTTGTCCTGCAGGGTAACTGGCACCATGGGAAAGCTGGTATTGTGGGAAAACTGGTACAACAGGGAATCCAGTGCTATGGGTACTTGTACTATGGGTACTGGTACCATGGGCTCTGGTACTAAACGGAAGCGGAGACTATGAGGCTGCATTCACACTGGCATTTGATTTGCATTCGCGAAGCAGATCTGCTTGATTTCATCAACTGCGCATGAATTTGTATTGCATCTTAAAAGGAATACTGAACCAAAATTTGAATTTCGCAAAGTAAGGCTGCAGAAGTGTTGAACGGGACGCTACGAACCCCAAAACATCACTCGTACATCGATATCCCAAACGAATGGCCGTACTTTTGGAAAAAAAGGGCGCGATCAAGCGAGTTCTTTGATGTAACTGTCCTCCAGGAGAATTTGAGAATGAGGAGAAGCGGCCCCGCTTCTCTCCTCCTCGCTTCAGTTCACCAGCTTGATGGGATGTAGCGAGGAGGAGAGAGAATGGGAATCATGACGTGCCTTGTCTCATGGGCCTCTTCGGCCAGGTTCAATCGCGCACTTCTCTCCAAAAAATATGGCGATCCGTTAGATATATCGCCATATGAGTGAGAGTTTTTGGTTTTGCAGCTTCCCGCCTATCCGCCCGGCCTTGTTTAGTGAGCTCGAAATTTTGGTTCAGTATCCCTTTCCACGTTCACAACCGCTTTGCGGATGCGGTTAAGTCGCCAGTGTGAATGCAGCGTATGCACTGGTAAAAATACTACAGGGAAACTAGCACTATGTGTACTGGTACAATGCAGAAACTGGTACGATCAGTACTGATAAAGGTACTATGGGGAAATTGGTACTATGGGTACTGGTCGTATGCATGGTTTCCACCTGACGTCATTCAAAGAGCGCTCCGATGACCACCAGAGAAGAGGGGAAGAAGGAGTTCCCCTCTTACAAGGATCCTCTTTTGTGCCTCTCAGATTCGCACAGATGTCGCTATATTCTCCTCCCAAAAGATTACAGAAGATTAACCCGTTACTCAAAATTCTTACAAAAGCAGCTTCCCTCTCCTCCTCTTACGTGGTGGTCAGAAGTATGTAATGTGATGTCAGTATAAGCCTTGTATAGGAAAATCGTTACTATAAGTACTGGTATGTTTACTACGGGGAAACTGGTACTGTGTACGAGTACTGCTAAAGGTACTATGGGGAAACTGGTACTCTGGGCACCAGTACTACGACTACCGGTTCTTTGGAAAACCGGTACTACGGGTACTGAAACTCACCGTTTACCGCGGTACAGAACTTGGGATTGCATCTTTTGCAGCGATGGGCGGCATGGGCGTGCCGTTCCATCCCCAGGGCATGGTCCCCATGGGGATGCCTGGGCAGGACCAGGGGGCCCAGTTCCTGGCCCACGCTCCCCCTCCCCAGATGGGGCCGGCCGGCATGGGACAGCAGCAGCAGGGGGGCGGAGAGTGGCGCAGCATGGCCGACCCCGGAAACAACGCCAACAACCTCCACAGGGTGAGTGGTAACCGCCACGGTGTCGAATGAAGGAAAACCGGAAATTCTCCTCCGCGGCTCCCACGCTGCGAGGCTCAGCGGCCCTGCCGACAGGGAGGTTGGACTGGAGAGGCCGGCTCACTTAAAGCTGGTTCACGCACTTGCGACTACTTACGACCGTGTGCTTTAAAACCTCTAAATCTTTTGTGACGAGAAAACAGATTAATGCAATCTATTGGTAGCTGTGAAACACTTGCAGTTTCCATATATTTCCTATTTTTTCATGCATCATTCTTTCTTTCTTGGCACAAAAAACTTACGACAGTGTTATAGGTGACGTAGGTGGTACGTAGATTTGATCTCGCAAATACCGCACAACCTTCGTTCTAGTGAAACGCGGTTCCAGGGTCAGCTCAGAAACGGCGCCAGCGTGCCAGTGCATTTTCTCGTCCCAAGAAATGAAAAGAGCTCGATCGTAAGCAAACGTAAGTGCGCGAACGGGCCTTCGAAGCCACTAAATAAGCCACGCTTTGGTGTGACGGCACTTGAGCCACCTCGTTGCTTAAAACCATTGTGACCAGTCATCTGAAGCTGCGCCGTCGCGGACAACCCGAGCTGAAACGGTCCTTCGTGCTTCTCTGGCGTACCTGCCAGTTTTCGAGAGATCTGCAGCACAAACCGGGAACGGAGCACCAAGTTGAGGTCTCGTACTTCGGACTATTCGATAAATCGAGAGGTAACGGAGCTTGCGGGGACCGCAGACGCAGTGAGAGGCCGGATCGGACACTTCAGCTCAAGTTGTCGTGGGGAATACCCGAATTCACTGGAGACATTCCTTCGTCCTCCAGAATTGCTAGAACAACCTGCGACGGAGCAGAACGATGGCGCCTGAGCTTCCCAACACCGTATTTAAAGCTGAGGAATTGCATTTTCGAATTGCACGACTATATTTCGAACTGCACCTGCTCTGCACTAGGCAACAAAATGGGGACGCCCACAAGGCAGTCAGGAAGTGGAGTGTCGATACCCTGAACCACGGGTTCTCAAACTGGGTTTTTAAGAACCCATGGGTTCTTTCAGAGTACCCTCTCGGGTGCCCTGAGCTCCCAAACGTTCTTGGCCATCCTGGAACCCAACTGAAGTATTCTTCCAGTGTAAGCACCGTACTAGCAGATCCGTCCATTTATTCGTGCATAACTATGTGGCTCCCTACTACGTCCATTATTGTTTACGAGGTACGTAGGCTTCTGTTCCGCTTTATTGCGTCGGTGGTGAGATCGGGAAGTTTCTTCTCTGCTGTCGATCGAGAACGACGTGCGTCTCTCAGGAGGGAAAGGTACCCCCTGCTCTAAATGTAGCTTATTCAGTGGCTCTAGGCCCGAGCCAACGACGGAGAACGGGGCTAAGTGGGTTTGCTGGAACTTTTATGCACTGCTTTAGAGCGCAGCTCTTAGGCACATGTTTCCGTGTTTCGGCGGAGCCGCGCTAAATTTAGCGGTAAAGTTGACGTCACATGACCTCAACAGCAATTCAATTTCCCACTAAATTTAGCGGGGAATTGAATTGGTGTTGAGGTGACGTGACGTCAATTCCCCGCTAAATTTAGCGGGGAATTGAATTCTTGTTGAGGTCACGTGATGTCAATTTTCCCACTAAATCTACTGGAGAAACTGAATTTGTTCATAGGTGACCTGACATGAGGTCACATGACATCATTTCCTCTCTAATTATAGCGGGGAAATTGAATTGGTGTTTGAGGTCATGGGGCATCAGTTTTCCAGCTAAATTTAGCTGGACGAGAAAGAGGAGGGGAGAGGAAGAGAGGGTATAGAGGAGGAAGAGGGGCATACCCTCCCTTCCTCCTCTTCAATAGCTGCGCTCTAATTTCGCATTACCGAGATTCGTAAGCATCTTCAATTTTTTTTATTTTATGTAACCTGTGCGGGTTGACGCATTGCTTTTTTTTACTGCAATTTTAACATAGTGATAACTGCAGTAAATAGAAAAAACTGTTGCGAGTGAGTTCTCAATATTTCTTATTAACCATTTCAGTCGTTGGAACATAGTCAGCTTATTACGAGGTACGAAATTTAGGAGCGGGCAACAATCGCTGCTGAAGCTACGGCAATGCCCTCTCTCTCCTCAGCAGCAGCAGCAGTTCCAGCAGCCTCAAGGGGATGGGGGTGGCGCACCCAACGACGGTGGCTTCTACCAGCACCAGCCGCAGCAGCAGCAGATGTGGAGAGGGGGCGGAGCCGGGGGCAGCCCCCTGAAGAGGGGCGCACAGAACAACAGCGGCAACAACAACAGCAACAACAACAGCCAGGGCTGGTTCCAGGGAGACAGCACACCCTCCGGGCAGGACGGCGGCGGCGGGGGGGGCCACAAGCGCCCCTGGGAAGGGGGCCAGGACTCTGGGGGGGGCGGCCCCGACTCCAAGATGCAGAGGGGGGGCTGGGGAGGGGGCAGGGGGGGCTTCGGGCGAGGGGGCTTTAGCAGGGGGGGATTCAGGGGCGGAAGGGGCGGCATGAGAGGGGGCGGAGGGGGCATGTTCCGCGGCAGGGGGGGCAGGGGCGCGAGGGGACACTGAGACATCCTCGTTTCATGCATTTTTTTTTTTTTTGGAAGGGAGCGAAGGCGAAGGTTTTGGCGGGAGGGCATTTTGTTTATCCAGGTAGAGATTTCCGCGTGGGGATCTGAACGGACAGTGGTTACAGCTGGGACTTTCGAGAGTGGATATGCCTGTTGGGGGGGGTGGGAGGGGGGCCGTTTTGTTCACGTGCGGTCTCTTGCTCGTGGTTTGAACTGTGGTTGCCACCTGAACATTGGGTGCAGCAAGGCGGTTTCTCGAAAGGTTCGGCCAGATCATGCACTCCTGGCAGCAGGTTGACACCCACATCGTCTTTTTGGTCTTCGTTCCGTTAACTCTTCGTCGCCTCGTGTGTGCTACTCCGTGGAATCGGTGATTGACTCGTGGGCGAGGTGGGAAACATGCCTGTGTGGTTGAGGGCGCTGGGAAAGCAAGTGTGGATGTCTGTATCATCATGGGCCAGACTCTCATCGACTTCATCGTGCATCGAGTATCAACAAGATCATCCTGGTCCTGTCGAGACGTTGAAATAATAAGAGTGTTGTCAATTTGCCCGTCTGCTTCTACTGCTTTCCAACAGTGGATCGGCCGCCCGTTATGGGGGCCAAATATTTCGTTATTTTCCATTGGGTCTCCATTGGAGTAATGCAAGTCAGTCTTGGCAATGGCAGTTGCTGCCTACTTTCAGCTTGCTTGTTATGGCTATGTGGATAACTAGCACCCATTGTTTTGTCTTCAGCTGATGAAGCAGCAGCCCCTTGTCAAAATATACTGAATCTAAATTTCAGAGTAAGCTCCCAAGACCAGCAGGTGTCTGGTTTGACTTTGGAGTTAACATCTTTCTAAGTGGATCGCACGTCGGTGGCTACAATGCTGGTAAATACAAGATAAAGACCTACCAGTTCCATGGTGAAGGAAAGGGAAGGGGCACAAATTTAGTAAGGTTTTATTTTTGTTGTATGTGCTTACCGGCATGATGGAGTGTTTCTCGGTACGCTCTACGACCTTTGTATTGGAGGGTTTGCACTCAAATTAACATTTAAAAACTTAGCTTGTCAATCTGTCAATTAGCAAACTTGGTACATCGCAAGAAAATATATTGAATACTGCGTTAGTTTACCGAATAACGTGCACCAGCTTTTTTTAAGTATAGATTAGCACGCGGCTTTGACGTCATGCCTCCGTGGTGGCACTGTTGCCACGGCACATGCACAGACGCATTACCTCACGCGAATCTGGTTTCTGCGCTCACGCAGTGCCCACATTTGGTGTGGGCAAATACGGGCTTGTTTGCTATGTTGTCCTCTGATTGGTGTACCCCTCTGCGTTCCAATGCACCAAAGACAGATTTTCGAACGCTTGCTCTCTGTATTGGCACAAGTTAGCTTCTGATCTTACCTACTCTGTACGTAAGATCAGAAGTGATCCTGTTGTTGTCAGATTACAGCAGATAGAGCTTTCTTACAAACAAAATTCTTGCCACTTCATGGTATAAAGTGGCTTACGTCGAGAATAAGTTCTGAATCAAACTGTAGTTGGTGGTATAATTAGATTTACATTAAAGAGCACTTTTTTTGTGTGTGTGTCAACGTTATTAGATTAGCTCGGTTACGAAACGGCTTGTAGACACAGCTTGCGTGAGCAGTACCCCCCTAAAGCGCGATCCAAACCAACGCTTCTTTTTGCGGCTGTAGGTCATGCGCGCCCCGGATGTGACGTATTTCGTGACGTCGCGCCGGTTCTTCGCTCCTTCCGGGCGCGCATAAAAAGGTTGGTTGATTTCGACTTCTTTCTCAACGCGCACAAAAACACGCAGTGACGTAGTAGGGCGCTCCTGTGTCCCGACCAATCGGTGGAGGGCAAGCTAGTTCCGGCTCCGCGTTTCTTCGCCGTCTGGCCGGCCAGTCTGTCGCAGTTGCACTACAGTAGTACACTGTAGTTGCACTTTGCTTGCTTGCGAGTATAGCTGCATCTATGAATTTTCCTCCCGTTTCCGACGCGAGGAAAGTGACTGCCAGAGTGCGCTCGTGCCTGCGTGCGCGCTTGCCCGAAGGTGGCCCGTCCAAACCAAAGCGAAACGGTTCTGACTAGGGGTGTCACGAACCGGCCGAGGTTCGAGTTCGACCAAGTTCGACTTTTTCGAACTTTTAGTGGAATGTTCGACGAACCTTGTATTGAGGTTCGACTCGTGTGCGCATGCGCGACAGGCTGGCCAGTTGGCTTCGGATTGGATGGTAATGGCTAAGGGATTAATTAAGGGCAGCGCTGATTGGTTATTTCAGTTAATACACTACAAAAAATTAAGGTATTAACTTCTTCAGTGATTAGAATTGGTTTCTTTTAATTGCAACTGTTCATAAAATAAAATAACCCTTCGCATAAAAAAAAAAATTCTCCAAACCTAGACATGCTTGTATCAAGGTCTGGCCACACTGTCCACAAAGTCGAACCTGTCGATTTTGGTGAAAAGTTCGAAGGTTCGTCGAACCGGTTCGACTGGGTCGAACCGCTAAAGTTTGACCTAAAAATCCGGTTCGACAAAAGTTCGCGACACCCCTAGTTCTGACTCAGAAAGCGCGCCGGAAAGAGCAAAAACGTAAGGAAATACGTGACATCCGGGGCGCGCACGACCTACAGCCGCAAAAAGAAGCGTTGGTTTGGATCGCGCTTTAGATTCGCCTCCCGTCGTTCAACGCGCCGGATGGCTGCTATGGTAACTGCAGTGTGTTCTATGGAATGTTTCGAAGCACAGCGTCCAGATGATGTTCCATCGTACTCTATGGAACACACAGTTATGAAACTAAAATTTAGATGGCGCTTCAAACGACGGGAGGCTGACTGAGGTGGGTGGGTGAGCCCCTTTCGCTGGAGTTTCACAACTGAGGTAATCCAGTAACGTGTGTGTGTCTATAGGGGGGGGGGGGGGCGCTGCATATGAAAATGTTGACGTGCATGTTCATGTGCTAGAGGCAGGACCAGCTCTACACCATCAAGTGCCCTGGGCGAACCGAGTGCAATATCGTCCCGTATTGAAAATCGCAGTTGCGAGGATGCCGCCAAAGCGACCGCAGCCATGGTACTGGGAGCCGCCATTTTTTCACTGTGCTCGTCCAGTGCCTCCTATATAAGTTACGCTATGCCTGTCGGTTTCTCTCCAAGAGGTGTCCAGGCCTGATATTCGATCTGACAACATGCAAGAATGGCTAAATAGCGCCGCCAGCGGACGTTCGTTTTTGTTTTAGAGCACAGCTCTTCGGTGCCTGTTTCCAGGTTGAGCGGCATCGCCGTCGGCGTAACCGTGCGTTGCATAATGGGACGTTTCCCATAGCGACATCACGCATGACGTCACGTGCAACTTCACGAGGGTGAAATTTTTCCACTAAATCTAGCGGGGAAATTTTCCTGCTAAATTTAGCGGGGAGATTGTTCCGCTACATTTAGCAGGATAAGTTCCCGCCAAGTTTAGCGGGAAAACTTTACCATCGTGACGCCACTCGACCCGGGAAAATTTTCCGCTAAATTTAGCGGGGAAAACTTTCCCACCAAATTTAGCGGGAAAATTTTACCCTCGTGACGTCGCGTGAATGAAGGTGACATCACGTGACGTGAAATTCAGCGGAAACCTTTCCACTAAATTTGGCAAAAACATTTCCCCGCTAAATATAGCGGAGAAATTGATGTCGCATGACCTCAACACCAATTCAGTTTCCCCTTTAAATTTAGCCGGGAAATTTTCGCTAAACTTGGCGGAAATGTTTTCCTGTTAAATTTATCGAAAATTTCACTTTAAATGGGACTGGAACAGCAGAGGAGAGCCATAACCTTTCCTCCTCCGACTCAAGAGCTGCACTCCAATTCGGCATTGCAGAAAATTGTAAACTCCTCATATTTTTTTCTAGCATGTAGTATTTATCATATATACGCTTTTTAACAACATGTGGAACAGTTTTCTGAATGTGACCACCCTGATTCTAACAAGTTTCGTTGAGGCAAAGTACTGAAACTACGAAACGAGCACGGCCGGGCCGCGCTTGTGCAGCGCAAACGCGGAGAACGCTTGGCCGCCTGCTTTGGCGGCAGTTCGGGGCTTTGGCGATTGCCTTGAATTGCACGTGCAGAAATAGTTGTCACCGGGTCATGTGCGGGTGAAAGGTAAGAAAAATAAGAAATAATATTCCGCTAAAAACAGCGAGCTGGCCCCGAGCTCTAAACTATCAGTCAAGGACATTGGGATTTCTTGCTGTCTGTGCTGTTGGGGCGACATTATTGAATCTCCTACAGAAGAGATAGTTGGCTTCACTACACGACAGGTTTGTGCGTCTGGGTGGCTCCACCGCACGGCAGCCACCCCTACTATTTGCTCTCTCCCTTCTGCTTGCCTGTGCTCTGAGCTGACAGGCATTGTTAGTGCCACTAAATAAGCTACGCTTCAGAGTAACGACACTTAGCCATATTGTGTCTTACAATCATGGTTGCCAGTTATCTGAAGCTTTATCTGAAATCACAGGACACGTTTTTCCGCCGTCCACAAATATTTTCACAGTTCGCAGCAGAGCAGAGCAATATTGCATGAGCTTCCAACACCAAATCTAATGCTGAGGAAGTCGCACTTTTCAATCATGACGATCGGAAGTTGCGTCTGCTCTGCATACGAGCCAAAATGGCGGCGCCCACAACAATGTCGGGGAACGGAGTGCCGATACGCTAAGCGCAGCTCATTTAGTGGCTCTAGGCATTGTCTAGCTGCTGGCTCGTCTTGGCTTTAGCCAACTTCTGATCACGAATCTTTAGAGGAGAGCAAAGACCACTGATCTATCCCCACTCCGCGAATGCGGCCACCAAACGGCGATCTTTCATGTTGAAAAATCATGTTTCTGGAGCATTGTGGAGGCTGGCGGCAGCATGCTAAAGACACATTTTCTACTCGTTCGTCATCATTCGCAGAACAAATTCTTTAAAACCCTGTGTAAGCCGTGAAAATTTCCGTGGAGAACACGTGGCAATTTTTACGGAAGCGCAGTGCCGCAGGAAAAAGGCACAACTCGTTAAAAGCAAGTTTCGCCGGTCTCGTGTAGAGTGATCACCCGTCCCGCGACTCGCAAGACTGTCCTGCACTGAAAGCTCATGTCCCGCGTTCCGTGAGAAATTCCCAAATCTTCAAAATATCCCGCATTTCACATCGTCCTAAAATTGACTTTGAAACTCCTGGTGCTGCCAAACAATGGGGCACGGGGAAGCGCAGAGGTCGCTGGTTATCGTGTGAATCACAATGGTACGTCATTTTCTATCCAAGCATTGCGGAAAGCGATCGTCATTCTTGCAGGAGAATCGACGCGCTTGCGCCGTTATGCCTCTCCCCTTGGTGGCAAAATATTGTAAGAGAAAATTGCTCGCCGAATGTTTAAGTATAAATTGTTGGGATTATTTTCGTACCGTTGTGTCAATGCAAAAGGGTTGCTGTTGAATTTCTTTTTTTTAGCAAAGACAGTCGCACAAGGCAGGAAGCCTGCAACTCATAACGGTCGAAAAAGAATGCAATGTTAAAAATGTGTTTAGGACCATGTTGATAAAAGTGTTAACAAGAAACAATAACCCAAAAAATTGTTACTGTTTCTTATAACTTCATTTGATGCATTGAGTTGTGCTGCAGTCAAAGAGATTAGAAGGGTAGGAGCTAGGGGGCGGGACGTCAGCCACGTAGCCTCCACAAGCCATGCTCCTTTGATGCCTCGCCTCTCTCATTTTCCTCCTTACCCTCCTCACTTATCGGGCCAACGTGACCATTGCGTGGTTGATGGTTGCGGGTAGCAGGGTGCGTGGTGCTGGTGCGTTTTATTGGTCAGTCATCGCAGCTAGAAACTGTGTCCCGTGCCCAGCCTACCGATTCTATGCCTGCTGCGCTTCGTTATGTACCCACAACTATAAAGTAAATGCATTCTGTTTTCTACAGACCGTTACTATCCTGAAAATGATAGTATTCAACGTGGAACGTCAGCGCTGTAACGATCGCCTGTTGGCGTGTTTTGGGTAATGTACCTTGCATCTGCGTGCATCAGTGGGGAGTTTTCTTTTTATCTCCTGGCTACTAATTACTACAGGAGTCAAAGCAAAAACAAATTATATACACACATGCTTGAGTAACTATGTCAACCCGACAGGTTGAACCAATACTAGGTACTTTTAAGCAATGATTTTTGTGTCCACCTGCAAATTTGATAGCTGCGCTCTCATTGCTCTCTATCACGCTACAATACGTTTGGCTTATTCTTTTCGTTGCGGCCGCTCTGCAGGTCGTTCACTGGGACGTTTTATTGCTGTCTTGACAAATTGAACCAGCTCAACTTGACACGAGGTTCGGAGATGTTTTATTGACTATTGGAAGTGCACGGAGCAGACCACACTCCACTTCAATGGGATCCAGCCACCGCCGCGACCAACGACCGAAATCTATCGTTTCCGCATTTTGCGCCCATCCTGTAGGTGGAGGAAATATAGCGACACCAGGCTTTCGGTTTCTCCCTTGCGATGGCCCTGATCGTCCCGTGTACCAGCAGCGGTTTGTCGTCTGCTCGTGATTCGCCTCAAAAACCGCTTGCTTAAATGCTTGCTTCACATGTAGCCTGCAAGGAATCCTACAATCAACCATCCATCTCACACGTGACATCTACGGTCATGTTGACCACAACATTGTTTAAAGACTGACGAGCAGTTTGCGCTTTCCACTTTTCCCCCGCTTCCTCCTCTCACTCCTTATACCCTGTCCACTGTTGCCTGTTTCCTCCTCTCTTATGGTGAGAAGGATCTTCTGCCTTGCAGAATCTCGTGTCTGGCCGTCGGCCTTTAAACTAAGTTTTTATAACTAGCTAGGCTTCACACATATTGCAACCTGCCCCCTCCTAGTATTTATAACCTCCTCGGCTGCAGTTTATTTTTATGCTTTCAACTTCAACACATTTCATATTTCGCATAAAAAATATATCACTGGTAGTGAAAGTTATTTTATTGGACTTCTTCCAAAACCGACGCGCCCCATCGCGGCGAAATACCACGCAGTGCACTCTGGGAACTAGTTGGCCACTCAATTTCGGTTTCGACTGAGCAGCTTCATCTCATGCTATGACGCCGCGACCGAACGCGCTGCTTGCGATTTCGATTATCTGGCTTTTCACGAACGTACAATACACTCATTCTCGAGCGATACAAAAACGAAGACCGTTGCACTTTCCTTGGTTCCCGAAACACCAGATATTGTGCGTGCGTATGCGAATGTAGTAAGTCGTGGCTTAGTCACCTCACCCCACGAGTGCATCTTTGAGCTCAATGTCAGTAATCCCGCCTAGTACCAGTGAACTACAACTGAAATTTGTTCGTCTGGAGCCTTACACACATTTTGTTTGCCAAACGTCCGCTTCTTGTTACTGCGAAAAGCAAGCCGCATCCTCACAGGGTATCAAAGTTGAGGCCAGCGTTTACGCATGAACTTCTCACTACTGCACAAACGTTACTATGATGTCTTCCTCGTGTCATCATATATCTCCCATTCAAATTTTATGCTGATAGAAGATTAACTTTTCCCAAACGCTGAGATCGGCTAGCTACGACGGAGGCCCTAGGCCTATAATACGGATGCTTGAAACGAACTTTTGCCGCCCACGTTCAACTGCACATGCCCTGAGGAAACAACCGCTTAATTGAGGCGCCGAATGACAGCACTGACGATGATCGTGGCGGGAATTCAAGTTGTGAAGATGACTGTCCTGCATCCGGCAGCTGATGAAGACCGGCCTCTGCCCCCAACTTCAACCGAAATAATTCCGTGTTCCTCTCCGAGTTTGCGACTCTACTTGGAGACGGAAGCTCGGTAACGGTAGGAGACGCGCTTGTTCTTCTCGTGGACATCGCGATAAAACACGGTTTTCGTGGACAGCAATCGAGGATCTACTGAAGTCCGGTAACTTTCTCTTGGGAAGAGATGCCCGATATATATTGCTAGTATCCGGCGGCGCGCTCAGCTATATACCGCGACTACGCGTATAAGAACTCACGTGCGAAGTCCAACCGCCGAGCGAGACCCGCTCGCACTGATCAAGTTTCGTACACGGAGATGGCTGTTAACAGGGGCCCGCCCAGACGCTCTCTACCTCCGACGCAGCGTGCATCTCGCTGCGCCGTTCTGTTACGGTTTAAATAAACATATTTACCCGGAGTATGTAAAACTGGCGACGAGGAAGTTTTTCGAAGGATGGACGACTCCGCTCATCACGGACGGATTCCGGAGTTTTTCCCCGGCGGAAACTAAAGTTCGTAGTTGGAACACCTCGAATTCTACTTCGAGGCTAAGCTCCACAAAGAAGCGAGCCGTCCTCCTGACGTCCTGCGGTGAATCAACCTATGACACCGTACGAGCCCTGCTCGCGCCCAAGAAGCCTTCGGAGGTCGCCCAAGAAGCCTTCAGAGGTCGAGTTTGAGGACATCATCAAGAGCCTCAACGAACACTATGACCCCAAGCCAGCGAAACTACTCAGTCGGTTCAAGTCCCATCAACGGAACCAAACACCAACAGAGTCCATCTCCGAGTATGTGGCCGCACTGCGAAAGATCGCTGCTGATTGTAACTTCGGCCCAGTGATGACCGCACAGACCACACCCACTCCGGCAATGGCCACGGCAGCCACACCCGAGTCAGATGCCAGTTTGTCACAAGAAAGACGACAGGTTCTGCATGCCCCAGCGAGAGGATTGTCCTCTGTGCTACCACTCCAGGTGATACTGAGGGTTCCCACCCTTAGCAACGTTTGCTAGTGGAACGGAACATCACCTTCGACCGTGCCTACGCTCTTGCATTGGCAACAGAGTCTGCCTCCAGCCAGCAACTCCAAATGCAGAAACCAGAAGGGAAAGTGCACAGTTGTACTGCAACCACAAGTAAGGGGGTGAAACCATCAAAGAAATCATGTTTCCATTGCACAGGCATGCATTCACCTGATGAATGTAAGCCCGCAAAAGCCACGTGGAAATTTTGCCACAAAAAGGGACACCTCGAAGAAGCATGTTTCAAGTGCAAAGCTCAACACAAGGCGCAAGAACGCTCGCCAAGTCACACCCATCAGTTGACAGCTACGCAAGATGAGATGGATGGAGACCTCTTTGCTGCGAACAGCGTCACTCAAGGGGACACATCTTGAATCATCAGTAAGCTCCTGGTGGACGGACGACCTCTGAAAATGGAAGTGGACTCCGGTGTGACGCATTCTATCAGCAGCTCTAAGACTATTTCTCGCGTTTGGCAAGATCGGCCACCTCAGCTCGAACGTATAGGCTGGAGACAAGATGCAGCTCGCTGGATAACTCCCTGTTACCGCGCGATTCAAGGCGAAAGAAGCTCCTCTCAACCTCTACATGGTTACTGGAGCAGGAGCAAGCCTCCTGGGGCGAGACTGGTTATCCGCTTTGACATCAAGGTGTTCGGAGTACATGCTGACTCGCCGAGAGCTCTCGACGATATTATCGCAAAGCATGACAAGGTGTTCAAAAGAACCCTCGATGGACACGTCGGCCTTTCACTGCACATTGACCTCAACCAAGAGGCAACACCAAAATTTTTGATGTGTCGACTAGTTCTCCTCGATCTGCGGACAATGGTACACGAAGAGCTGAACAAACTTCAAGCTCAGAACATTTTGGATCCAGTGAAGTCGTCATCCTGGGCAACTCCTGTGGTCAACAATCGGAAGAACGGCAGCCTGCGGTTATGCGGAGACTACTGATGCACAGTAAATCCTGCACTCAAGTCCAACGCATATCTGTTGCTGACGGCATCAGAATTGTTATCAATCGTGAGAGGTGGTAAGACCTTCTCCAAGATAGATCTTCAACTAGCCTATCGACAATTACACGTTTACGACGCCACGGCAGAATTACTGACCATGACTACCGCGAAGGGACTCTACTGCGTACAGCGAATCCCTTTCGGAGTTTCGATAGCGCCGCTGGTCTTTCAGCAGTTCATGGATACCTTGCTAACAGGATGCGAAGTTACCAGCGCCTACCTCGATGACATCATGGTCACAGGGACAACCTGCAGCGCTTGGACGCGTAGAATGGACAACAACACCGCGGACAATCTAACAACCTCCGATTCAAGGATTACATTCGGTCGCAGGATCAAGCAACCACCTCATTTGCAAGACTATGTCTTGAGTTTTAATTCAGAAGGGGGAAACTGATATATATTGCTAGTATCCGGCGGCGCGCTCAGCTATATACCGCGACTATGCGTATAAAGGGCTGTTACCAGGGGCCCGCCCAGACGCTCTCTACATACAACGCAGCATGCATCTCGCTGGGCCGTTCTGCTATGGTTTAAATAAACACATTTACCCGGAGTATGTGAAAATGCCCTTGCTGAAAGCAAAAATTTGTTCCGGGAGTTCGCTGGAGCATCTCCAGAACACATGTGTTTTCACTTTTGTTGCCCGACCTGCGAGCACTTATTAGGGAAAACGTCAGGGAAGCCGGCAGGATGCAATGGAATGTTTACAACGTGCGCAGTCTGCAAAAAGCAGTACCGTGGACAGAAACTCGTGTCGAATGGACACTTTTTTGTCAGCTTACCTTTGGAGAAGCCATTTTCTTCCATCCTTCCCAGGTGAAAATTCAAAGTGGGACCACTTTAAAGTGGTATTTGGAACAGGTCCCACTTTGGAAGTGGGACCACTTTGAAAGTGGGACCACTTTGAAAGTGGGACCACTTTGAAAGTGGGACCACTTTGAAAGTGGGACCACTTCCAAAGTGGTCCCACTTCCAAAGTGGGACCTGTTCCAAATACCACTTTAAAGTGGTTCCACTTTGAATTTGGACCTTTTTGCCTACTTACCATGAGCATTAGGCATCAATAAGGTACCTATGCACATTCTTGTGGCTAATTTTGACTACCTAAACAGAACATGTTATCGAGAGAATGATTGTGTCTTAAGACGAAGAATTGCAAGTCATAGATTTATTTCTCTGTTGAAGAGTGATCAGGAAGGGATGCACAAAGTTGTTTCGCTATCTGCGGAATCTCTCTAGTCGTGCATCAGGCCCATGCGCCTGAACCCCTTTCTTGTGTCCTGGATTTTTTCGGACAGAATGGTGTTCATGTTGGCAAAGGCACCGCTGACCTCAACATTCTTTGTCCGGCCCCAGTGTGTCAATGTTTCTGTGAAATAGATTCAAGAAAAAATATTTCAGCATAAAATTAGATCTATATGCGACCCACTTCATAACTCACTCACCAAGGATGAGGGACACCTTTTCTGGGGTTAGCTCCTTCCGAGCAGATGCACCCAGGTTTTTCCTGTCCTTGGGAGCAAGTTTCCCCCCATAGCTCCTCTCCACCAGAGTCTTTGACCCCCAAAGGATCTGAGCCGTGTCTTTCGCAAACTTTGCAGGCCTCGTGTTAGCGTATATGTGTTTCCTCTGCTCTTCGGAGATAGTTACCCCTCCCTTGAGGTGGAACTGCAAAATAGTTCAAATATGAATGTAAACATCTTGGAATATAGTCTGAAAGTGAAGCTGAAACTTACCCTGCCATTCTCCAAAGTGCTGAATGGTGTAGCACTTGAGGGTCCACCATAGTCTGCAACTGTACAGCAAACATGTGCACTTACAGCAATCCCAATCATTATATACAGAGAGTATGTAAAATTTCTAAAGGGAGTCTCCAGGTGTTAGATTATTTGACCCGATAAACAATATGTTACAGACATGAATTAGAACTGGAAATAAAGGGGCAATGTATTGGCCACAAACCTTTTGTGAAACAAAATACTAAAAAATTGAAAGGTGGAATTTTTCGTCATCCTGGGCATTTCGACAATCCTTTAGCTGCCTTTTGTATTGTCTTCCTAATGGCACATAGCTGTTTTAAGGTTGAAGCCTTCATTCCTAGCTTTCAGTGTCTAACCTTACCATCAGTTGACTGGGGTCGCCGCTGTCCACCCTTGTTACCAGAAAGCGGCCTCTTGGTGCCGGCTCCCACAGTAGCCTCTAAAAGATGATCAAACTTTCCTTAAACACGACTTGTTAAGCAATAAAAAAAGACGAGCTAAAAGACTGAACTCAAATCAACCACAAAACAGTCTGACAAAGCAACTATTGCTTACCCCTCGTGGGAGTTGCCAACAAGGTAGCAGCAGAGGTACTGGCTACCACAGTAAAATCTGAAACATTTAACAGTGTCTTTAGTCCTGCTTGATCTACATAAAAGTTTGTTTCCATAAGAGTTAGTTCAGAGAAGTAGCATCATTAATGATAGTGACACTTCTCTCCTTTGTTGTGGAATGTTCTGAAACATTCTAAAGTGTGAGAAATCAATCCTGGTAAGCAAACAAGGATTAAGACCGGGGTTAACTTGGTAGCAGATAAGTAAGAGAACAGGAACAAATATTAAATAAACAAGAGTATAAGAAGAGCTTAAGGAGCAAGGGAACAGACAAGGGTTGTTGCAATGCAGAAAAGAAAGAAAAAGTGTCAAGTGAATTTGGCAGAAGAAAAGGGAAGAGGACACAAGCATGGATAACAACTGGGACTTTAAGATTGCAAATATCTTGGTGCCCGATTTGTCATTCGAAGGAAGATTAAAAAGGTTAATAATAAAAGCCACATGAGCACGAATGCTCTCTCTGTGATACAATCTGAATGTATTTAATTGGCAAACCCTCATTGTAGCAAAAATTAGAACAGATCAAAAGTCGATTACTAATCATCATGAAATGAATCTTACGAGGAGTGGTTGGCCTTTCCCTGGAAGGACCTTGAGCTGCTGGGTCGCAAGATGCAGTCATGTGATCTGGAAAATTTAGAGTTGTTTACAGTATGTTGTGCACAACTGTAAAACTACATCAAGAGAATAGCATAATAATGCAGTGATAAATAACATTTGTAAGTAACATAACACAGAAATTACAGCAGATATCAAGTCGATTCTCACTAGCCATAACCAAAAAATCATTGATGCAATTCGCGACTCCAGCGAAATCGACGCCGTGTAGCGGCAGTGCCGAGAAGCTCAGGAGAGGTGGTCGTTTCAACTCTGTCGTCTGCTATCGCTGCTTGGTTCTCGTAGGCAGCATAGAAACGAATATTGTTTCCAGTAATTATTTTTATGATTCCGCTGTGTCATTCTTACGCACTGACTAGAAGATTTCTACCGTCGAAAAATCGCTTTGCTTTCAAATGTAACACTGATTTTACGCTGCAGTGCATGATTTTGTGGTGGTCCGCGTGCTGAACGACGAAAACGACCTCCTTTCGTCCGCCCTTTTGCCTGAGCAGCGCGCCCTCTATAGTTTGCTGGAGTAGAGAATAAGCCTGACACATAACTATAGAAAGATGTAATATCTGTTCTATACATTTTAGTCACTAATAATTCTTTAGTGCATTTCTTGATATTCCCTACAATACCAAACATTTTTCCAATTCTTTCAGTTTAGGCCCTTAAAGGGGCGGTGCAATGATTTTAACACTGAACGAATGTGCAGCTTGTATTTTTTATATTGTTTAATTCGGCATAAGTAAGAGAAAAAGTGCCACCATATCCCAAAATACTTCTATTTCGCTGCGTAATCGCAAAATAAAGAACGCTTTTTTTCCCAACCTGCGGCCACATGGTGGCCGCAAATGGAACCTGTGGTGTGACGTCATTCGGAGTGGTTTTTGTAAGTGATAGTGTTAGGCAATCGTAAGCTTGATTTAAGGTTAAGTTTAAAAAATCTTGTTTAGGCATGCAGAAACGCTTCAGAAGCCTAATATTGCCGCTAAAAGGGTATGAATTATTTGTGGCGCCATCTACCGCAAGTCAACAAAACCTGCCGTTGCCGTCGTCCGTCGACGCCCGAGGCGCCTACGGCGGCTACATGAGCAACCCGGACGTTTTGTCTGTTTTGTCTTTCCCTCGCTCGACGGAGTGCGTTGGTCGTGGTTCGTAGTATCGTGGTATCGTTATTGTTCCTGGTGTCTCGACCTCAACTTCGATTGCCCGACGTCGCTCAGGCCGTCCGCCCAAGCCGCCATGTTGGTCGGGAATCGGCGGGAGAGCGGGAGAGCGGCGAGCTCGGCGAGCCGGCGAGCGCTGGGGAAACGGAAGCCAGAAGAACCCAACCGGAAACCAACGCCACTCCGAATGACGTCACTGCGAAGCTGGTGCCGCTTCAATGTTGAGTTGAGGGGTGCCAGAGATATCAATTTCTTTCATTTTTTTAAATGAAAACTAGGGCAAGCAGGAAAGAATAGTTTTCGGCCCTTCGTTTTATATGTGGCCGGGATCAATTCCCGCAATTAATTAGCCAAAGTCCGCAAATTGTTGCACCGCCCCTTTAACAGAGGACATAACTATGCCCATCACGTTAAAAAAAATGCCAGTTTCGCAGTTTTTGTGGCACAAAAGGTTGTTCTCAAAAGATTTAATTGGCAGTAAAAAAAGTATGACTTTTAGTGTTTTTGGGACTATCCGGGACTATCCGTGACAAATGCTTTCAGGCCCTCACTGAACAGCTGGTTTTTTCTTCACCTCCATGTGACCAACCATCTCGTTCCATAAGAATAAATTAGTGCAAGTACCTCACTGGACAGCTTCAGGTATAGAACTCTATGTGCCATTTGTTTAGTCGGAGTCGCGAATGGGAAGATGTATACTGTCGGGGGAAAAATTCCCCGGGGTGCGCAAGCTGCGACTGAAGTGCATCCCTTGTTTAGACCAGAAAAGGGTGCATATGCATTCTACTGTGTTTATAGAAGAGTCTGCCCCTGCGTTGCTTTGTAATACAGTGCTTGCCTAGTCTGGTGCGAGGGGGCGCAACTGGAGGCAGCGCTTGCAGCTTTGCTGTGCGTGTCGCCCAAGCAGGAACTTCCGGCTTTAGAACCTCAGCTTCTAGCTCGGTTGACTCGCCAATGTGATGTGGCTTTATAGGTGCCATATCAGAAAGAGCAGCCCAATGATCGCTATATATATATTATAAAAAAAAAAGCATTAAGTTTCCCTATTTGAAACCAACTCACTATTGGAGGTTGATATGTGCTGCAAAGCTGCAAGCATCACCTACAGTCACGGCATCCGTTGCAGATCACAGCAATCTCAGAATGGGCCCTTCGTGCCAGATTGTGGGGCAAGCATTGCCTCGCAGAAGGTTGGGAGAACACACATGCCTGCAAGCCCAGTAGGACATGCATGCATTATTCTGTGGTCTCAAAGTCAGGCGAGCCACTGGCAGATGGTGCAGGAATTCCCTTCAGTCGCTGCTTGCGCTTCCCAAGGATTTTTGTCCCCAATAGTACTTCCATACAAGATCAAAGTTACTCACCATGGCTGGGTTCAAGGTCGCAGGGTCGCTGAGCTTGTCCCTCAAGAATCTGGAGCACTAAAATGCAATTTAAAAAAAAAAGCTTTTTATATTCAATTTATGAATACCTCTGCTATGCTCTCTACCCTTTAAAGGAATACTGAACAGAAATTTATATTTCGCAAAATAAGGCCGTAGAAGCGTTGAACAGGATGCTGTGAACTGCAAAACATCCCACATACATCAATATCTCAAACGGATGGCCATACTTTTGGAAAAGAAGGGTGCAATCAAGCGATGTCTTTGACGTCATTGTCCTCTGGAAGAATTTGAAAATGAGGAGAGAAGCGGCCTCGCTTCTCTCTTCCTCACTTCGGTTCACCAGCTGAATGGGACGTAGCAAGGAGGAGAAGATATGGGAACCGTGACGTGACTAGTCACGTTGGTCATGTTCAATTGTGCACTTCGTTTCCAAAAATTATGGCGATCCCTTAGAGATATTGCTGTACGAGTGATGTTTTGGGGTTTTGCAGCGTCCCACCTACCTGTCCAGCCTTGTTTGCAAGCTCCAAATTTTGGTTCAGTATCCCTTTAACTTAAAGTGCTCTAATGAAAGTTGACTACAAAGAGAAAACTTTGGGTAACTATTATGTTCACACATGCAGCAAGGCAAGGGCTTGGAAGACCTATAAAAAATAAAAAGTGACAGAAATGTGGCACGTAATGCAAAGTGCACAATGAATTCACACACCGAAATATAACATTAAATAATACTTACTTGCACAAAGTTTACCATCAACGGTGCTTTGCAGCGATTCAATTATGTTGTAGAGCTTTTCATTCTCTCGGCACTTTTCCTGATATAGCTGGCGCCAGTGGCTCACATCCTTCTTCTTCAGCTCAAGCTGCGATGATGGCATAGCTATTATGCTGTCGTCTGTGTCACTGTCTGACGTAGGGGTATCCTGTTGCATCTTCTTCTGTACCAAAAATTATTAAAATATATAGCAATATGATGGCACCACTCAAAGAAAAAAAATCTTGTATGTACAAGCATTTCATGGCACTTACCGGAGCTTGAAGGTGGCTAGCAGCCTCAGCATTTTTCCTTTTGGAGCTCTGGAGTTGTTCCTTTAAGATGTCAGCATATGCACGACTTCGGCCAGCCTGCTTATTTTCTTTTTGGACCTTCTTTTCCTGGAGTTGTAAACAAGTGCACAAATCAATTTGGGCTGGCTTAGTTTTCATGTTTTCCTTCCTCGCAGAACCCCGTTTTTTTTACAAATTCTGTCAGCATGAGTTGAAAAATACACATGGGTAGAAAATTTACTTAAAATTAATATGAAGGGTGAGACTATTTTGCGGCAGCCGGCAAATTAGCCCGGGGAAAAAAATGCCGGCAGTTTCGGACGGCGCGTGTATCACTGGGGAGCTCGTTAACACATCCCCCCGCCTGCGTTCACGCCGCTTCGCGGCGATGGTCTGCGGCTGCTCATTACAAAAATATTGACCCAATGGACCTTTTTCCAGTAAGCGCCTGCGCAAGCGCACACCCTTTTCCCTTGACCTTGACCGCCCTTTCGCCATTCTTGGGGGGCACTGTTTTCTTGCGACACTAATCTGTTTCCATGGGAGAAGGCGAGTCCGGTTGCCCTGCATTTGTAGTAGGCGGCGAAACCGTCATGAGGCGCTCCTTACTGGAAAAAGGTCCATTGGCTGACCAGTACACGCCGCTTCGCGACGGCCCACCGGCGGCCCAAGCCCCGCTGTCTTCCATTCACCCACGGGAAGGGAGTCCACAGCAAAGTTTTGTCGAGAACATTCATTTTATTTATTTACTTTTTTTTTTTTTCAGTGTTAATCCTGAAAAAGAAGATATGTCCTAAATATCGCCAAATGCTTCGCAAAACAAAACAAACTTTCAAAAAAAAAAAAAAAAAGAGGACACGGATGATTGAACTAGGGTCCTATGAGACAAGCACCTTACCACTGAGCTACTCATGGGGCACAACTGCCGGCACTTTTTTTTCCCGGGCTATTGTGCCGGCTGCCGGCAGAATATCCACTTCCTAATAGGAACTCTCGAAATTATACTCCCTGCCCTGAAAATGCTGTGCAAACAAGCAAAAACACGTGTGCCAGTTGCCCTGATAGTCAAGTTCGCCTGTTGAACTTGTTGTGTATAGAGGGCGCTGAACTCATGCATTACCAATTGTATATAAGAGCATCACCATCGGCATAAAGATCAGTCAGCGTCCAGTGCCTGCCTCGTGTCAGTTCTTGTTCTGCGGCCTTCCGGCCGCGTTCGCCGGTCTACACCACATTGGCGCAGTCGACAAAAGCACAACCTCGGCAGCAGTCAAGATGACAGCCGTTCTTCGCAACTAGTACGCGAGGGGCGTTACCCATTAACGCAAAGATGAATACGCTCGGGCTGCCATCGTTAGCCCCGTTTTTGGAGGCGCCGGGAGACCCGGCAGTGCCATGGCGGCAATGGCGAGAGGACTTCGAGATCTTTCTGCAGGCGACGGAAATGGACGCGAAACCGCCAGCACAACGAAAGGCGATACTTCTACAGTGTTTGGGGGTGGAAGGTCGAAGAGTGTTTCGCACGTTGGTTCCAGAGCCTGCGGCTGCACCTGCACCACCGATAACTGCTGCTGCAACCGGAAGTGCGCCGGAGAAGACCACATCAAAAAGGGGTGAGCCGGACGACTACACCGATGCACTTCGGTTGTTGGAACGACATTTCACGAACACTCTGAATGTGCTTGTCGAACGACGGCGATTCATGTTGCGACGACAGCGTCAGGAGGAACCGATACGCGCGTACGTCAGTGCCCTGCGACAGCTCGCGAGTACTTGCGACTTCGGGGACTTTCTTGAGGCAGCGCTGCGGGATAAAGTCGTCGACGGAGTACGGAGCGTGGAGCTAAGACAGAAGCTGCTCATGAAAGGTTCACAGCTCACGTTGGGCCAGGCCATGGACATCCTACAGACGTTCGAGCAGGCAGCGGAAGGTGCCCGTGTCTACGAGGAGGGGCGTGACGCTGCCATGGTTCAGCAAGTCGAGAGGGCAAGAAATCGTTCAGGAACAGGAGTCAGCGGTTCTTCAACAGTTCCGGACCGCAGGTGTTACAGATGCGGTGCTTCAGGACACCTAGCCAGTGCACGGGAATGCAGAGCGCGAGATAAGCGGTGTTCGAGGTGTCACAAGGTGGGACATTTTCAAGCGGTATGTAGAAGTACCGGGCAAGCGCGGGTGCAAGCGGTTCAGGACACGGACGGAAACGAAGAGTTGGGTGTCCTAACAGTCACACAGAACGAGCGAACCACTCTGATAGTCGACGTTTGCGTCGAGGGCGAAGTGATTCAGCTTGTCGTGGACACAGGCTCGTCAGTGTCTATCTTGCCAGCAAACATCTATCAAGAAAAATTTGCAAGACGGTTCGCCTTGGCTCCAGCAACGGTGACTCTGCGGGACTTTTCACAGCAAAGAATTCCAGTCTTGGGATGTTTTGTGGCTCAAGCGGCACGTGGAGGCGTGTCGTCAAACATTCGCTTCTATGTGGTGTCAAGGGGCATGGCGTTGCTGGGACTGGATGCGGTGCAACAACTACGACTGCATATCGACGGCGCATCGCTGGCGTGCCTACAGACAACGGCGGGGCCACAACCTCTGCCTCCTGAACTTAGTGAGTTTTCATTCCTCTTTGCGGGGAAACTGGGACTTGCTAAAAACGTGGTACACGAAGTTAAACTGCGTCCCAACGTCAAACCAGTATCAGCAAAAGCTAGGCGATTACCGTTGATGTTGCGAGAACAAGTCTCTGCTGAGTTGTTAAGATTAGAGCGTGAAAGCATTATCGAACGGGTAAACGCTTCTGAGTGGGTGTCTCCAATAGTGGTGGTAAAAAAAAAAGACGGGAGCATCCGACTCTGCGTAGATTTACGGGAGCCAAACAAGGCCATTGTCGTTGACGGCTTCCCGTTGCCGCACACGGAAGAGCTTTTGCACGCTTTGAACGGAGCAGCATGGTTCTCAAAACTGGACCTGGCGTCAGCCTATCACCAGGTCGAGTTGTCAGAAGACAGCCGGGCACTGACGACGTTTGCCACACATGAGGGACTGTTTCAGTTCCGTAGAGTCTGTTTTGGCCTTGCTTCGGCGCCCGCCGCGTTTCAGCGGATGATGGAAGAAATATTGAAAGGTTGCAAGGGCGTCCTATTGTATATTGACGATATTATTGTCTTTGGCAAAAATAAGAAAGAACACAACAGTCATCTGCGCGAGGTCTTGCAGCGAATAGCGGCCGCTGGCCTGCAATTGAACACGAAATGTGTCTTCGGGGTAGAGGAATTGTCGTTCTTGGGTCACCATGTGAGCGCAAGGGGTCTCGCACCCCTCAAATCAAAAGTGGACGCGATTATCAATGCACAGACGCCAATGGATTTGGTGGGATTGCGTTCTTTTCTTGGGCTCATGGGATACTACTCTCATTTCCTCCCTCATTATGCAGAAGTGGTGGAGCCACTGCGGCGCTTTCTTCGCAAGGGCCAGGAGTTCATCTGGGACCAGAACGCTGAGGAAAGCTTCGGCAAGGCTAAGAACCTACTAGCGTCGTGCAGCGCAGTATCCATGTTTGACCGGTCCTTACCTGTACAGGTAACAACTGATGCATCGGCATATGGGCTGGGAGCGGTACTGCAACAGGTGATCGACGGTGAGACGCGTACGATAGCATTTGCATCAAGGACGTTGACGCCACAGGAACGCAAATACTCTACGGGAGAACGAGAAGCCCTGGCATGTCTGTGGGCTTGCGAGCACTGGCATGTGTACTTGTGGGGCAGAAATTTTGTGCTGCGAACGGACCACCAGGCATTGGTAACATTGCTCTCTACTAATGGCACCGGAAGGCGGCCACTTCGGATAGAGCGGTGGTGTGCAAGGCTGATGAGGTACAATTTTACTGTACAATACACGAAAGGAGAAGATAATGTAGTCGCTGACGCACTCTCCCGGTTGCCCTTGCTGTCCACAGAGTGCGACCCAGTAGAGGAGGTCATTGCTGTGGTGTCAAGCGTGGTAACAAAGAACCAATTGCAAGTGGAGACAGAGAAGGATGGCGTGTTACGGGAGGTGATGCAGTATGTCACATCTAGGTGGCCAGAAAAGAAATGTCTGTCAGGAAAGCTACTATCATTTTGGCGGATTCAAGAAGAGCTTTCTGTTCTGGAGGGGGTGCTGTTTCGTGCAGAGCGGGTGGTGCCTCCATCGACATTGGTGTCCAGATTCATCATGATGGCCCACGAATCGCATCCGGGCATCGTCAGGACAAAGCAGCGACTCCGGGAGCAGTATTGGTGGCCTGGGATGGACGAAGACGTGGAAAACTGCATTAGAAGCTGCGCTGTGTGCAAGGCATCAGACAAGTCTGCAAAGACCGCGGTGGCCCCTCTACAACCAGTGCAATGGCCCGAAAAGCCCTGGGAAAAGCTGGGCATGGATATTGTGGGCCCGATGGAACGAGCCCCTCCAGAGTGCAGATTTGCAGTAACTGTGATTGATTATCACAGTAAGTGGCCGGAGGTTTTTTTTGTGTCGTCGATAACTTCTCAGTCGGTGACGAAAGTGTTACTGGAGCTATTCGCGAGGGAAGGATACCCAAAGAGTGTTGTCACTGACAATGGCAGACAATTTATGTCGACACAGTTTGAAGGGTTCCTACAAGACAGAGGAATTGAACACTGTGTGGCCTCGCTGTACTACCCGCAGTGCAACGGTCAAATAGAACGATTTAACCGCGTCTTAAAAGAGTATATTCAGGTGGCGGCACTGGAGCGCAGACCACTTAAGGAGGCAATTCTGGAATACCTGAGTATTTACAGGGCAACTCCCCATGCGACCACCGGCATGTCTCCGGCGTTTTTGCTACACGGAAGGCGGCCACGAACAAGACTGGACGTCGTGGGACTACCGGAGAGAGGGTTTTTCGATGAACCGCGGCCTCACGTCGCCGAACTGCAACGCCGTGTCAAAGAGCGACAGCAGAGGACAAAGAATTACACCGATGAAAGACGGGGTGCCAGGCACTCCATCATTGAACCCGGCGACTTCGTAAAAATAAAGAGGTGGGGAGGACCAAAAGGACAGCAGAGGTTTTCTTTGCCAATAGAAGTAAAAAAACGCGTGGGAAAAAAATTCCTTCCTTTTAGACAATGGGAAGAAATGGAACGCTGCCAAATTGACAGTAGTGGCCAAAGGAGGAGCACCAGGTGCCCGGAACTTGGTAGAAAAAGTTATGGAACGACGTGGAGCGGTAAGAGACCAGTTAGGCGACCTGGATTTGCCCACTGAAGAGGGGGCATCACAACTACCATCACCACGGGACGTCGCAACTGCCAGAACCCCAGAGACATTATCGCCAGGCGACGACAGCGCTACCGTCGCTACGCACGGAGTGGGAGCTGCACGGGGTGCTGAGACACTTCCAGACTCTACACTTCAGGAGACTGAAATCTGGTCGACACCAGCAGAGTCGGCGCCGGCACCAGAGCAAGTCGAAGCGCAGGACATCTCCGGCCAACAGGAGTTGTTGACCACGGCACCGTCGTACAGCAGGCCTCAGCGACAAAGAAGAATGCCCGGAAAATACAACGATTATGTTTTACACTAGAATGATCTGTTATAGTGGTTCCAGAGCTATGTGAATAACTGTAATTATTGTGTTCTAGTTACTGGGGTTTTGTTTGTTTAAAGGGGGGAAATATGTTGTGTATAGAGGGCGCTGAACTCATGCATTACCAATTGTATATAAGAGCATCACCATCGGCATAAAGATCAGTCAGCGTCCAGTGCCTGCCTCGTGTCAGTTCTTGTTCTGCGGCCTTCCGGCCGCGTTCGCCGGTCTACACCACAGAACTTATAGTTAAGTTCGAGCAACACACCTGCTTATCCCTTCGTGCTCCTGCCTGCGAGGGCGCAACATCGTCGACCTCCTCTTCAGCCTCGTATTCTGAGGCGTAGACCTTCGTCTTGCGGATTCGCTTTGACGCTCTTTTCTTCTCCAGGTTTTCTTCGGTGTCTACAAAACATCGTGGAGAATAGCTGTTAGTGTCTGTCGACAAATCTTTCGACTGTCATAATTTTGAACGGGAACTGGCCGTAGTACATACCTGCCATCATCAATATCTGGGCCGAGTAGAACCCGGTACTTTCTTTCTCAGGGTCATCCCAGAAAGCTTGGTATATAGCCTTCGCATCAAAATCCTCGTCGTCGGACGGCTCAAAATCTTTTATGTACCGAGTCGGCACAACGTACAGCTTGTTGCCGACCTCGTTCGGAAATCGGACGAGCGCAAACATTCCAAAGTTCTTAAACTCTTGACCAACTTACAAGCGAAGTAACCGCAGCGTGCGTAGACGGACGTTAGGCCTAGGTTCCAAACAGCGCGCTGTGGCTAGCTTTGGCTTGTCTTGGATTGCGCTTTGGATTTTGTAGTTTAGTGGGATGTGTGAAAATAAAAGCTAAAAACAAATGTGCTGGTTTAAAAAAATTAAAATTTTTTAAATTAACAAAATGTTACATGATATAGGTTCAAAACAAACATGTCTATATACTGCTTAATACGTTTATTTGCAGATGTTGTTGGATGGGAAATGGTCCGGTTTAACCCGCAGTCAACAAAAGCCATCCATCCAGAAGCCATTAACCGTCTCAAGTCAATAGCGCTCGTTGGTCACGCTCACGTTTCTGAATCTCACAGGTATTTTGGTTTGCTGTGACTTTCGTTCAGCAACTTACTTTCGTCCTTCAAGAGCAAGGTGAAAGAGATGCTTTCTGCCAACAAGCACAAGACTCGGAAGCGATATCGGCAATATTTAGAGCCGGATGCTGCGCCGTATGTTCGTGTGCCTAGGTCGACAGCACATAGGCTAAACTTCGTAAGCACACCAACTCCTACCTCTTGTGCAAGCTCCTCTGCATCGTCTCCTTGCTCCACAACTCAACCACGTCAACCCCTGGTCGAAATGGAAGACTGCACAAGTGATGCAGACGAACATCTGCGCACTGAAGACGAATCTGACACAGCCGAGAACGAAAGTCCTCGGGGCTCCGACCATGATCGGCCGTTCGTTGAGTTCGTGACGCCACTGGGAAACGGCACTTCGATGACTGTTGGCGACGCTCTCGTCCTGATCATGGATTATGCCATTGGGGAAGGACTTCCATGGACTGGCATAGAAAAGCTTCTTAAGCTACAAAACCTACTGTTGGGAACCAACAGCATCCCCGAAAGCAAATATCTGTTCAGAAAGTTTGCGAGTGCTTCACCAGACGACGTCACTTTCAACTTTTACTGCCCGACGTGTGAAACACTCCTTGCAAAGACAGCGGGCAGCTTGAAGGAAAGGCAGGGCATCTCGCCTACCTGCTCGGTGTGCGGAGTGCAGTACCTCGGAAAGGACCTTATGTCCAAGGGATGCTATTTTGTTGGTCTGCCAATGGAGAAGCAACTAGCATCGGTGCTGGCCGATGAAACTGTGAGGGAGCACCTAGCAGAATCTCTGGCGAAACTCAATACACCGAGACCCTCTGCCAAGTTGGATCTAACCGACGGCGACTCTTATCGAAGTCAGCGCGCAAAGCTTGGGTGTGGGCCTCATGACTTGACCGTGTCCATGAACGCCGATGGGAGCCCCATATTCAAGTCGGCAAACTACGCCATCTGGCCCGTCCAGCTCACACTGAACGAACTTCCACCATGTCTGCGCTGGCGCTCCGTCGTCCTGCCGCTGTTATGGTACGGCGCGAAGCACCCGAACATGACTTTGCTTCTCCAAGCCTTTGCGGCCCAAATGAAAACGCTAGCCCAAGAAGGCATCACGTGGAGCGCTGGGGGCTCAACACTAAACTCTAAGGTGAGTTTCCCCGCTTGAGGTGAACGCCCTGTATGCACTGAAATGTTGAAGCCATTTACGTGTACTATTCTGGACTCTGTTAACTGTAACACGCCAGCGGGCATTGTCCTTAGAGTTAACTGTATAGACTCTGCTTGCAGAGTTAGAGTATCGTGTTCCTTTTTCTTGCGCCGTCAACTCCGCATTGCAATGAAGCGGTCAGGTGCTCTGAGCGAGACCCAATCTTTTTGAGGTAACGCTACTTTTCAGGCGCCAAGTTTCAAACAGAGCATGTTTCTCGCTTGGCGTTTGCGAAATATACATCCTACACTAACATAAAATAATCTGGAATGTTCCTTAACCATTTAACATTATTGTAGCCACTGCATATATAGTGTAATCGCGTTGCTTTATAATGTAAGCGATGTTTGAAAACATGGTTTTAAAGACTGGGAAGCAGATGACACGGGAAACGATCGTTACGCGACCGGCACATCCGGGCCATTTTGGACTAGACAACAATGCGCAGGTATGGCTCGCGATGGGATGTTCGACTACTATGTTCCACTGGTGGCATAGAGAGAAACAGCAGACAAATGACAGTGCACGCATGGCGTGTCGCAGCACTATTTTCTTCTTTTTTTTTGCGTTAGTTTCAACGTGGTGGCGCTAATGTGCAAATAGCCCCAGAGCCGTGTATTGGGAGAGTTTGGCCATTTATTGGTCAAACTCTCCCAAGCATCTCGTGGCCAACCACGGGTCGCAAAACAGCCCCTAGCGGTGGTCATGAGCTCTAAAAATGCGACTACACTAATTTAAGCCGTTTTAGTGTTGCTAGAGTAAAAAGGTGTAACTCCTAGTGACTGAAAGCTTCGTGCATATGAGGTTTTCGTCACGTCCAAATTCAACGGTAGAATAAACGAACGTGCACTCCAAACCAGAGAAAGTGCATAGTTGCGATCATTGCTGCTGCAAGGTTGAACGCTTTAAATGTTGTTTCCAATACTGTGACATTGAGGTCTGCTGATTGGTAGACGCTGTGTCACACTTTTAGTTTACGCTCTAGCTGCAGGGGGAATATTCGGCATTGGCAGCGGCCTTTGCTCCTCCCATTGGCCAAACTTTCCCAATATACTGTTCTGAATAGCCCTTAACACTTCCGGTTCCCAACTACAATACGGGATTCGCAGTATTTGTGAGATTAAATCTATGGGCTACTTTCGGAACACGGTTGAGAATCTGCCATATGACACATGCGCTTTGAGTTTCGGATGGCGCCTGCTATGCCGTGCTGGGCGTATGGGACGGCCGCCGCCTATGTGTTATAGCTAATAGAGTCCACGCTAGTATGTGCACATGGTTTCCGGGGCTCCAGTTAAAGCAGCCATTTACATGCATGCATGTAGCTCCTATACTCTATTTCACCTTATGACGTACCACAAGAAAGGCTACGGGCGCGAGCTCTCTGCTCTAGGGCACATCTCGGCAGCACATCCTGTCGTGCATTAAGGGCAGCTGCCAACGTTATGAGCTCGCGCTTCTAGCCTTCGCTGCGGTACAACATAGGGTGAAATGGAGTATAGGTAACTGCTAGTATTTTTCATAGGTGCACCATACTGCTCTTGCTTATCATTCTATACTGGCTAGTGTTCATGTAGTCTGTAGTCTAATGACCACACTGTAGTCTAATGACTAGTTCTTGCAGCACACCGCTAGCTATAGCAAAACTCTGTTGCAACTTATTGAATTGTGTAGATTGTGGTTAAAAGTGGTATTAATAGAATGTTTCTTTCCAGGTCTACTGTGTCAGCTGTGTGGCCGATGCCCCTGCAAGGGCCGCGATGCAGAACGTCATGCAATACAACGGCTATTACGGGTGCTCTTGGTGCCTCCATCCTGGGGTTTGCATTAACGGTAAGGAAACAGAATATGATCGTCCAGTTTTTAAGTTATTTATTGGGATGTGTGAATATTTTAAACTCTTGAACTTTTAACTTTCGTGAAAGAATTACGACAGGGACAAGTACTGCTTTCGGCAAAGGTGTTCAGCATTACTACTGGACTGTTATTCCTGCAATGCAAATTTTCAGTCAAAGGCACCTAAACTTCAACATCATGTAGATCCAGCATCGGTCTCGGCATGAAAAAGTGGGGTGGAGGTGACATCAGTCCCCGCTTCCGCCCACGTTCACACTTTTAGAGCACAGCTCTTAGGTGCCCGTTTCCGGCTTGAGCGGCGTCGCCGTCGGCGTAACTGTGAGGTCACGCAACTTTCCCCTGAGGTAACGTGACCCCTCCCCCGAGGTCACGTGACCTCACGTGGCCCCCTTCACGGAGTAGCAGGCAGGATGACAAGGTGAGGAGGGGGGAGGAGGGATTTACCTTCCCTACTCCTCCTCAAGAGCTGCACTCTAATTCGGCGTTACAGGGAGTTGTAAACGGCTTTCTTTTTTTTTTTACAAGGTATCTAAAAACCTGAAATTGTCAGGGAATTTTAATCATCTGAAAACTATGGGGATACTCAAACCAAGGATACTCAAAAAATTTGCTATATCAGGGGGAAATTACCAGTGAAAATGGCACGATGATACGCAACAAAGCTCAGCGGTCGCTCATTCGCACGGCTACACTAATAAATGTTGCCTGAAACATCACTAGGGAGCTATACCTCCATCTTCTAGCAAGCACAAGCATACTATAACAATTATTAAAGAAGTAATTTAATAGATGCCACTTTGTAGGGTGTGAATAGTGAAACACTATGATTGCTGATAGAAGGATGTTTTTAGCTATCGCACATTATTTGGTGTTTGCACGTTACAATAATGGGCTCCGAAACAGGGGGGGTCGGGCGGGGCGGGCAGTCGCCCCCATGCTCAAAGCAGGTCCAACCCCCCCCCCCCCCCCCTTCTCCCCTCCCATCACCGTGCATATATATATATATCTGTGTGTGTGGAAAAACAGAGGTGAACTACACAATGCGACATGAGCCCCCATACGTCTCCCCCACTTATCAGATATACTTCCGGAGCCCCTGTACGATACTCTGTTATTGCGAATGAAGGTGGGACCAATGCCGCCTTTTTTTCATGCAGTGACAAAGGCTGGGTACGCTTCATGCCTTCGGTGTCCCCTTAGAAACTTCTTTTAATATCAAGGAGTGTTATCACCAGCATTAGCAACCTCCTCTTAGAACATCGGTTAAACAATTGACTCCACGCTGCTTGCAATGAGTGCACCGAAACCCAGGCTGGAATGACAGAGTTGCTCAAATTTGGGGAAACAAGTTCATTTTCTCACAATCATTGCCGGTTATCTTTCTATTAGGCAAGCATGTCTAGGCAGGTTGTGCAAGACAGAACATCTCTGCAGTGCAGTCTTGAAGTTTTTAGTTTGATTTGTTTAGGTTTTGTATTTCCCCTTGCAAAAAGTCTGCTTTGCTTCAACATTATTTAGATTTAAAATTTGCACAACGTAATTATTTGCTTCATATTTGCTTTAATATTAAGAATCGCTGCTCACACGTTCGTAGTTATTTATCATTTTCTTGACTGTCACTTCTGCAGGTTGCGTGAAGTACCCCGTGAGCGCCGGGGTGATGGACGATCGCACCGAGCTTGGCATGGTTGCAGACATGGCAGAAGCCGCAGCATCCAAACAAGCAGTCCGCGGTGTTAAGGGCCCTTCGCCACTTGTAAACGTGCCTGGTTTCGACATAGTCTGGGGTTTTACCCCAGACTATATGCACTGCGCCCTTCTTGGTGTAGGGCGTCAGTTTGCCGAATTGTGGTTTTCTGGTGTGGGTGAAGATTACTACATTGGACACCCTTCGCGACAATCCATCGTAACTGAGCGCTTGTGTAGCCTGAAACCGCCACAGTGCCTGAACCGACCGCCACGAGCCCTGAGGCTGAGGAAGTACTGGAAAGCAGCCGAGTGGCAATGCTGGCTTTTTTACTACTGCCTTCCTTGTTTGAAGGGTGTGCTGCCAGCTGAATATTATGCGCACTTTGAGCTTTTTGTGTCTGCTTTATATCTTCTAACTAAGACGGAAGTTCTAGATGAAGATGTGGAGCTGGGTACAGAGAAGATGACCGAGTTTGTTGTGAAGACCGAGTTCCTCTACGGAAAAGCACAGATGACCTCAAACGTCCACACACTCCTGCACCTTCCAAAGGCTGTGCTCCTCCATGGGCCATTATGGGCACTATCTTGCTTCCAGTTTGAGTCGAACATGGGGCATCTGCTGAAGCTTGTTTCCTCGTCGAATGGTGTGCCCTTCCAGATCTTTTCCCGCATTCTCCTCCGCAACAGCTTTTATCAGCTGAGGAATATGGTTTCGGACGAGGTCCGGGCACACCTTCCGACGAGGAAACACTACAAGCCAGGTGACTTGCACCTTCTTGGAAAGCCCAGGCAGCTGCCCCAATGTCTGCATAGACTGGTTGAGGAGGAGCTGGCCTTGGAAGTGGCACAGGAGCTTGTGGAGTTTGACCGTGCACGTGTTGCTGGGCACATTTTTCATAGCAAACAGTACCGAGCTCCAACAAAGCGGGACTCGACGGCGCTGAAGCTGGGAGATAATTTTGTCAGAGTTGAACACATCCTTTCTGAAAGTGATGGGGGTGGAAGCCCGAACGTGTACATTGTTTCACATGTTTACGATGTATCTGATTTTGGAAGCGTAGGACACCTCAAGCTTGCCCACAAGCAACCCACTAAGGTATTGCACAGGCTCTGTGGGCATGTTAACCCATGCATGTACTTGGACATAGATGGCATTGTTCTGTTTGCTCAGCTCTGCAACAAGTATGAGTGGTCCTAGATTTGTAGGACCGGTCATACTTGTGTGCTAGAAGTAAACTAAAGGGGAGGCAAATCAAAGAGTAAAAATTATTTTCATCTATTTGCTAGTTATTGCACTCATGGTGTGCATAATTAACTGGTTGCACTGATTTACCCACATATCCAGGCTGTTTCCCAGCAACATAATGAAATTTGGTTTTCATTATCAATTTTTCACTATAAGAGTCTCATGGGGCTCGCGAGCCGCAGTTTAGCCACCTTTGGTCTATTGCCATTATTGATTTCACTGTTTGACCCAAATTAATAAAAATTATATAATGTTTCAAAATTTTTTAGGTCTTCCCTTAGAGAACTAGGACAATTAAGTGAATGTTTTGTGACCTGCAAAGTTGGAACTAGAGTTATTTGCATGTCATTGTTATTGTGTTTTTGTTGTGTTTCTGCCCCTTTTACTTGGTGCCACAGTTGTACTTTTGTGTGTTGTCATCAGTTCTTGGTAGATTTTATTGCCATTTGTCTTGCTGAAAATGGCAGGTTGCTTTGCCGTGAAATTTGTGTGTGCTACGCATGTTTATTTTTAACTTTCTTTGATGTTCAGATAGTAGTGTTTTCCTTCCTGTACCTACTTTTGCTAAATTTCTGCAGAAATAATTGTAAATAAATGAATCGGTAGTTGTCATATACTGAATTGTCGATCTCATTAATATGCTTTTCACAAAGCATGTTGATTTTCACAGTCAAACGAAGTGATCTGGTGTCTCCAAGCTATGAAATGGCTACAAGTCCCACCTAGTGGTAAAGTGTACACTACCAAAATATACAAATTGCCACAGGATCCAAGGTTACTATGAGTGATGTCACCACATGGTCAAGAAAGTTTTGATCTGCCAATTGACACCCAAATATCCAAATGGTATTTCATCATTGACCAGTTAAAGGGGTGCTCTGAAGAGGTTCGTAAAAAATGAGTTAGAGGTAAATTCTGGCATATTTTCATCCTGTGAATCTGAATATCGTGTTTGTTTTCCTGAAGTTGTAACTAAACAAAAAACCTCCAACCAGTCGTTACATCATACTAGGATCTTTCGACCACCAAAAGTGTGTAGCTCGTGTGCAATTGCAAGCTTACCAGGTAAATTCCCCTACACTGACACCAGTCGTGATGACCTTTTTGAAAATGGCAAGAGTGCGCGTGCACAGCTTTGATAAGCGCTGAAGATGTGCGAGAGCGGCGATTCCAAAAACTCTTGATATGTAATGTCGCGCCCCAGGGAGGAGGGGCATCGAACAGCGGTACTTTGAAAATGATTTTGTGCAGCCTCTGTGAGCCAAATTGAAAAATAATCTAGATATTCGTGTTCCTGAAGGCCAAGTTAAGACGATTTAAGTGTTTTTCCTCAAATATAGAACCGCTTCAGTTTTCCTTTAAACTGGTACTCTGAAGTCAAAGTGGTCTAATCCAGACCACTTTGGGCTCCAAGTGGGACCACATGGCTAAAGTGGTGTGATGCAAGTGGGCAATGTGAACCCAAGTGGTACCACTTTGAATTAAAGTGGTGGTACACAAGTGGTCGATATGAACCCAAGTGGTACCACTTTGAATTAAAGTGGTACCACTTACAAGTAAAGTGGCACCACTTGCAAGTTAAGTGGGACCACTTGAACTAAAGTGGGACCACTTGTACAACCACTTTGAATTTTTACCTGGGTTGCGGATCATGCAGTGAGTGACCAGCTTCTTGAAACACTTAAGCAAAGAGCAGAGCCTTGCAACGGGATGTTCGACATTACTGATGGTGCATTCTATTAGCAGCAGCGACAGCCTTGGCTGTGAAGAACTAGACCTAACGGTGACTGTGAGCACACATGGCAGCCCTGTGTTTAATCGTTAAGCTACTCAATATGGCCTGTACACCTTGTTTTCAATGATATATATGAAATGCCATGGTGGCGCTTTTTTGTTGCGGTGCGAAACACCCTAATATGACACTGCTTTTGCAAGCTTTTGCTGAGGAGATGAAGCTGCTATCCACGGATGGGATTTCATGGAACACAAGGCGGTCAAGAGCTCCATTCGAAGGTAAGCATTAACTGCACTATGTTTTACACCAGTAACCTGCTTTTCTGCCTTCAGCAGATTTTAACATGCTACACTCGGTTTTAAAAACCTATACATAAAGTGTCGCCATTGCTGGGTACTGACTGATATTTCTACTTACTGGTTTCTTCGAATTGCAACTTTTCTTCTGTGAAACTAACACAGCGAGCCAAACGCTCGCGGCAGATAAAATACTGGCATGGCTGCGAATGACGTAAAATGCAAGCTATGTATTCGCTATGGCGACACTGGTTATACCTGCTGCACCAACTATCACACACATTTTGAAAAAAAAATATATATATATATATACATATTAGCATATTTGGTCATCATGCTTTCCTGTGACTTGTTCACAAACAGGCATCTAAGAAACAGAGTACATATAGTTTTCTTCATTCTTGGGTAAAGCCTTACATGTGCACCCCAAACAAGTTTTCTGAAAATTGGGTCTCCCGGAAAACTCGCCTAAACAGGAATTTGGGAGAAATAAGAAAGACACTCTGAGCTCTAACACAACTTTCTATGCTATTATCTTCCATTTGCTAGTGTAAATAAAATATTTCATGTCCCAGAAACCTATCAGTCCTAATCATTATTAATAATGCTTACCCTTAGTCATTTATAAATTGCGAAAGATATATTCCAGAATAGTTCATAAAAAATTAATTTTTCCCCATTCTCAGCTTTTAAAAAATAATTTTTATCTATAGAAGTTTGAGAAATATTAAATATGGAAACGAAGAGCTCTAAGTATATGGTTGCAAAATGACATGAAGACTGATGCATTCTGAATGTTACTGCGCAGCACAAATTGGTACTTTAAACGACTGGAATAACTAACTTTTTATTTAGCTTTTTTGCTTTGTAAATCAATTATGGGGCTCTCATATGAACTAAAGTGTTTGGACTGATGTGGTTAATAAATAAAAAAGCAGTGATGTGATTGCTGCGCCAAGGGGCTAACCCTGCTACATTTTGCCAAAATAAAAATAATCTGCGCAAACCTGCGCAAAAAAAAAAAAAATTTAGTTGCTTTTTAATACCGAAACTAAACATGTGTGTGTTATGTGGCACAAGCGGCTGCCCGACACAAAGCGCAAAGTACCCTGCATCAATTGTCCATCCGGTCTTGCACGGTTTTCTCGCGTTTCGTGCTCTGGTCGTCTCGTGGGTCTCGAATGCATTATATGATCCCATGTCTGGACCTGGAAAGTATGGTACTTGTCCCATGGCAATAATTTTCATGTGATGCCAGAAGGAGCATCACATGAAAATTGCTTTATATGGGGTGGGTACCCTATCTGCCGGACCCAAACACGGGATCATATCAAGCAGTCTATATATGGTATATAAGGAATTGGGCAGATATGACTATATCCATCCAGATATGGCCTGATTGTGCATATCTGGCCATATCTGCCTAATTCCTTATATATCCATATCTGTATTTTTTAATATAAGTCCAGATATGACATTTCTGTAAGGGTCGTCTTGCACCTTTTTTTTTAAATATATTTTCAACGACAGACGCGGGTGTCTGCGGACGCTCCGACGCTAGCGTGCCAGGTACCAGCCATGCCTCCAAGCTCTGAAACGAAACCACGTTTTTGCACGGCGGAAGTTACTTTGTGAGCTGAAGCACTCGTTCTTGACAGCAACGGCCATGGGAAAACAATATTTGGTCCCTGTCTTCCAGTCACTGTAGTCGCGCGACGTCGGGTGTTGCCGTCCCCACGTCGATGCAGATATGGCGTTTTCTAAAATGAAACTAAGTACGCCGCATGTTCATAAAAATCCCTGTTCTTGTTTAGGCCATACGTTTCTACACATATCTCTCTTTAACTCAAAGACTGCTGTGTCGAAGTACTGATTACCTAGGTTCCTCTTGGTGGGCTTTCTTTCCAAACCTGCCGCGAAATAAAGTTGGTGAAGAGAAATGAGCTAAAGTAAAAAAGGAATGGGGGTCTGCACGCTGAACCCACACAGTGCGCTTGCTTATCTCGGGTTCAGTCGTTCCACAAAGCGCTCCAAGAACGTTTTGACCCTGGTTCGTGATGTCTTGCATCGATGTGCTCAAATTCTTTTTTTTTTTTTTTCTGTGCGGTAGTTTGTATTTCGCCAGCCAGCCTGGCAAACACGTGCCGCTGGACTGTTATTTTTTTTTTTTTTTCTCGTATGCTGGACAGTTACATTTTGTGTACAATTTTGGGAACCAGTTGGCTACGGAGCGGAGTGGCATGGTTTCGATCGAACAGCCATCTCCGCTTGCGTGAGAATTTCGCATTGCACTGCAGTGGTCAGATGTTTCATCAGTTGGAGACTGCTTCCATTTATTATATAACTAGTCAACCTAATGCTGTAATATTTACTACTAAGCTAGTCATTTTCAGATAAATTTTAATATGTGCAGTTTGGTTCTCATGTATACAAATAAACCGGAGCGCCCCTAGCAGACGCCACCGACGCCGCGCATGCTCAATGGAGTGTGGGCAAGAAGCTCGCCATCGCCCATAAACAAACCATTGGAATGTGATGTTGTCGGCGTCGGTGTAAGTACCCGCGCTCTGTTTCGCGTTGGAATTGTTGATGCTACGTCTTCCTGGCAATGTGTGACTACTTGAGCGGCCGAAATTAACGAGGCGCGTTACACCGCAAAACTCGGCGTGAATAATGTGACATGCGGCGATTCATTCCGCTTGGACGCCGCAGAGTGGACGCTAAAGCCTGATTCACATGGTGAGGTTCTGCTCGCTATTTTCAGTCATGACGTCACTCGGGCTGCAAAAGCCTGAACCATAGCTGAGATGTCGACGTCGATACTGAAAATCGCAAGCAGAATCGGACCAAGTGAATCAGGCATAAGAAGTCAGTGATGGCCACTGGTAACAATTATCAACATCTCCTTATATCTACTGGTTACACCGAACCTACTTACCCGAAGCAACCTTCAATCTTAAACATATTTTGAGGTCTGTACTTCTTATCGCAATTACTGGGCCAACGTTCGGTCTACGGCACGGAGCAGACACGTTTGAGAGAGCAGACGACAGCTCGAACGATGAGGCGGCCGTTTGAACGTGATGATGCATTGAACATAGTCCGCAGATGGTCCATGCAACTTGATGGTTTTCCCGCGTTCATGTTGGAATAAAACAAATAAATCTCACAACCACAGGTATCCGTGAATTCAATCCAAACTGCTTTCTGCCCAAGCAATCGTGGTCCGACGGCGTCTGTTTTTCCTTTTTCACGGCCCCTGTTCACGTTCTCGAACGAACCGAGCAGGCAGAAAACGCATGAAAACTGACCTTCAAACCTTTCCTGACTCTTTTGGTAAAACCCCAGTCGCAGCGTTTTGACGAGAAGGCAGGTTTTTGTCCGGTTTCTTCCAAAGTAACACAGGAATGCGCGTGCCCCATGGTGGCTTCCGCCCACAGCCCCAGACCGGAAGTGCGCCCGACGCGCGACCACCGTGCCGTGACATAATAGAGATGAGCGGGTATTAATAAAACACTGGCAAGCGGGTATAGGGAAACATGCAGTAAAACGGTGGCAAGCGGTTTTTCGGAATTGCTCAGCAACGCCTACAGCATTGTACACTTGTGGGATGTCCCAGCAGTAAAAACACAAGCCGTCACAACACGTCACATTAGAACACAACACAACACAAAGTGCCCTTCGTTTGTACAGCACTTAAAGCAAATATTTTTATTCTTATGGGAGTATCTGCTCCAAAAGCCATTTTTGCTGCTCGGGAACACTGTCTTGGCTGCTCCAAAAGCCACATTTGCTGCTCGAAAACAATGTTTTGGCTGCTCCAAAGGCCACATTTGCTGCTCCAGAACACTGTTTTGGTTGCTTCAAAAGGTGCTCCAAAATGGCTTAGGCCAATCACATCACTGAGAAAGTTATCCCGCAAGTTTAACCCCTTGCTTTTCCTAACGTAGGTATACTGCATCACCAGTGTTGCCGACGCACCAGCAAGGGCCTCGATGCAAAACATGCTCCAGTACAACAAATACTATGGATGTGGCTGGTGCCTCCACCCTTGAGCCTTTGTTGATGGCTGCCTCAAGTACCCTGTGACATTTGGCACGGTCAATGATGATTGAGGCAAGGTTTTGATGTTAGCAGACATGACGACCGCTGCATTGACAAAGCAGACTGTCTATGGTGTTAATGAACCATCTCCCCTTGTGAACATTCCAGGGTTCGATATTGTGTGGAACTTTCGACACAATTACGTGCATTGGTCCCTGCTTGGTGTTGTGCGTCAGCTCGCTGACCTGTGGTTTGGTGATGTTGGAAAGGACTACTGCATTGGAGCCCCCGGGGACAGCAGCGGAAGTCAACATGAGACTTTTGAGCCAAAAGCCTCACTAATGTTTCCACCGGCCACCACGGTAAATCAAGTCTCCAGGAAGTACTGGAAAGCAGTCGAATGGGAATCATGGCTGGTGTACTATGTACAGGTGCAACGGAAAAAGAGTAGCACAAGTGAGCGATCACCGGAGTGGCAAAATCGCGACACGCGGCGCTATTGCTCCCGATCGCGCCGATAGCGATCGAGAGTGCAGTCACGTTCCATATCTCAACGCGGGGGCGGCCGGCAGAAAATTGAGGGATAATATAGCTTTAAATATCCGGGTTTTAAGGTTTTAGGATGGGCTGCTTTCTGATAGCCACCCCCGCGTTAAGACATGGAACGTGACTGGCACTCTCGTTATCGGCGCGCTCGGGAACAATAGCGCCGCGTATCGTGATTTTGCTGCTCCGGTCGTCAGTCACTTGTGTTATTCTTTTTCCGTTGCAGCTGTACTGCCTACCCTGCCTGAAGTTAATTCTGCCAGCAGAGTACCTGGTGCACTTCGCGCTGCTAACGTCGGCATTGCACAGTCTCATGAAGAGTCTTGTAATGAAGGAGGATGCTGGTGAAAACACGGTGAAGATTACCAAGTTTGTCATTTGCATGCAGTGCCTATATGGCAATGCCCAGATGACGTCGCATGTGCATACATTGCTGCATATACCAAAGAGTGTGCTCCTTCATGGACTGCTTTGGGCGCTTTCGTGCTTTTGAGTTCAAGAGTAGGAAAGGCATTTACTCAAGCTGGTGTCTTCAGCGAAAGCATCCTTTTTCAGATTCTTTCCTGCATATTTTTCCAGGGCAACTTCCGCCAACTGGAGTCCGTGGCTTCAGAAGTGAGAAAGCTTTGCTCTCATAAGGCAAGGAAGAGGAAGACTGGAGTGGAGCTTCTCGGGAAGGCCAGAACACCACTCGAGGATGTGAGAGTTCTACTCCAAGAGGACCTGGGGTCCGTGCATAATATTCAAGAATACAGTCATGTGCGTGTGGGTGGATGTGCAATCCACAGGTGAATAGCACAAGACCCCCTTTAAACAGGATTCTACAGCTGTGAAAGTAGGGGATGAGTATGCCAAAATAGAGCATATACTGTGTGTTCAGAGAGCTGATTGGGCCTTAGGGTGTTTGCCCTCTCTTATGTGTATGAAATTGAGAGCATACAAAATGTTGATCACCTCAAACTTTCGTGGAAGACCTCTTCAAGGCGGTTATATCTACTTACCGGAGCTGTGCGTCCGTGCGTGCTTTTGAAAATGGACGGCAGTGTAATTTTTGCTGAGTTGTGCGACCGTCATGGCTGGTCTTAGACTGGGTCTAGGCTTCGGAGAGTCTATGTGTAAACTGTTAACTACTCATCTTATTGCAAATTTTTCAATTTAAAAAAAAACTCCAGGAAGTGCATTACTTTGCAGGAACATATTTCCAAAAGTTCTAATGGCTAGCTTAGTTAATCTCGTATGAAAAATTTGTTCTCCCATGTTTTGAGAATATTGTACTTATACAAAATGTAGCATAGTAATATGCATAGACCTTTATTATGCTGTATACATGTGTGAAATCATGTCAGAATATTTTAATTGCATAGTGATCTCAAATAAGTGTGGAGGTATCACTTTTTCTTGAAAAATCTTTACATTTATTGTCTGCTCTTGGCTTTTTGTAACTAAAAGCAACATATTTAAGACAACTGAAACTTTTTGTAGATTGAACTTGGAGCAACATCTTGCAGTTATTTTATTAGAGATGTGAATTTGCAAACCAAGTGATGCCATTTGCAACCCAAGTGGTACCACTTGAAGCTTATGTTGCACCCACCATTTGCAACCTAAGTGGTACTACCTGAAGTCCAAGTGGCACCTCTTAGCTTGCAAGTGGTACCACTTGAAATACCACTTCATATTTTCACTTGGGATGGAGCACGAAGCTCTAGTGAGTTTGCTTTGTATTTTCTCTTACAGGGCCTCGCAATGCTCCTGCTATTTCAGCTGTGAGGCCTTTTCTTCTAAACGAACTTCTGTTTTAGCGAACGTATTTTGTGTCGTGGAAGGGTTCGTTGTAAGCCGGCTCGACTGTACAACCAAAATCTTGAAATTTGTTTGATTTATGCTATGCACAACTATGAAATATCTGAGTATGTTTATCGCAAGCCTACTGTATAAAAGTTGGCACTTCATAAAACCTCTGCCTTAATGTGGTTGATGTGACAAATAGGACTGTAAAGTGTGTTGCTATTGTATTTGTAAACACAAATGTGTTGCTTGGGCCCTTTTGCAAATGCTGACCCAAAGGTTTTACACATTCTTCATGTACATTGCTTGAGGGTGTGTGCTACTTCGTAAAAGGATCTATTACAGCGCCCCAGGTGTAACTACAGTGTCAGGTGATGCACGCAAGAGAACATTGCTGGGCGGTTTTTTAAAGACTTGCTTGAAAATGTCAAATAAATTTTTGAATCCAGATATTTTTTTCTGCAGCCCCCCCCCCCCCCTTTTTCATAGGCTTTTTTTGTATAGATACTTGTAAAAATTGTCTTACCGAACGGTGTTACATAAACTGAGAAGTTTTCCCGTGATTTCGGAGATTTTAAAGTACTTGAATATGGGACATTCAATTTCCAGCTTTTTCTCTGAAAAATGAAATTTATGTTGTTATTTATTGTTTTGTTTACATTGATAAATCGTTTTCGTGCAGTTGTCAATCTCTAATACTTTCTAAACTGTACTCTGCTTAAAGGCCAACCAACAAGCTGAAAGGAGGAAACTTTTTCGCCATTCCTCCTTTCCGTTTGAGAAAGAGGGAGAGTTGCTCCTCTCTGCGGGGAGTAGCTCAGATACCCGCTCCTGTGTAGAGAGGAGGAGAGAAGAGTGCGAAAAACGGAGAGATGAAAACTGGAATCCGGTCTTCTGCCCGGCAGAAGAAGAATCTGTAGGTTGGCCTTTAGGTAAAAAAGAATTCAGTATTTGTACCGTGGGAGCCGACTAAAGTACACCCCACCTCAACCCCATTTAAGAATTACAATTTCCTGAAATCAAGGAAGAGCATGAAGTAAAAGGCGTACTTGATTGACCAGTAAAGAGTCCAGTCATATACTGGTCCTGTTTGTTTTACTTGTGACTTTCGTTTTCTGAGAACTCCTGTTACCGATTTTCTTTTTACGGCCTTTGGTGTTAATGTCAGTGTGCCATGTTTGGAGTGTAAAAAGCGGTTGACTGCTTACCTCACACTAGCGGCAGTATATTTGCACATTATTCTATTCTTAACCTTGCAGGTCGACTCTGGCAACCATCGGAGGACGCGGCAAGTGGCACACTGTTACTTTGCAGAAAGGGTCCTTCCCACTGGCAGACTCAACTTTATGGAGCATGCATTCTCTGTGCATTCGTCTTGCTTGTATTTATCCAGCATCCTTGAATCAAAATGAGTATGTCTATTCAAATGGATCGCAGTGTTTTAGATGAGCACTAGGAGTCAGCCCACCTGATTGCATTCATCACCACCCCATTTGTGCAAACAAGACCAGTGTGATGCGGTTGTCTTGCGTCACTTGCTCTTGCCTGGTGTTTGAGACTACAAGATGTCGGCAATTGCGGTTTTTTAACCCCATTCTTCCACTGGTAGCAGTGCTTGCATACTAGTAAAGTGTGATTTTTCAATGATGTGCAGTGACATTGACTCTACAGTGACATTTTGTAGAACATTATTACAATGGACAGACTTCGGAGACTGCATGGTGCCTTCACTGCAGCCTTATCTTTCATACCAATTCCCAAATCCAGAAATTAGGCTCTCTTATTGTTGCTTACGGCTATTAGGATGCGAGATGAGCTGATTCATCGAAAGATAAAGTGCACATGAAAATTATTTGCATGAATGGGCTGTGCTCATAACTTTTTCAATTGTTATTGTTATTTGTTAAATTGTTATTTGATGAGTTTTTTTTTCTTGTTATTTGACAAGTTTTTTGTTTTGTTTTTTTTTTAAATGAAGAGGTGATGAGCTTGTTTTTGCGTGCTAGTTTAAAGCAGTGCAGATTTGCCAAGCTTGTCTAATGCTTGGGTGTTGGCATTGGACTTTCTCTGTGGTTGACTCTCCTTGTCTTGTTTCTCGGGTCTCCCGAACAGTGCCGGCCGAAGCAGCCTTCCGGGACGATGGGGACAGCGAGAACGACTTCTTTTCCCCTAGAGGCAAACTGGTTGAGTCGCAACTCTGGACGCAGCCACGACATAAGGGTGTGTTCCAGTGCGAGTTCTGCCCTTACTCCACTAGTCATCTAGGTCATATCACAGGGCACAAAAGGACACACACAGGAGAGAAGCCTTTCCACTGCTCTGTCTGCCAGAGAGCATTTGCCTTAATTACTACTTTGCAAGCTCACATGAGGATTCACACGGGGGAGAAACCATTTCGTTGCGAGGTTTGCCAGAAGGCGTTCGCAGTAAAAGGTAACTTGGTTTTGCACAAAAGACTCCATACGGGCGAGAAACCATACCAGTGTGGCACCTGTGGAAAAGGATTTCCACATAAATCCAACTTGTTGCGTCATGAAAGATCCCACAGTGAGGAGCGGCCTTACAAGTGTGAAGTCTGTGGAAAAACATTTAAAGACATTGCCCGTTTAAGTAGCCATTGGAAAGAAGTGCATGGATGAGGAATCTGCGCCATGCAATATCTTGAGGTCGTTTTTGTGGAATCGTTTTTTTTTTATGTTTTGTGTGCTTCAAAGCCTGCATTTTGTTTGTTCACAGGCATATTCATCAGTTCTAAACATTATCAGTTGAAGTTAGGCAATAGCTGCAATACTGCTAAGTAGCATTTTCTTGTTTTTGAATGGTCTTATTTAATACAGTTCAGCAGCTTTTACCTTTGGTATGATTTTTGTTTTATGACGTATTGTTTGGAGTGGATGAGGAGCATTGGAGTTTATTAAGGCACATTGAATCCTATGTATGGATTTTCGTGACAAAATTTTGAAAAGTGATTCCTCCGAAGTTCTGTGGATTTCCATGCCTTTCAACCTAATTCTTCCACTTTGCTCTAGGTTGAATTCTGTTCCTGTGGTTGTAAAATGAAATATTTCAGTTACTCTTCCGTTCTTCGTGGATTCAGTGAATCACAAATAAACTACTTACCTAGCTACAAGGCATTACCTTACTGCCTCGCTAGTGTTGATGAGCATTCTACAAGCAACGAGCTATACCAAGGGACTTTGGTTTCAACCTTCCTTGCACTTGATCTTTGCCAGCAGGCAATGGGAGTATATTTTGGTGATGTCACGGCTGGACCATTTGCATCAATATTCTGCGAAAGTGCTTAGTATTCTGGTGCCATTTGCCCAACGTTGTAAAATTTGCATCTACATCTTTTTATTATATGGATAATTTTTGCTTTGGAACATTAATCCTGCAAGGACTTAATTTACTCGTTTTTAATTTGCACCGCTCATGAGCGCACTAAACGTAGTAACTTAATGCAAGTATCTCTGAAATAAAAGCCATGCTGGGATGGGAATCATTAAACACTAGAAGGTATAAGTTAAGGTTGAAGTTTTTTCATCGGATTTATTATAATGAAACTGGCATTGATAGAAATGAGTATTTGTATAAACCAAGTTACATGTCAGCGCGGTTCGATAACTCTGAAAAGGTTTTTGAGTACTGTTATAAAACAAACAATTTTGGTAGTTCTTTTTTTGTTCAAACAATCAAAGACTGGAACCTGCTGCAACAGGAGCTGGTCAGTATCTCAGACAATGATGTATTTTTTTCTTGTTTGTGAAAATCACTGTTATTTGTTATTTCGTGATCCCCCCCTACGATAATGCCCACGAGGCGATGTAGGTATTCTGTAAATAAATAAATATATACTTTTCTCGAATTTCGCTTTATTTTAAAAGTTATAGACAAATTAAAATTACAAAACAAAGCAAAAAAAAAAAAAAAGTCGGAGACACCTAAGCACTTCTTATGAGTTGTGAATGCGAAAGTATGAATGTCCAATGGAACGTCGCGGAGTGATCCGCGGAGGTTTGTGGCGCGAGTAAAGTTTTCGAGTTGTGGCAAAAGCACCGGCGACAATAGGGAGTTTTAGCAGGTCGTTTCCACACGAACGGTTCGCCCTCGAACGCATCCGAGACGCCACTGCGCATGCGCGCGCGAGTCGTTCGGGGAGTCGGGAGGCTCTTCTGGTTCGTTTCTCCCATTCCGGCCGCTGGAGTCGTCACCGCAACGCAGCCAGCACCGTTCACGACTCGGGTAAAAAAAAAGATGGCGGTCGGTTCGGCGACCGCCTTCGCCGACCCAGCCGAGCGTTAGGCTTAGGACAGCGGGAGGCGATTTGCCGTCCTGTTAGTCTGCTTCATTTGAGAGTTGAACCAAATCATTTCGAGGGCTACTCACAATGGTAAGCGATCGTGAATACTGTAAACTGCGCATGCTGGGAAATTTTTGCGATCTGCGGGCAGACTAGCTGCCGTAGCAACCGCGAGCAGACGAAATGCTTTGGTTCGACGGCACACAACGTGAACGATCGTTCAAGTTCGAGATGACGGAGACACACCACATACCTTTACGGTCGTTCAGACACTTTTTACTCTATCTAGCTTTGCAGTTCTTGAAATTCCGACCGGCAAATGTTACGTCGGCCGTCTTGTTTACATCAGTCGTACGCCGGAAACACGAGCCGCCACCACGGTGTCCGCCACCGTCGGCACGGATTTACACGTTGCAGAATGTTTCACATGTTTACTAGAAGATGGCGCCACCGTTAAGCAGGAACATCATCATCGTTTACGCGGTCGCGCCACTTTCACGATTCGCTAAAGTATGTCAAATTTGACGTACGGTTTCACGGAACGGACTAGCTGTACCGTTCGTGATTTCCGAACCGTGCGCTTGAAAAACGACTCGCTAAAACTCCCTAATGTGGATGCTAGACACGGCGCCATGCTCCTCGGCGGCGAGACAAGCAGAAGCACCACCGACGATGTGGATGATGGAGGTGACGGCATGTTAGTCGGCGGCGAGACGAACAGAAGCCTCCGAGCGTGCGCCAACGTGTCCGAGGCACGTAGTGGCATGGGGTTGCGGCGAAACTGACGCGTGCAGCGGCCAATGGGAGCCTCGTCATCGCGCGCCAGCCAATGGGACCTTTGGGATCAGGAAAACTAGGTGCCGTTTTTGCGCTTCTAACTGATGACGTCGGCTCGCTCCATTGGGACAGTTAATGCTTTCGCATTAATAACCTCCTTCAAGACGTCCTTGGTCGCTTGAGTGGCAGTGAACTAGAGGAGGGGTAGTGAGCTCAGCGAGCGCTCACGGCTGCCGCACTCCGTGTCGACGGCTCGAGAGGGCGCCACTAAAGCACGTTCTGGGTAGGCTGTATGAAGCGGGTAGTCAGGGCGGCTCGCATTGCATTTGCTGCGCGATTAAACACTAATTCGGCTTGGCACTTTATTGGCCACAAACGACAGCAAACACGGGGTAAAGATCATTTCAGAACGGGAGCCACTTAGCGCTGCCGTACCGCGAAACTGCCAAACCGCAAGCCAAAGCTAACCGCCGAAGGCGTTCGTAGCGCTCGGAACCGGTCGGATCCTCCGGTCCACACGATCGCAGCGCCGCCGCGTACATCCGGGACCTTTCTACGCTCGCCGCTTGTCAGTGCCTGATTCCACTACACCTTTCTAGTATGCGCCGCCTTTTCCGCCGCTTGGTGGCAGGTATGTCGACGTGTCATTTCTTGTTTTCGTACTTTCTAAACTGCATTTGTTTCTTTTCTGATCTAAAATACTGAATAAAAACTACTTTTATAAATAATTGAAACGGTTCGACTAAGAAGCTTTTAACGACTCTGACCAGTAGCAAGCCCAGGACCAAAGACGTCACATATCGCGCGCTTTCGGCACCGCGGGTCGCCCCCGTAGGTGGAGGAAGTTTCCGCGTCGTCCGGATAAAATATGACGCACTGATATTTAGTTACTCAGTCTCTGCGTGCCCGCTGGCTTTCCCGAACCCCAAGAGACGTGGAAACCGCGAAAAAGGTCGACGTTTAAATGTGATTGCAGGGCCCCTTTAAGACAGCCTGGACATCGCCACACTGCTATTTGTTACGATAAGCATGCGAATTCTTTAAGGGCCCATGAGATGATTTTTTAACTACTTCCTCCTTCACTTTCCTCCCCAACTCAAAAGCGAATTGTGAAATCACGCTAGCCTGGGGTCTTTAACGTGCGCCCCGCAGTAGTGATACACGACCGCACGCCGGTTCGATGTTCATCCAGATAGAAACGCGGGCAGGGGTGGAGATTGATCCCAGGCAAGGAGGGTAGGAGGGTAGGAGAGGGCATGACGCCAGCTGCGTAGTCTCCACAAGTCATGCTCCCTTGACGCGGCGCCTCTTTCTTATTTTCCTCCTTACTCTCCTCACTTGTCCAGCCCAACGTGACCACATCACGTGACCGTAGCTAGCCTTCGTCTAGCTATGGCGTACTAGAATACAGCGCGGTCTAGCTTTCGACCTGATAAAACCTACCGGACGGAGCGGGCGCAAGCCTGCAAGGAATCCTTCTACAATCAACCATCCATCTCACACGTGACATGTCACGCGCACCAACTGCCAGAGAGATCTGCGGTCATGTTGGCCACAACATCGTTTATACTTTTTATGACTAGGCTTCACCAATATAGGAGTTATTCACTGGACGCTATAGACGCTTTACAGCAGCTGTGCATGGGCGCCGCCATAACTGACCTTCAGTTTTTGTTCCCTCTTATTCCGTTCGCTTCACTTCATCGTTACCACAGTAGGACGGGTTATTGCAATTTTAGATGCTACTGTGTTATTGTGCATAGCATAGGCCCTTGTGAAGACCCGTCAACGCCCGCTTCAGTGGCTCGGCATCTCGGTAAGACAAGAGAAGGGCAGCTATGGCGGCTCAATCTGGCGCGTGTGTAAAGCGTCTATATTTGAGGGCGATGTTTAGAGTGCATGCTCAGAACGAGCTCACATTAATAGCCTGCTAAGACCGGTAACCTTGATGGTGCTAAATGCACGTTCCGAAAGGACTGCAGAAGCTCGCCGTCAGCACGCGCTCAGTAGCAGCGCACACGGATATGGCCGCCAGTGAATACTCCCTATTGCAACGTGCTCCCTCATAGTACTTCGAACCTTCTTGATCCCAGGGGTTCTGCAGCGCGAGTTTTCGCTCCACGTGCTCCGAGCTGGTGTGCGCTAGACCGCTCGGCCACCGATCCTCCTAGAGCCCCTTCATGTTTCAAAAGTAGCGCAATGTGTGTCTATTCACGAAGCACGCGCAACGTGCAGCCCTTGGGAAGATCATGGCCGCACAGCGCAGCACTGAGCTAGATTTCAGCCTCCATGTTCTTCCCAGACGTGGCGCGCGGCACATGGCGCAACTTTTCCCTAAAGCCCCTTCTGGTTTCAAAAGAAGCGTAAAGTGCGTCGACGCACGTGCAATGTGCAGCTCTTGGGTAAGATCATGGCAGCACAGCGCAGCATTGAGCTAGATTTCAGACGTCATGAATTTCCCAGAAGTGGCGCGCGGCACGTGCCTCGAGCATTTCTACAACAATGAAGAGCGCCACTTTTCCCAGGAGGGGGGCTTTAATCCTCCGGCGGTAGTGACGTGCTTGGGCGCTGGTACGATGACTCCAAGCTTCCACCGTCCTTTCTCAGCCCACCATAGAACGTCATTCGCAAACGATGATAACGCGAGTCCAAATATTCGTCAAAAGATTGATTGTTGATGAGTGCGTACGTCCGAATGATGCAGTGTTCGTGTCCAATTGGTGAACTGGGCTAGGCTGTCGTACTTTGGGTGCCGCAGATGCATCCGAGTAACAAGGCGAAAAGCTGTTGAAGGAGGTACAAGATGCAGGCTTTTGACTTTGTACCCTCTTTCTTTTGGCCCACTAAACCAGTCGTCGACAAATGGGGGTCCGCGAAGCTCAACCTCATCAGTCAAGCCCGGCAATAAAAGTTGTCTTTTTTTCAGATTGAGAAGAAACTTTCCAATTTTCGGGTGCGTTTTTTCCTGTATATGTCAATAAGAGAAGTTTACTTCATACTAGCCCTTAGTTAAATCCATTTATTAAATCACAATCATAATTAACCTATAC